ACATTTCAATGCTATTTGATAGGGAAAGGTGATAAATTTACCTGAACCTGTGGACATCGGATTGTGAACAGGATATACATATTGTATTTTAAAGTGGCAATTTTTATACAATAAATATCTTAACAATTACATTAAAAAACTAAAAAATATGAATAACATAAGATCAATTATAAAATATAACATACCCTTAAACTTAACCTTAACCTTAAACAACAGTAAATATAAAAAAAAATAGGTAGGTATAACCTACAAACATTGAGAGAATTGTAAACGGGCACAAATCAAGAAAAGTTTCACACAGTAAAAATCTTGATAAAAGTATTATTATTATACACAAAAAACAAAGCTAAACACGTTGCTGGCGTTACTGCAATCAAAACAAAATGGTTCCCGCGTCACTTTACTTGGTAAAAAAAAAAAATAGAAGAAAACAACGACCTCACACCACACTACAAACGAGCTACACGCTACACATACAAGACCAAAAAGGCAAAATCAGACAGGAGCAACCACAGCCTCAACTCAAAGGAGGCAAACGGTGTTGCCAGCTCAATCCATTTCTAGCTGGGAAACGACAAAACCACCAACCAAATAAATTTTTAATTTTCAACTAAAAATTTTAAAAATATGCATTGAAATTGAAGTTTCAATAAATTATAGTAGATTTAGCTTGTGATTATCGATTATTGAATCGTAGTCAAAATTATAGATTTCGATAATTATCGGGTCATTGGCAACACTGCACCCTGCCGATGCAAGTGGCCGGCGCGGCGTCCCTTCCTGTTTTCCATTCTATTGGTTTATTTCATGTTTATTTCAACATTTGACAATTTATTAGGGTCACAGGTCAGGTACCTAGATGAAATATAAATCCTTGATTATATGACCTGCCTTATTTAAGTTTAATAATAAGAATTTTCCATGTCAACCTGACCGGCATTTTTGGGTTTAGGGTTTAGAGATTAATTTGGAAGGATCACTTCCATATCTTTTCCTTGGAAATTGCATATTATTAAAAAATATATTATTATCAGAAATCGAGTCAGCAATTAATAAAAAAATCATGAATAGATGGGAATGATCCAGCTCGTCCTGTATTGTTCGTCTTTGAAACGAACATGTACGTCTTTTACAAGACGTACACAATATAGATTTTCACGTACGTTCTTAGTACGTACTTTTTTGTCTGTATATCAATACAACCTTTTACGTACGTACTCAAAACGTATTTTTACATCCCCGACGAACCGACGTAAAACGGACCTAAAATGTACGTCTTCAGTACGTACTGTGTTTGTTGGGTGAGTTTTCGGTATTCCGTGCCGTCAGCGCGCCTGGTCATGTAAGTAAAATTACAAGGGGAATAGTAGTACTGAGACTGTTACCTGCCAGAAATCTTTTCCTACAGTGAAGGAAAGAGATCAGGAAGAAGTTTTTTTTAATTTTTTTATGTTGGTAAAAATTGAAATTTATAGGTTGTATCTGAATATTATGAATATTATTTTTGTTTTTTTGCGAAATTAGTATTAAGGATTCCATTTAGTTGTTTAGAATTACAATTTATTTTATTTTTTTACTCTATTGAAAAATAAATTTTTATGTTTTGAATTTGTTCGTATATTTTTCTGTTGGCGGAGCGCAGTGCCGCAGCGCGCCCGCTAATGTGATTTTCAAATGCGCGCCCGCCCTAGGGTTAAGTCTATTTTCAACAACAGGAAAGATAAGTTTGAACGTTTCGTCTAGCTCCCGAAATGTTTCAAGATTGTAAATGCAGCATATACCTACCTATATGACATTTGGAAATAAAAACATTTTTTTCTACTGACGTTTCATAATAGCAACTTTTCGATTGTCATTTCAGTTTTGAAACGACATTCTTTTAGGCACTGAGTGCGTGAAAGTTACTTTTAGGCACTCAGTGCGTAAAAGTGACTTTTGAATGCGTAAAAGTGACTTATGAGTGCGTAAAAGTAATTTTTAAGCACTAGTGCCTAAAAGTGTCATTCATTATTCAGAAATAAAAAACACACTAAACACATATTTGAATTTTGTTTTGTATTTATCATGAATATTGAAAATGGAATTACTGAATTGAACGTTTGGGTTACTCAAAACAGAACTTTGTGTTATTACCTACTTTCTAGGATTTTAATTATTGATGTCGAATTTTGAAAAGAAAATCGCATGAAAAGTGTCAGGTGTCAAGTAAAAGCAGGTAACAAAGATTTTGGGTGTAATCGACTTATTCACATGAAATAAAATTGTGTTTTTTTTATTATAAAATGCCAGTAGAAAAAATCTTGTATACAATACGTTACGAAACGATGTCTTTTAGTCACTCGACGTGTTGTCCAACTCGGCTTTGCCTCGTTGGACAATTTTCACGTCGCGTGCCTAAAAGACGCTCATTTCGTAACTTATTGTATAAATAGCTATACTGTACCTATAATAAAAATTTCTGCTTACCTTCTAACTGTACCCGCACACAGTCGTTGAAAAGCTCAGCTTCTTTCAAAAAAATTTCTAATGAAGATTTTAGCTTCATTTTTTATATTTCAAACCTATACAGCTCAACGATCAACACCAACTCACAAACATACCACACGGCGCAACTATCAAAAATGGCCGACAATCGGCTTCGGCTTCCGCTCTGGTAAATTTTGAGTAGCTATCACTCAATAATAACTTTCAATTAGTAAAACTAATTTTTGAGTAAACTTTACACTTTTATTTAATGTTTTCGATTATTTCCATTTCGTTAACTTGAGTTGATTTTAAAAGTAGACATAATTTGATTTATCACGAATCAGCGTAGTTTATAACAAAGCTGATAGTATTTTTAGAAGATATTATATAGACAGTTTGCTTATTATTCAATCAGCTCGTAATAATCAATTTTGGATTTATTTATAATCCATGCAAATTCTGAATATGAAGCGATATTTTAAAAATGATTTACTGTAAATGGTAATCACTATATGGTGACCTACTGGATTAATCATTATTCAATTTTGCAGAAACCATATGTAGAGTAACAGAAACCTTATTTTTTTTCTCAGTGTACCAATATTATTTTTAATATATATCAATTCGATGAAAAAATTAAAATTAAACGGTAAAATACGATTATTTGCAGATGATACGACAATTATATATAAGGGGAAAACATTCGACAATATAAAATCAAATATTTCAAATGATTTAAAAATGTTGCAAAATTGGCTTCAGGCAAATAAACTGACTATAAATTTTGAAAAATCATTTTATATGTTTGTTGATAAAAAAATAATTTCAGTTGAGCAAAAAAATCCGATAAAATTTGAGGACAATAACATACAGTATAAAAATTCAATTAAATTTTTGGGACTTTATATAGATGAAAATATAACATGGAAAGAACATATAAACAACATGTTACAAAGTTTATCTCCTTTAGTTGGCGTATTATATAAAGTGAGGTACTACATTCCTTTAAAATATTTGAAAAACATTTACTATGCACTATTCCATTCAAAAATTCAATATCTGGTTTCGATATGGGGATCTGCAAATGACTCAATATTAAAACCAATTCAAAAATTACAAAACAAAATTATTAAGTGCATTCATAAACTTCCGTATCTAGAACCAACTATTAATTTATATAAACCTCTTGGTTATCTGAGCTTACATAAGTTATACAAATTGAAAATTTCAATATTTATTCACGCATTATTAACAAAAAATAAAATATCAAATTTGAACCTTCAAAAGAATGAAAATTTCTATAATTATGCAACTAGAAAAAATAAAAATTATTACAATTCAGAACCAATATTGGCAATATTATATTCTGGCATAAAAATATACAATGATTTACCAGAAAACATCAAAAATATAAAACCTTTGCATTTGTTCAAAATATACATTAAAAAACATTTTCTTCAATTTAATTGACTATTTGATAATATCATTTTTTATTATATAAAAGTTTATCATATTTTAATCAAGGCTTTATTTGAATCAAATTATTTTTTTTATACAAATATTATGGTTGTTAATTTTTTTTTTTCCCTGTAATAAGCGTTAAGTTTGTTGGGAAATAAAAGGAAAGATTTATTCCTTTGAAAAAGCTAGAATCTCCAAGACCCAGGATTGATTAGTTTCATAGGTAGGTAGACCTACGACTTTTATGAGTATTTCCTTTATTATAAAATTAGCTTCAAATTGGGTTTTTATTTTCTTACTCAAATTTTGGATTGGGTTCCACATTCATCTTTCGACAGATGATTACTACCGCCCCTCTCAAAATTGTGTCTTATTGGTTCCAAAATCAGTGCGAGTTTAGGGGGAAAATATGAAAAATTTCAGCTCATTGGGGACTTATATAGTTTCGGCTTCAATCCCAGAATAATTTAGTGTATGGAGTTTGAGGGGTCCCCAATGATCATTTAGACACAAAATATCAACATAAAAAAAATTGAAATTTCATCATTTTAGTACTAATCATGATTTGAATTTTCAAAAACTTTGAAGACCCATAACTTTTTTTCTATTACAGATAGAAAGCTGAAATTTTCAGCGATTCTTATCCCAGTAGAGGACTACAATCGCTGATAATTTCAGCTCATTTTGGCCTTCAGAAATGAAATCGCGTTAAGCAATTTGGGGTAAATTTATCAATTTTTCAATTTTCTGAGTGCCTTTTTTCATAGATTTCGGCTTCAAATCTCAGAATAATTTAGTGTATGGAGCTTAGGATATCCCAACTGATCATATAAACGCAAAATCTCAAGATGAAAAACCTTTGATTCAGATTTTTAAAAACTTTGAAGACCCATAACGGAATTACTAGATACTTTTCAGTTTCATAAACAAATATATCTCAATTATTCCCATGCATCTAGAGATAATTGGAGGCTTTTATTTCGATCTCCACCTGACACGAATCGAACCCTACTACGACTCTTTACACGGTGGTGGTTGTTTTGTTATTTTTCCACCAGTGAGTGAATGGTAGCGCGCCGGCATGGTCGATACAAAACCACCATTAAAAGAATTATAGACCCATAGAGCTAAATTGCGCGCACCTGCTTTTCGTCCCATATTAACCCATCTTAGTGTTTTAAAATAGTAGCAATCTAGTATTTTACAGGTTTTTGTTGTGGAATTTAACCATCTATGCTGCTGATGGACAGTGAACATCTATTTATTATGGGTTTTAGAGTTTTCTGGTAAGAATTATTGCATTTTGAATTCATTTATTTCTATGGTCTAACAAATATCCAAAAAATGTTTTCCAGTAAAACCAACAAAAAGGAGTTTTCCCCCCCATTAAATATTCATTGATATCCACCTGACGCATACTAAAATATGGCGGCAAATAAAAACTTAATTGCCCAAAACTTACGTTAACATGTGCACTTTGAGTGGAGGGTAGTTTTTTTCCAAGGGGTTGTTTTATTAATACACCCTCACCTTATTTGCATATGCCGGTATGTCAATATACAAGTGCACAAATTGGTTCTTATCCAGAAGAATATTAGTTATGGATAATAATTATTTTGTTTCTAAATAAAAATCATGATTCATCCAGACTATTCCATGATATGAGGTCAGTTCGGCCACGTGATTGGCCTCCAAGGGAAAAATATTGATCGGATGAAATGGTCACTTCTCCGAACCAATTTGTGACGTCAAACCGGTCGATCGCCATTTTCGACAACTAATTTTTGTTTATTCGTATATATATTTTCTTTGTGCGTCAAATGAAAGAATCAACAGATCAAAAAATTGTAGAAAATTCATTGATACAGAACCATATTTTGCATTTTCAAAACTGATTTGCATATTTGTGACAATTTATTGTTCATCTCCTGGAGAAGGTAAAATGAATAACTTATTATAGATTTTCAATTTTCACTTCTTTGTACTTTTTAATTTTTAATATTCTCACTTCTATTTTTCATTATTTGTGTTTATCCTTCTTTGATTAACTTGATTTTGGAGATTGTCAAATGTCTAATAAAGTCTGTTTATTCTTGGAGAAATTGTAAGATCACGACCAAAATTTTCATCGATGATTTCCTTGTTTTATATTCAATTGGAACTCATGGACTTTTAAATATTTAAGCCCGGTTGACACGGTCCAAGTGTAAAGTAAGTTGGCAGATCAAGTACGGACAGGGTTTAGTCAGGTTGATACGGTCGAAGTACAAGGTGGTTTGAAAGAGGTAGCAGGTTGCCTGATAAATTTTCTGTCGTCATCTGGGGTGCCTAAACATAATGCAAATCTCCATTAGGCACCCCAAATGACGTCATCTGTTTCTCATTACCAGAAAACCTATTAACTTTCGAAACCTTTGTCCAAATGCACTTAGATGAGAACTTGGACCAAGTTGGCAGCCAGCGTACTCACTTGGATGTTAGGACCTATCCAACCGGACTTGGATTCACAGTTGATACGATGATCGTCCAAGTGGATACTTGACACTTGATTTAAGTACACTTGGATCGTCTCAACCTGGCTTTATACTTGTATGTTAGGACCTATCCAACTGAACTTGGATAAAGCCAGGTTTGACACGGTCCAAGTGTACTTGAATCAAGTACCCTTGGAACACTGCCTCACTTGGACGATACTTTGATTTTATCAACTGTTATCCAAATCTAGTTGCATAGGTTTTAACATTCAACTCATAAACATAAATCGGAATTTATTAACTTTTTTTTTCCTCAGATGATTCTATCCACGAACCAACAATCCAGTACTGGAATTGAAAATCATGTGACCCAACTATTGAACACACTCCTTTGCCTACTACAAAAACAATCGTTGATAAATGTCAATTGAAAATTCAAAAATGGCACCCGTCTGTCATTTATCTGACACTAAATGCGAAAATTGCCAAAACAGCTTGTGCAACAATAACAACAATAATCAGGATTTCAAGGTTGCAACAATGGAAACTGAACGGGCTACCAGAGATTTGGTCAATTTGAATTTGGTTGAAGGTGAGAAAACATTTAAGTAATAATTAGTTTCATAACACTTAATTTTGTTTAAGATTTTTCCATTAAGCAACCAGAATTTCTACCAGAAGTACAAAACTGCATCGAAATTGAATCCAGTGCCAGTTTCGATGCGATACCCAATCAAAACGATGAACGAACTTTTGTGAATTTGAACCAGGACCAATACGAAACCCTGCAATACGAAATTTACGAAGAAACAATCCAAAATTCCACCGAAGATTTCGTAATCAACCAGGAAAGCTTCGAAAATGGCTGCATAGAAATATCGCTCAATAACGAAAACGACTTGGCAATGGACTCGTCCAACATCAGTATTATCGAAATAAGAGATTTCCCTCCAGCTCAAACCGTCGACATAGCTCAGATACAATTTAATGCTCAAAATTATAGTGAAGAATCGTCCAACAATTCGGAAAAATTTGTTACAAACACCAGCTCAACTTTACTAAGCCCAAAAAGCGATAACAGCGACATGGAACAGTGCGAACCCGACTTGAAAAGTCTAAATTGGCTACAGAATTATACCAACATCATGGCAGGTAATTTGTTTTCAATTATTGAAAATAGTCCAGTTAATAACTTATTGGTTTCAGTTCCTAATTTACCAACTCCGCCAGTATCTCCCAAACCAAAACTTGGAAAATCCCGTGCCAATTCGCAATCGCTAGACAACAAACCACCTCGACCTGCGGATTTGACCATAGACATCACCTTCTACAAGAAAAATGGCGACAAAAAACCACCGTTTTCATACGCTACATTGATTTGCATGGCGATGGGCAAAAACGGCAACCGGATGACCTTGAGCGCCATTTACCACTGGATCAAGGAAAACTTCTTGTACTACCGGAAGGCGCACCCGAGCTGGCAAAATTCCATACGGCACAATTTGTCGTTGAATAAGTGTTTCGTGAAGCAGGCCCGGTCCAAGGACGAGCCTGGAAAAGGTGGATTTTGGAGGTTGGATTTGGAACGGCTGGAAGAGTCTAGAAGGTCGAAACGTCGATCGTCGCTCACGGTTAGGACACCGAAGAATGGAGGACAAACACCGATTAAACCTGTTCAAAGTCATAAGAAGACAAAAAGGTATTTATAAGGGTTTCTTGCATTTTTTTTTAAATCTGCTATAGGTACAGGGTGATCTATTATAAATGTCACCCCCTTCTAACTTTTTCATTTGACATTTTTGACAAAAGTGTCAAATACAAAAGTTTCAAGAAATTGTCGAAAGTTTTTAACTAAGTCAGTTTTAGGCAGTGGCGGCTTGTCAGAGGAGGCAGGGGAGGCTAAGCCTCCCTCAAAAAATTGAAAATTGAATATCAGTTTTTTATTCCTGATTATACGCGAGCCCGAAGGGCCGGAGTTATTTTAATCACGAGGCTCAGTCTATAATTCTATTGGTCAGCAGATAATTTGAAACCAATTAAAAACCGAGAGTATTTAAAATGCGATTTTTAAACAAAAAACCCTTTTAAAATGTTATTTTTGTTTTCCGAGATGAAATGTGGCAACGTTGCTTTTAGTTGGCCATTTTGAAGTGACGTCTTATGATTTTTTGCCAGTTTTTTCTCGAATTTTCGACTTTTCCGGGGTTTTTTAATGGAAAAAAGCGATTTAACATACGAGGTTTTGAGTTTTCTTCATTTTTTAGTACAAATTTCTAGTTTTAAATGCCATAATTAGCAGAATCGCATTTAAAATGCATTTGATGTGGCAACATCGCTTGTGGCTAACTTCAATCAAGGAAGCATCTTTGACAGTCGGCCATTTTCAATTGATGTGCTTACATTTTTATTCAGTTTTTCTTCGAATTTTTCACTTTTCCGGGGCTTTTTCAGTCGGGAAAACTGATTTAAAGTACCTACAAGGCTTTGAATTTTTTTCATTTTCCAGTTTTTCAACGGGGTAAGTGGAAAAAGCTTTAGTTTCATCAAGTAGGTTTTGGGATGTCATTTTCGTTGGTTTTTTTTTTGGGATTTTTATTTAGGGTTTTTGGGGTCCGGGAATCATTTTCCACCACTTTTTCTCTTGAAATTCGCAAAATAAAAAAAAAATCTTTTTTTGACGTTGACAGCTGTAAAATTTTTTTGACACAAATCGATAGTTAGCGTCGTGAAACTGCCTTGTACCGGGGTTTAATTTTTGTAGCTTTTATAGTAGAGCGAGGAAAAACTCGAACATGTGTCAAATTTGACAGGTGACATCTGTCGATATCGACAAAAGTTTTATCCGTTCATTGTCAACTGATTTTAATACTCCGGCCCTTCGGGCCGTAATCTATAAAACAAAAAGACCTCATTTTGTATCGATTGTCAAAAAATCCAAAGTCTAGGTACTTTAAAATTTCAATTTTTTGACGTTTGTTGTATCATGAGCAGTGTTGCCATATGTTTTTTTTCAAAACTCGAGCTCGAAGGGCCGAGATTATAGGTTATTTTAAACCCAATTAAGAGCCGGGAATATTCAAAATTTAAAGCCAATCAAGAGCCGGGAATAATCAAAATTCGAATCCCGAAACCAATCAGGTGCCGAGAAAAATCAAAAATTGGAATTCCAAACCTGACGTGAAATTGAATTTTTTGTACCAACTGTTGCTACAAATGAATTCATTAAATTCTCATATAAGTGTTGCTACATGTTGCTATATAATTCTCACCCTAAAACCCACTAAAAAACGACGTTTTTTTTTGAGATTGACAGCTGTCGAAATTTAAAAAAAAACCCACATGGGTATATAGATTTAGCCTCGGCGAATACATAGGAAGTACCACATTTTTTTTCAACATATGTCAAAAAAGACGTTCGGCGTTGCCATGCCGTTGGTTTTTGACATATATCGATGAAACTTTTTATTTTAGTGTTTTCGGAGCCTGGGGATCGTTTTCTGACATTTGTTTTTTGAAAAAAAGAAAAGGTAAAATTTTTTGACATTGATAGTTGTCAAAATTAAAAAAAACCCACATGGACATACCTATAAATTTAGCCTCGGCGAATACGTAGGAAGTAGCCAAACAGGAGACCGGCCAATTTTTTGACGTTTGTTGTATTATAAGCAGTGCTGCCATTTGTTTTTTTTTCAAATCTCGATTCTGGAAGGCTGATGAGGTTATCTCAATTATGAGCTCAAAGGGCCGAGGTTATACGAGTCCGAAGGGCCGGAGTTATTTTAATCATGAGTCGAGGTCCAAGGTCATACGAGCCCGAAGAAGGGCCGGAGTTATACGAACCCGTTTATTGTCAACTGATTTTAATACTTCGGCCCTTCGGACCGTGATCTTTGAAGCAAAAAAAAGCCATTTATATCGACTGTCAAAAAATCCAAGGCCTACTTTTAAATTTCATTTTTTCGACGTTTGTTGTATCATGACCAACGTTGCCATATCGTCGTTAATTTTACTAATGGGGCGTATATTGAATTTCTTAAATTTTACAAGCGTACCTATATGATATACGCCTTTTAGGAAGATGCCTATTACTTGTTTCAAAACATACGTCTTAAAGAAAAATGTGTATAACCCAGAAACTACTGGCAGATCATATGCACCAATAAGAGGGCGTATAAATTTGATGTTTTGCAACATAAATTCTCTGAAAACGAAAAATCGTCGCAAATTAACGACAATATGTTTTTATCAAATCTCGATTTATAGGTTATTTTAAACCCAATCAAAAGCCGGGAATATTCAAAATTTAAAGCCAATCAAGAGCCGGGAATAATCAAAATTTGAATCCCCAAACCAAAAAAAAACAAAGGGCCAGGAGTTATATGCGAACCCGAAGGGCTGGAATTATACGCGAGCCCGAAGGGCCGGAGTCAGCGGATAATTTGAAGCCAATTTAAAATCGGGAATAGAATATTCAAAATGTGTTTTTTAGTCGATATTCCTAGTCTCAGTTCTCTCCGATGCACCGGATTGTTGAGGACATGGGCACCCCAAAACAAATTTTGCCTGCTGCGCAGTGGTCACCTTACCGTAATTAGGCAATCCAACGATGTGTCAAATATGGCCGACTGTTGGCACACATATGCCCATAACCCTAAATTTCTTGTGTCATCAGTCATCGTCCCTTGTGTTTACCTTTGACGTTGGGGACTTTAACATAATTAATTCCAGCTTTTCACAAATTTCCTTTCAAAATATTTCTAAATTATTGTGACTGAGTTGACATTATCATTAAATTTTGTAAGCAACTAGACTCTTATCGGCCCTCATTTGTGCATTGATGTAAAAGCTATGCATTAGAACAATATAGCTAATAATATCCCTTGAAGTTATTGGGGGAACACTAACAAATCCATAAGGATCACAATTTATTCGTTTTTGGTTTTAACTTTTCCAAATATCTAAGAGCGGCGTCAGGACAGCTTTTCCGCAACTTGCACAAATATGGACTTTCTCTGAAAGCCATATTTCAATAGAAATGAAAGTTTCAACTCGTGAAAATATTTTGAATGTCTTTAAAAATGTTTATATAGACTGAAATAAAATAATTTAGGTCTCAAAACTCACAAAATTAAGCAATAAGCAGCAAAATACCCAGTCAACACAGAAAATGACACAAAATTAAACCAAGAAAATCTTTTGTGTGCCAACAATCTGTCAAAAAAAGTCACGTGGTTTGGATTGCCTATAATTCATTATTTTCTAGCCTCCTCACTTGAAATAGTCATGAGCCGCCACTGGTTTTAGGCATACAGGGTGAGTCAAAAAAGTGCAGCAGTGTGAAGTTATATTTTTTTAAATAGAACACCCTGTACATTGTGCGCTTATTTGTTAGACCTTTTCAACCAGATTTCAACGATATACGATTTAATATGCCTATATATCTTCAATAGTGATAGGGAAAAACATGAAAGCCCCTTTCAAATTTTCATATTGAAAATATAAAAATTATACCATTCAAGTTTTAGATTTTTTCTTTATTGTTCTAATTTTATTCATTAATATACAAGGTGAAATATTATAATAAATCCAGATGTCTAAGTTATTATTATTATTTCTTTAAAATAACATGAGTGATCTAGGAAGGGATTTTCGGGTTTTTCCCTATAACTATTAGAGATAAACCGAGACATAAACATATCAAATGGCATATTGTTGAAATTAGATTGAAAGGGACTAACAAATAAGCGTACAATATACAGGGTGTCCCATTTGAAAAAATATAACTTCACACTGCTGCACTTTTTTGACGCACCCTGTATGCCTAAAACTGATTTAGTTATTAATGATAGCACGGATGCCTCTTCTACAACTACCTACAACCTTGTCAGATTTATTGTGGTGTTTCCAATCTGTCCTTAGAGTGCGTTCTTTAGATCCTTCTTTTTTATTAAACTACACAGCCATGGTCACTCCATATAGCTTGCCGGATTGGGCTTTTCCTCCTACACAGGCTATCATGTGCCAGAGGCTCATTCTTTTCAGGTGATTGTTAAGTTTGCAATGCCTTGTTAATTGGCCTACCATTAAGTGTGACCCTTGTACCCCAGGTAACCGAACCATAGGTTATTATGGGTCTTATTGCCATTTTGTATAACCATAGATTCATCATCTTTGGGTCAAGTCCCCAGCTTTTTCCACAAAGCCTTTTGCATGTCTCCAGGGAAATTTTAGCCTTCTGGAAAACTTTGTTGAGGTGTGGACAACAGGATCGAAAATGACTCCTAGATATTTGACCTGTATTAGTGAAAATGAACCAATAAGTATATTTTTGAGGATGGTTTTTATTGGGTTCAAAGCCCTCCTAGTACTACTACTACTACTACTACTACTACTACTACTACTACTACTACTACTATCAAAAAATAGATTTCTATTATTTATCATTTTAGATTACAGCATCTTTTGAAAAGCCATTTTTTTTTTCGTTTTTAACTAAATTTATCTCACATGTCAGGTATAGTGAGTTTTCTTTGAACTGATTTTCCCAAAACTCATATCTCTCCATTTCTTTCGACAGATATCGCCCAAATTCGGCTCCAAGCGAACGCAAACACAACATCCTCTCCAACATTTCGATTTGTGGAGAAACATCTATCAAAAACGTAGAAGAAGCCGCCAGAGCGAGCATGAAAGCCAAAAAGTCCGTCTCTGCAAAATCCTATTCAAAAGGTAAAATGTCTCAAATTGACGAAAAGCGTGAGATGGTTACGCCACCCTCGATGCCTCACGCGCCTACTATAGTCGAGCCCATTGCGCCCCCTATTGTTGGAGAAGAAGAACTGACCAGACTACTTTTGGCCACCGATGGCTGGGACGATTGTCAATTGGAAATGCTCGATTCCATTTTGGATTCGCTTTAGGGTAGAATTTTTCGTACAAACAGTTTCTAGTCATGTAGTAATAATACCTAAATATAACACAGTGTTCTTGTGCCTTTTCGCTCAACACACAGTGTGACGATTCTTTGAAAAAGATTGTGTGTGCCTTTTTGTAATTCTAGAAAAATGTGTATAATTAAATTTAAGAAGACACTTTTCAGTTACTTTGCTCAATTTTTTTGGCTCAAAATTAAAGCTCAATATTTAAATTATTTTGCTCAAAATATTAACATCCGTCCTAATAAAAATTGCCTTTGAAAGTGCACTTTTATAATATTTGTTTAAGTGATTTTTGTTCTGTAATCGATACAGAACTTTTATTATCAACTTCCGTCCAAACTAGTATTTAAGAACCTTTTTAGATTGTAAAGGGAAATTGAAAAAAAGATATATGTATTTACTATAGGATTAGTTTTGAAAATCTGGTTTAGAGAGTAGCAAATTAGAAGATTTGTTATTTGTAACTTAAATATTTATCTACCATAATTGAATCAATAAATTCGTAATAATATGAGTTGTTTTATTATTAATTTATTTTGGGATTTGTAGTGTGTGATAATGAGAATTTTGTCATCTCATTATCAGGAGAAACCCTCCTAGTAAATGTTGCCTATAGAAGCTCTATTTTGTCTGATGGATCTTTGACTTTCTTCAGCTTCTTTGGATTTCCCCAAATTTTCTCAGAGTTTCTTTTAGTGATTTTGTCTATATTCTTCTGACAGATACACTAATAATTGATCATAGATATTTACACTAAAGTGTCGTCAGCAAATTACAACCATTGATTTGAACTAACTGAATGATGCTATGCTGTTTTTGTTGAAATGGAGCTGAGGTGGAACACCGTAGTAAGTGTGTAAGTATAATTTTGCTTTGGTTGACAAAAAAAAAATATAATTTCTTACTAAAATACTTTATTTTCAACGAACAAGTTTAACTAGAAATCTAAAAGATTCAAAAATGGATTTGATAAAATGGTAAAATTGCAAAAAGCCCCTAAAAAAATGCTAAACACTACATGTTTTTCTTGGTCTCATAAGGGTTTTAACACTAATAATCAACAAGTTTTAATATTAACCTAGCATATTTAAAAGCTCATTTCAAATTTAGATATGTGTGTGTGTGTCATGACAAAATTGTGTGAATTTTTTTTAAAGCAAACTAAACTATTATTCTATTATTTTTTTTTTGGAATGAACAATAAATAATTTATCTCCTTAAAATCGCCAATAGGTTCTGCACCCTGTCCAAGCAATTATGGCTATTCAATTTCTCCAAACTATCAACAATTTCATTGTCTTTAAGATCTTTTACAATTTCATTTGAATCAACAAGATTCTCTAGTAAGCTTAAACAATTTTCAAATATTGGCTGGTCCCATTTTTCTCCATATTTATTCAAGACAAAGTTGAAATTTTTGCCTAAAGCAGCTTCACATAGGGATGTATAAAATGGATCCAAACTATTCGAATTATGCAAACCAACTGCCAAAATTCTAAGTGCAATAAAAGCTTCATTTTGCATCACCGCATGATTTGAAGATATCATTTCTACTATACACTTAGTGCTATCTTTTACTGATACAAACATAGGAAATGGCTCAGAGGATTTAGTATTTTTAATCAGCCAACTGAAACTTCTTGGCACTTCACCTCTAAAATTGATTTTGTTTTTAAAATAAAAACACTCAAGTCTTTTCAATTACCTGACACCTAAATGGTCCGAATTATAGCAGCAATACACTAAACGTTCAATGAAATCTTTTCTGGATAATAAATTCAATGCCGCATTAGGCTGACCATCGATTACTATTCTAAATGTGCTTAAAACTTTGAAAACCACAATATATCTGTCTTCGAATTTTAGCATTGGATACATTACTTCTATTATGCCATCTTTTAAAGCCTAAAAAAATCTCAAATGAAAATTTTTCACTATTTTTCCAATGTGTGAACATACTTGTGGTTTATTTTCTTTTGAAATTACTAAATTTTTCAAAGTGCACAATAAAGCGTGTTGTATTTTGCAAGGATCACTAGGCTGTGAAAATTGTTTTAAAAGATCAATAAGTTTTTTGGCTATTCCGTCTTTGACCATTTGAATACAGTAAGAGTCTTTTCTGGCAAAATTTCCTATAGCGAGAATACCTAAAAATGTCAATTGTATTAAAGTTTTCATGATTTAGGTATCGCACCTGTGGTTAGTAAATCAGAATCTTTAGAATCTAACCAAACTAACATGTTCTGATAAGTTTTTCCTTTTCCATCGTTGTACAAAAGGTCCATACAAGCATCTCCAGTAAGTATTATAACTATAAGATCACAGGCTTGTTTTAAAAGGGCTCTGCCTTCTTCATCATTTGCTTTATCTCTTGTTGAATTAAAAGGAAAATTATTATTTATTTGATGTATTATAATGTAACAATTACTCACTTATATTTTTCAATTAAATGAAATAGCAATTCACAAACTCCTTCTTTAGCCAAAATGCACTTGAATTCATCCTTTTCTGACAAAGGAAGAAGAATATCCAGGCACATGACACATATTTCAGGTATTTCAGATTTTTTAAATATTTCTATAATAATTTTTACCAGATTCTCAGTAAAAATAAACTCTTCATCATCTATATATTCAGTGAGAAATATTGTGATATTCAAAAGGTGATTCAGTGGGGTCTCACTATCCTTATATTTGTCTAATAAAGTTTCAATTGTAGACAAAATCCCACCATTTAATGCTGTTTTTGGTAAAGAATCGCTACTGATTAAATTAATTAAGAGTCCACAAATTTTTATAGTTAAATCAGTTTTGGAATCGTTTTTTAACAACCTTAAAATACTGTCGATGCCTGCTTTGTCAATCAACTGGCAAGCCTCTTTATTTTCATAACAAATATTGCCTAAGGCTCTGATAGTTGCAAATATCAACAAAGGTGAACCTAGAGATAGGAATATCTATTGTAATAATTAGGTATATACAGGGTTGTCGATATGTATGGAAGAAAAATGTTCAATATTTCTTGGGAATCCCAATATTTAATACTAATATTTACAATGTTGCTGTATGTAGGTAACTTAATTTTTTTTTAAACAAAAGTTTTTCCTTATTTTTATTGTAATTAATTGAGTGTCGCAACATCAGTAAAACCCCTAAATGCGTTTGAGGGGTCCCTATTGATCAATTAGACACAAAATCTCAACATAAAATAATTTGAAATTTCATCATTTTAGTACTAAGGTAGGTACCGAGTTAGGTACCTTATGATTTAGATCTTTGACAACTTTGAAAGATAATAACTTTTTTTCTATTAGAGATAGGAACGAGGGGCTTTTCACCTACCAAAAATTGTACACCGATTTCCAGTTTTCTTAACATTTCACGGTATTTCCATGTATTTTCGAGTATTTAAAGTAAGTTAAAAGCATTAGAAAGAAAAACCGCTTACATTCTTTAGTACATAAAAAAATGGCCACTCCTGATGAGTGCAGCATGTATCAGAAACTTAGAAAAAATGTGAAATCTCAAATTAGGAATGAATATAAATTACATAACCAGAACATTGAACAAAATATATCTAATGATCCGAATAACTTTTGGGGATTTTTACGCGGTAAAAAGGGTCTTAGTGGATTGCCAAACAAGATGGTGTTTGGTACTGAGCTTTTTGAAGGTCCTGAAAATGTTGCGAATGCCTTTGCTCATTTTTTTAGCTCTGTAGGTATATGAGAAATGCAATACTCGAGATACTGTCACAAATGCTGAACGATGGGGCTCATTCAAATTTTCAGTCATAACTGAAGCTGATGTTAGAAATAGCATAAAAAATCTTAAACCCAAAAAAGCTACCGGGCCGGATGAAATACCATCAGTTATATATAAAGGATATGTTGATTTTTTAATTAAACCACTAGTTTTTATGTTCAATCTAGCAATTGAACAAAACAATTTTCCATATCTTTTAAAAATGGCTGTAATTACCCCTATGTATAAAAGTGATAAGAAAGATAGTATTGAAAATTATAGGCCTATAAGCTTATTGAATGGCATAGCCAAAATATTTGAAAATATTCTCTATATCAACCTTTTTGAGCTGGTCCAACCATCAATATCAGTTTCACAACATGGATTTGTTCCTGATAAGTCCACGGCCACAAATCTATGTATATTTTCAGAACATGCGTGTGAGGCAATAATTAATAAGTCTCAGCTAGATGTTATATATACTGACTGTGCAAAGGCATTTGACAAAGTAGACCATTGTATTCTGCTGGATAAACTGGTTGATTTCGGATTTTCCAAGGAAGCTTACACTTTTATGAAATCATATCTTTTTAACAGAACTCAGGTTGTAAAAGTTGCACAGGCTAAATCAGAGCAGTTCATTGCGACCTCTGGGGTACCTCAGGGTAGTAAGCTAGGACCACTTTTATTTATTATTTTTATTAACGATTTACCATATTCTGTAACCACATCAGCCAGTTTGTTGTATGCAGATGATTTCAAACTTTTTAGACCAGTATTATGCGATCATGACTGTAATGATCTTCAGTCTGATCTGAACTCCGTGGTCAATTGGTTTTGTGTGAATAAGATGTCCCTCAATGTTGATAAATGTTCAGTTGTTAGTTTCACTCGAAAACAAAATATTATTATACACGATTACTATGTAGATGGTGTATCATTGAAAAGAAATAGTAAAGTCAAAGACCTTGGAGTAACTTTTGAATCAACATTAAAATTTAATGATCATTTTGTTAACATTGTGAATAGGGCTTATAAAGTGTTGGGCTTTGTATTCCGAAACAGTAGGAGTTTCAGTATTGAGACAGTAATAAAACTGTATAATGCCCTTGTGAGGTCCTCATTTGGAGTATGCATCGAATGTATGGTCACCAACAACAGCAGTAGGTATAGATCTAATAGAGAAAGTAGGTACAGAAGAGATTTTTAGGGTTTCTTTATGTGAAAAAAAATAAAGTTTACAAAAAACACAAAAAAATATCTAGTTTCTGCCGGAATTGATAGTTCAGGTACCTAGTCAACAAATATTTTATTAAATAATGAAAATCAAAGTTGTAAGCAAAACTGTATGCAAAATAATTTAAAATACGAATAAAAACATATCCAAAACAAACTTGCTTGGCCGCCACGTCACATTGAATTTTCCGTTTTGACAGATGGATTGAATTGCCTAATATCGGGTCTTCAAAAAAAAAAACAATCAAAGATTGCTATGGTTTTTTAAACGTACCATCGTCACCAAAAGTAACTGGGACAGCATCACATTAGCTCTTGTCCTATTATATGAATTTTATTGTCAAATATTTGACAAATTATGCATTAAATGCATTGAAATGAATGACAGTAGAATTAGTCCAGGAGATTATTAAGCATTATTTGTGTCCCAGTTACTTTTGGTGACGATGGTACGTCTTAGCAATATTTTTCTTTAATTTTGACAATATCAGTCAATGAAATTTAATGTCAAAAATCCTGACCAATAAACAAACAATAATGTGACGTACGTTTTCGTAACCAAAGCAATCTTCGATTAGTTTTTTTTTTGAAGACCCGATATAATTTGCAAATTTGCCCTTATTTTAACGGATTTTTGAAATTTGTCAGCAAAGCTAAGCTGTCAGATGAATACAAGGGATGAGTTCTGAAATCTGACACTTTTCTGACATCGCTGACATATAAAAACCCGTCTTCTAACCTTATAAAAATGCCAAAATGCCGACTGGTTGGCAAAAGTCACGTGGTTTGGATTCCCTTCCCAACCGCGCTTAGGTAAAACGCTATTTAAATAGGGTAGTTGTCTTATTACTGCTAGCTTTATTTTGAAATCTTCAATAACTCTCCATTGTCAACATTATAAAAGAATTTATTTCAATTAGACTTATTACCCACGAAATACTTTATTCGAGACTTTAATAAATAGTTTCATTCAATTTCCCGATACTTCTGTTGCTGCAATTTTTAATGCAAGGTCTATTTTCAAGTTTTCAACATTTTGCGAACTCAAAAAAATCACATTTTTTTCTAGTAAATATGTACTAAAAACGTAAGGTAATGTGTACCACAAGTATTCGTGGCGCGTACGTCCCTGTACGACAGTTTTTAAGCATTGTGTACCACACTTCCATATTTAGAGTCTGGCAACGCTGCCGTGACCCTACATTGAACGGTTTTTGGCTAGGTTGGAACGAACCATAACGAGATTTCGCATCGGTTCAAAAACAAACGCATGCGCAGTAGTTTAGGAAAGTTGAAAGTTTGTTATTTATATTTATATTTGTGTTGTGTCTTTTGTAGGGGGTTATAGAATCATAAACAGAACACTCTTACATTTTTTGAAAAATAGAAAATAGGCGGCTAATAACCGGAAAAAAAAAAACAAACAAAAATTCTAGGTTATGTATGGTTAAATTCTTGGCCATGGCTAAAGTAACAGAGGTGTTACTATAAATATTTTCTTAAAGTAACATCAATTACGACGTCACTGACACTAAAAGCAGAACCCTTACAGAAGCGAGGTTATAAGTTAATACTGGGCAATGGCTAAATATAAACAACTATTATGATGCTAAACTTTGGTATCGCGAAGGTGATTAGTCGGCGGCTCCATATTTCCATTCCTCACATGCCCTTACTTAATAGTTATTTGTAAACCAAAGGGAGGGGAGTGTGTGTAGGTAAAATTCGATTACTTAATTACCAAAGAGAGAAACGGAACTTCACTACTCCAAGGGAATATACAATATACCTACTTAAGTATATGATTTTTCATACAACAAGATAATAGTAATTGATAATCTATACCTAATACCTGCATTACACATGAGGAGATATACGATACCTAACATAAAACTATTATCTGCAGCGAAAAAACCTGCCTGGGAAGGAAAATAATTTACTTTCCTCCCTAGGGTGGGGAAATAACTATTTTCCTTCCTGAAAAGAAGGTAAAAAATTGTCACTTTCTGACAGGGTCATAGGGAAATGTGTCTTTCCTGCCTTGCCCATACTGCCTGTTTCATAGGTACCTATTCTATTCTATCCTTCAAAGTCAGGTTATTTTTTATATATTTCCATTTTTACTCTAAAACAAATACCAAGAATATCACCTTTACTTTAAATTGCTAAAGAAAGTACCTATCTACATATTGCTATATTGACGTTACTTCAAGAAAATAATTAGAGTAACACCTCTATTACTATAGCCCCTAATAAAAGTAACGTTGTCATCAGTGACGTCATTGAACTGATGTTACTTTAAATTAATAATTATAGTAACACCTCTGTTACTTTAGCCACGGCCTAAATTCTTGGCCATGGCTAAAGTAACAGAGGTGTTACTATAATTATTTTTTTAAAGTAACATCAATTCAATGTTGTCACCGAGGTTGTCACTGATGAAAACGTTACTTTTAATAGGGGTTAATAGTAAAGAAGGTTATTAACTCTAATCATTTTCTTGAAGTAACGTCAATATAGCAATATGTAGATAGGTAATTACTTTCTTTAGCAATTTAAAGTAAAGGTGATATTCGTGGTTCTTGGCATTTGTTTTAGAGTAAAAATGGAAATAAATAAAAAATAACTTGACTTGACTTTGAAGAATAGAATAGAATACTTATAAAACAGGCACAATTATAGGCAAGGCAGGAAAGACACATTTTCTTATGACTGTCAGAAAGTGACATTTTGTTATCTTTTTTTCAGGTAGGAAAATAGTAATTTCGCCTTCCTATGGAGGAAAGTATAGTTATTTTCCTAACAAGTGCGCAAAGTGATACTTTCCCGCACGAAAAAGCAGTTAGAAGAACGACGCGAAGCGGAGTTCGGATAAGCTTTGAGTGCGGGAAAGACACTTTGCGCAAGTGTTAGGAACAATATTTTTTCTACAAGTAAGTACCTACCTTTCTTTTCTATATATTGCTACTATATTGACGTTACTTCAAGAAAATAATTAGTGTAAACACTTCTGTTACTATAACCCCTATTAAAAGTAACATCAGTGACGTCATTGAACTGATGTTACTTTAAAAAAATAATTATAGTAACACCTCTGTTACTTTAGCCACATAGCCACAGCCTAAATTCTTCTGGTTTGAAAAAATGATTTTTTCTCGAATGAAAGTAATAATGTTATTTTAAAACGGGTTCAAAACAGATTTCAAAATTATTTCGAACTGCTGGGCTCGAGAAAAAACACTTATGATCTCAACATAAAAAAATTTGAAATATCATCATTTTAGTACTAAAGTAGGTAGGTACCTCAGTAGGTACCTTATGATTTGGATTTCTGACAACTTTGAAATATCATACCTAACTAATTTTTTTCTATTATAGTTGGAAAACTATACCTTATTTTTTTCCAAGATAGATTTTGACATTGTCAACTTTGAAACATAAACAATGCCGCTAATGCAACTTATTGGCCGCTATTGTAAAACTGATGTCAACCTGCAGAAACACCTCATTTTGCGACCAATCAGGGTCAAGCATTATTGTTTATGTTTCAAAGTTTTCAATGTCAAAAACTATCTTGGGAAAAAATAAAGTATAGTTACCTTATGATTTAGATTTGGAGAGTAAGCTGAAATTTTCAGCGATTTTTACTCCAGTAGAGGACTACAATCCCTGAAAATTTCAGCTCAGTTGGACTTATAATTTACCCCAAATTGCTCAATTTGGGGTAAATTATGAATTTTTCTGAGATGAAAAAAGGAATTCATAGATTTCGGTTTCCAACCTCAGAATAATTTAGTTTATGGAGTTTGGGAGTCCCCAATGATAATTTGAATCATGATTTAAATAGACACAAAATCTCAACACACAAAAATTTGAAATTTCATTATTTCAGTAGGTACTAAGGCTGTTTCCATACATAACACGACAACCCTGTACATTAATGCGGAATTAGGGTGTTATTTCAAAGGAGACCTCAGATAAACTTACTTGAATTCAAAAAATGCAAAAGTCTATTGACGATTTCTCGTTTTGCAATAACCATTCTGTTTTCATCATTCTTGCACAGTTCAGCTATTAATTCGGCCCCCGCGGTTTGTAGATTTTCATTATTTCCATTTAAAAGTTCTTCAAATGTATCTGCCTCTTGTATTTTTACCTGTTCAACTTTGCCGCATAAGATTTCTATGGTTTTAAGGATGTCTGGTTCGTTTTTTGTATTTATAGCTGAACTTAGATTGTCGAGAAGGTTTTCTTGTTTGTTTTCATTCATTTTTGTGACTATTTTTTGGAATTTTTAAGTTAAAAAGTAAAAAAAATATAAGGAATACAAAAATTAAATTTTTTTGTTTGTTTTTTGTTTGACGTTTGTTTTGACATCTATTGCAGGGGTGCGTTCGAAAGCATGGTTCCTGAAAGGAATTTTTTCATCAAAGAGGCAATATAATAAATAGATATTTATTCCTAATTAATTATAATTAAATCTAAAACCTTTCGATATTTTTTAATCCACACAAACAATAGCAAATGTGTAATTTTTCTATAATATGGACATCGAGTTATCGAACGCACCCCTGCCAACTGTTCAGTCCCAGTGTCGCAACCTTTTGAAAATCAGGTGAAAAAATAATAATAATAATTATTTAACTATTTATTAATTTCTAATATTTATTATGCTTTATTCGTATCTATGAATGAACTCAGACCTCAAAATCCAAGATTCATATGCTGAAATTATAAAAAGCCCAAAATCTAGAACAATAAAATTGAGGTTGTGTTTTTCTTTAAAAAAAAAAATTGATTTTATCCTTACTTGTTTCGACCTCATAGATCAACTTTATTTAACAAAAAAGGGGGCATGAAAAGAACAGGGGATAAGGCACCCAGCCAAGGGATGGAAACCCCTTCAAAAAATCGAACATCTGGCTCAATTGCGGTTGAATATGTAATCAACAATTTGAACAATTTGTCTGTTTCTTCAATCCCTTCAACTAGCAGAAGAGTTTATACACACACAAAACCAAAAAAAGTTGATCCAAGAGACATTGACAGGGGGGCAGGTAAGAAATACTTTTGTCAAACATGTTTGCAAAATTACTATTGTGGAAACTTTTCAAATTATCTTGTGAAAAATACCCTAAACTCGACCTATTCAATACAGCAAAATACTTTACTGAACCAAAACATTCAGTTTCAGATTCTTCAAAGAAAAGAAACAGAAGAAGAATTCGAAAGCCTAAAAATAAACCTGAACCTACACCAAGTCCTAGCACTAGTAGAGCACAATTATTTCCTAAATCAAGTCCCTTTTTGTCTCAGAAAACTTTAGAGGTAGGAAACTATACAACTACCAAAATTGCTGCCTCAATACCAAAACAGTTAATTCAGGAAAAGTTTGTTTGTGATATTTATCCAGTCAAAAAACCTACAACAGGTAAACTGTTTAGGAAAAGGAGTACAAAATTTAAATTTGTTAATCTTCGATCATTCCTTGGTGCAGCTAAAACTTGTGTTTTTGTTACAGTAAAGATTTTTACAAATAATGGTAAGATTTCAATTCAAGATTAATAATTGTGTTTTACATTAATTTTTCTCATAGACAAAAGCTTTTCAAAGATGAAGCGGAAATATTTTGACTCTGTGGTTTCAAATAATCACGATGAATTATCTATGACAGAAAATGCAAATAATCATTCTATTAGTGCTCAAGAAGACACTAATGATGAGGTAAAAATCATTAGGAACTGGTAACATTATATAATGGATTTTTGTATATTGTATAGTTGAGACAAGAGCATGCAACTCCTAATAAAAAGAAAACTAGATTCAGGCCGAAAAAGCACAAATTGTACAAGTCTGAAAGGAAATTAGCCAAAGCTGATGCGATTCAATCGTTTCCTCCAACACTATCGGAAGAAGAAGCAAAAATTGGTAAGAATCTTACAAGACAATTTTTTCAAATGAGCAACCTATTATTGTGCAGTTTTCTTCCTAATTGAGCTAGATATTTCAAAAACATAACATGAATGGAATAGCAGGAAGAAGAAACTCTTTTTTTTTGTATAAAAATCTAACAGGATTTCTTGTTTCGTGTTACTTTAATAATGGTTAATTATTGTTACTAGCTTATGCTTGATATTTCTAAGCAAATACTGAATACTGAAAGAGTAGAATGTGTTATTTGTGTTGGAATCTGGCTAAGAATTATACTTTCAAGAGTAAGGACATTGTGGATCCAATACTTATGGGCAGTTACTACTGTGTTTCACCCAATTTGCCGATGACACTTCAGTGTGAATATCTATGATCAATTATTAATGTACGTTGTCCCATTTTGGTTGTACAATTCTCTCATAAGTGATGGAAAAGGTGACAACGCTTTCTTATAGATCTTTCTACGTAGATTCCAGTGGCAAGGTCAGTTTTTCTCTAGAAGTGAAAGTTTTTGATTTATGAACCCAACATACGTTTTTTCAAATGAAACACGCTGTATGTAAGCTCATTGGATAGCTCTGCTTTTGATGATTTCAATAATATAAAGTTCAATAGGGTCATCTATCATATCTGTTTTCCAGTTTTAATCATAAGAAACAATATGTCTGAAAAGGATCTTGCATCTGTAAGGAAAATGAGAAAGGTCTCTTTCTGACACATTGTTTCTTGAGAGGGGTGCAAAAGTCACTTGTGTAAAATACTTCTAATGATCACAGTGACTTGAAACTTCCAGGAATTATGAATTGACATTTCCTCTTTGTGGAAAAGAACTATTTGACATGGTTAACATTTTTTTATTTACCATTGGCGTGCAGTGTTGGGGAGTTAAAAGGGATTATATTTTTGGAAAAAAGATATTAGGGCTTATTATTATAGATAATTTCTTGTATCAGAATAAAATTCAGCATCCCCGAAAACCCCTTAATTAATTCATATTTTTAATATCTCAAGAACTGATTTTACCTAAGAAAAAATACAAAAATTAATTCACTTTTTCTAGTAAGTTGTTTATTTCCAAGTGTGATAACTTGATAACAGATGACATAATTTTAGAATAACTACCTTCTAATTAGAAATAAACAGCTTATTAGAAAAAGTGAATTAAAATAAATAACTATTTATTTTTTGCGAAAATCATCCCTTAAAATTTGGAAAATATGAATTAAGGGGTTTATGGGGATGCTGATATAACCTCTTTTCACCCCCAACACCGCACGCCAATGGTGAATAAAAATGTTTACTATATCAAATAGTTAATTTTTCTAACATACAATCACCACCAAATTTTGAATTATATCGCATTATTAATAACTGAGATATCGGGGTGTATTCATGAGTTGTCAGAAACAGGGTGACACCAGTGATGTACACTCGATCGACCTACGAATGGAGATTTATATGAAAATATACAAAATTATATAATTAGATGACAATGATTCAAAAATTGTACATGGGATTCAATTCATACTAATGGGGAAGGTTCAGAGGGTTATCAGAAACAGGGTGACATCAGTGACGTACACTCGATCAACCTATGAATGGAGATTTATACGAAAATATACAAAATTATATAATCAGATGACAATTATTCAAAAACTGTACATGGGATTAGATTCATACTAAGAGGAAGGTTAAGGGGATTGTCTGAAACGGGGTGACACCAGTGGCGTACACTCGATCGACCTACAAAAAAAGGTTTATATGAAAATATGCAAAATTATATAATCAGATGACAATTATTCAAAAACTGTACATGGGATTTAATTCATACTAATGGGGAAGATTCAGGAGGTTATCAGAAACAGGGTGACACTAGTGGCGTTCACTCAATCGACCTACCAACTTTCAGGATTTATGAATTGAAGTGTCCTCTTTTTGGAAAGTTAATTTAAAGTTGATTTGAAGCTCCAAACTAAATTTGGAAGCTTTTGCTTACGTTAATGCATGCAAAAATCATCAAAATCTGCAAAAATCACTTGTGCAAAGTACTTCTAATGATCACAGTGACTTGAAACTTCCAAGATTTATGAATTGAAGTTTCCTCTTTGTGGAAAAGTTAATTTGAAGTAGATTTGATGCTCCAAACTAAATTTGGAAGGTTTTTCTTCATGTGTGCAAAAATGATTGAAATCTGCAAAAATCGCTTGTGCAAAATACTTCTTATGATCGCAGTGACTTGAAATTTTCAGGATTTATGAACTAAACTTTCCTCTTTGTGGAAAAGTTAATTTGAAGTTGATTTGAAGCTCCAAACTAAATTTAGAAGCTTTTTCTTATGTTGGTGCATGCAAAAATCATCAAAATCTGCAAAAATCACTAGTGCAAAGTAGTTCTAATAATCACACTGACTTGAAACTTTCAGGATTTATAAATTGAAGTTTCCTCTTTGTGGAAAAATTGATTTGAAGTTGATTTGAGGCTCTAAACTAAATTTGAAAGCTTTTTCTCACGTTGATGCATGCAAAAATCATCAAAATCTGCAAAAATCACTTGTGCAAAGTATTTCTTATGATCACAGTGACTTTAAATTTTCAGGATTTATGAATTAAAGTTTCCTCTTTGTGGAAAAATTAATTTGAAGTTCTGCCTCCTCAGGGCATTATGTCTCACTTGTCAAAAACACTTATCAGTCCCAATCAACTACAATCTCTGACTATAGGATAAATGTTTCATTGCAAACAAAATGAAAAATGACTAAACATGAAACTCCTCTCTTCATCCAGGTTGGCATCACTCTGGATCTGGGTCTAATCTTGATCTGCTGTAAAGCTACTGATCTATGTTATCTTCGATATCTTAGCAAGATATTTTTAAGTACAAACATTCAACAAACATATTTATTCCAGCTACAAATTCGAAGGAATTCGTCCGAGGTTTCATCCGTATAAACCCAAAAAATGCTCGCGATTCCTACATAAGCAACATTGACTCGTCTTTGCCCGATTATCATGTCACCTCGATTGCTGATAGAAATACTGCTTTAGACGGAGACGAGGTTTTATTGAAATTGAAACCACAAAGTGAGTGGTTGGAAGGTAAACCCACCGCTTACGTGGTTTACATTGTAAATAAAATCCATCCTCGGATCGCGGTGGGACATCTTAAAAACGCTGGCGGTTCTGTTAAGTTTTTGCCTAGGGACAAACGTATGCCTGTAATGGATGTTCCATTACTAACTTGTCCTAAGAATTATAAAAAGAATCCTAAGGTTTTTGAAAATGTTTTGTTTGCCGCTCAGCTATTGGAATGGAGTAGTCCACATGAGTGTTCAGGTGAGAATTTGCCCTGGTTTTTAGTACAGCATTGAAAAAATTTAATTATAGGCATAATCACTGAAACCTTGGGTATAGCTGGTGATTTACGTGTAGAGACTACAGCAATTTTGAAAGAATTTTGTCTAGATATTACTCCGTTTACACCAGAAATGGTGCAGTATTTGCCTAAAACTAAGGTAAAATGATTTTAATGTATAACTTCTATGTTACAAGTAAATTTCCCTAGGCCATTCCTGACAAGGAACTAGAATACAGAGAAGACTTGCGTAAAAGCTGTATATTTACAATTGATCCTTTAACTGCCAGAGATTTAGATGACGCTGTTTCGGTTAAAGAACTACCAAATGGCCATTATGAAGTTGGAGTTCACATATCAGATGCCAGTTATTATCTTCCAGAAGGTATTCAATTCAATTTCAATTCATTTTTAATCAATACCTCATTATAGGTACTAATCTCGATAAAATGGTATCTAAAAAAGCAACAACAATCTACCTAGTAGATTCAGTTTATCACATGTTGCCAGTTGAGTTGTGTTTGCACTGTTCCTTGTTGCCTGGCGAAGATAAATTAGCTTTTTCGGTATTTTGGGAAATGGATGAACAAGGCCAGATTTTCAGCACAAGATTTTCCAGGACAATAGTGAATTCCTGTTCGCAATTAGCTTACGAACACGCGCAACAAATGATTGAAAATCCCACAAAGGAGTTTGATTTGCCGCCTATTTTTAATGGTTTCAGTGCCAAAGACTTGAGCAAAACTGTAAATGTTTTGCAAAAGATTGCAGTGAATTTACGCGAGGCCAGAATTAAAAATGGTTCCTTGAGAATCGATCAAACTAAGCTTTTGTTTAGCTTGAATCCGGGCACTGGAGAACCTGATGATTTTATTGTGTACGAAAACAAAGAATCACACAGATTAATTGAAGAGTTTATGTTGTTGGCCAATATTTCAGTAGCAGAACAAATCCGCAGCAAATTTCCAGATATTGCTTTCTTGCGTTGTCATGACCCACCTAAACAAACCATGCTTGTGGTGGCCCAAAAAAACTTGGAAACTTGTGGGATTAATATTGATGTAACTTCCAGTGGAAGTATACATGATAGTTTAAGGAAATATATAACCGATGACTATAAAGGTACATTGATGTAGTTGAATATTTTGATAATACTTAGTGAATTTTCTAGGCTATTGTCGCGGTATTGTTCTGAATCAAATATTTGCAAAAGCAATGACAAGAGCCCGTTATTTTTGCTCGGGTACAATGGCAGATGAATTAGGCTATTCACATTATGCCCTCAGTGTACCAATATATACTCATTTTACTTCACCTATACGTCGTTATGCTGATATAATGGTGCACAGACTTTTGGCAGCTAGCTTAGGTCAGTAAATTTAATTTCTTGAAAAAAATACCTATTTAACTAAAATGTGTAACAGATTACTCTGATGAACCAAATTGGAGCAAGGAGGATGTGATTTCAATTGCGGCCAATTGCAATGCACAAAAATACCAAGCAAAAAGGTTTGTTGTTTTGGTTTGGTTGTGATCAATAATTATTTGTGGATTATTTACAGAGCTGGAGAGGCTAGTAGTGATCTTTACTTGGCCCATTACATAGATAAAAGACAACCTTTTATTCAAGATTGCGTTGTGGTAGACGTAAAAGACAGATCATTTGACGCTATTGTTCTTAAAACTGGCAGCATGATAAGAGTTTATCAAAATGTAACTATATTAGCAATATGCAAAACAAATTTTAAAAAATTGTTTTTAGACGTGTCAAGACAATCCGTCTTGGAAAGTAGAGGCGATTCCTTTGAGCTCTCCTAGGCCAGTTAGTCAAAAGCCTGAATTTGGGCACGAGAAAAAAGTTCTGAGACTGACCCTGGACTTTCCAATATCCAAGAAAGTTCCCGAAACTTTGAGGATGGTTGTGGAAATGTTCAGTGTAGTCACGGTGCAATTGAAACGCGTGCCCAATACCTACAGGTTGGAGGCGCACCTTTTGAGGCCTTTGCCTACTAAAGTTTTCGAAAGGGCCAATAATTGAAAATATTGATTGTGTATTGTGTATTGTGTTTTATCATCAGATCGAACGTATAGTTTTTCCAAAGTTAATTGGAACAAGGTGAACATAAATTATAACTGGTGGCTGACTAGTGGCAGTGCATTTCTTATGGAAATTTTCAGTGACTAGTCAGCCACCAGTTGGTACTTTGTTGCAGTTGAGTTTTGAAATACTATACTTTATTTTATTCAAGCAACTGCTAGGTATGTATACTGTTTTTTCACATTGATTTTACTTATTGTAAATAAATTATTGAAATATCATAGTTTTTGCTATTTCTATTTGTTAGGATGGGGATGATAATTTTATCTATTCTTGAACAAAGGTTGTTTTGCTTAGATTTCTTCATGGATTTATTTGCATTGTTTTTCCTATTCCAGGCTCTTGAATTTTTCTTTTGTTTCATTTAGGCTTGGTTTATTCATCTCCAGACAAACTTACTAGTAAATTCTATAATCTTATTGGTCCGACAGATAACCGAACAATCAATAGGATAATAGATTGGGTTTTATCTGTCAGATTGCATTACACTTAACAGTTTATCAGAAGGTGAGTCAAAACATAAAGAATCTAAAGGCCGGATGATTCAAGTTTATTGGCAGATGAATAAATTGGTCCTAAATCTCTCCAAGGCTCGGTTTATTCATCTTCAGACAAACTCACTGGTAACTTTCTACAAAATAATAATTTTACTATTTTATAATCTTATTGATCCGGCAGATAACTGGCCGATCAATAGGATTATAGATTGGATTTTATCCATCAGAATGCATTACTTCACAGTTTGTCAGAAGGTGAGACGAGTCTAAAGGCCGGTTGATTCACCATTGGATACATTTTTTAGATAATGCATGACTGATAAAAACGCAATCTCTAATTCCATTGGCTGGCCAGTTATCCGCCGACCAATAGGATTCTAGATCGATAAATTTATCTCGTAGAAAGTTACCAGCAAGTTTATCTGGATATGAATAAACTGGGCCTAAATGAATTTAAAAAAAAATCAAGCACCTGGAATAGGAAAAAAATTATCTACATATAAGTTAATAGATAGTAAAAAAATTGGGTTTTTTTTAGTGGGGAAATGGTTAAAATCTAAGATCTATCAATATAAGGGCCGGTTTATTCACGTTCTGATAAACTGTCAGGTATGCAATCTGACGGATAAAAACGCAATCTCTAATCCCATTGGTCGGCCAGTCATCTGCCGAATAATAGAATTACACAATTACAGAACGATAAATTCATCTTGCAGATAGTTACCAGTAAGTTTATCTGAAGATGAATAAACCGGGGCTAAATAGGGTAAAGTTGGAAAATGGATCATCAAAATTAAAAACCATAATTAGAGTGCTTACCCATTATTTGAAGATGTCCAGGACAGATTGGATTCCACTCTTTTCTTTCACCAAAATATTGTATTCTTTCCCAACATCCTCTTATTGGTCTGGACAAGAAAAATTGATCCAGGATCCAGATCAACAACAAATAAAAAAAAAACTAATATAAATATGCAATTTGGGCACACGTACTCAATTTATAAATATATCTGGAAACCGATAAAAGTTTACAAATCGTTTTCCACTTCCATAAAACTGGAAAATACGTAGGAGGTAGGAGGAAAATGGCGGGAAAAATCCCTACAGGAACATCAACGCCATCTAGCTAAGAGAGCGAGAAAGACTTCTAGGATAATTTTCGTGTTCTGTTTTGTGTGGTTGTAAGAGGGAGACAACTATAAGGTAGGAATTATTCGAATATATTATAATAAAATGAAACTCTTTTATTGTTAACGTAAAACATTAAATTCGCTTATGGTTGTATATCAAACTGAACTATTTTTATTTTTATCTTCTACAAAATCCGGTTTTAAATTGTTGCGCTGTATGAAAGTTATGAAAAATGAAGCGCAAAATCAAAAATACACTGTTGCCAAATGTCCAATTTCAGGGCTTTTTTACTTTGACATTTGACAGAAGCGCTGACAAGTCCAAGTGACAATTTTGCCAAATCCAAAAATCCATTCCATAATCAATTTCCAATTATATTTCTCTGGCAAAATCCAAACCAAAAAATGTCTGCAGTGTTAAACCACGCAATAAGAAGGTTCATTCAAACCTCCGCCCAAAGGGCGGCTCAAGTCCAGGGCCCTTCCGCCCAATCCGGACTGCACGAAGGTAAGATTTCCAAAAATTCCCATTACATAATGACCTCAGTTTGGTTTTAGGAGCATACAAAACCTGGAAAAATCTTTCCTTTTTCGCCGCTGTACCGGCTATCCTTTTGTGCGCCGCTAACTGTTACATGACCCATATGGAGCATGCCAAACATCCACACGAAAAGCATTTTACCAAGTACGAATACTTGGTTGTGCGTACCAAGAAATTTCCATGGGGAGATGGTAATCACAGTGTTTTCCATAACCCTGAAGTTAACGCTCTTCCTGATGGTTTTGAGGCCTAAGCAAGATCTATATAAGTTTGTAGTTTAAATACTTAAATTGTTTTTATTTATAATAATTCATAATAAATTGGTTAATTAGCTGACAACAAAGGTTGCTTTTTGTCAACCACAATTTGCAATTAGGTATTCTGCTTTTCCAACAATTTTTACTGTTCTTTGTGCCAAGGATAGATGGATTCATAGCCTTATATCGTGACACATTTTCGTCTCTCTAGCTTGTCACAACTTGAAATTTTACTTCTTGTGCATGTGAAACTTTTTCACAAAAGTGAAACATCTATTTTTTCCAATGAATGGAATGGAAGCAATGACTTAAAAGTTGAGAAAAAAAAAACACCTATAACTTTCAAGGACATGGGCAACATTGTATATTGAAAATGCAAAACTAATAAAGAATTTTATGTATAATATATTATTATTTCAACAATTTAATAAAATATTTATAAATCTGTAAAAATATGCATTTGCTAACATAAAATAGGTAACATCCTTTAAACAGTAACAAGAAAAATAATATCAAAAATGTACTCTACATAACTACAAAAAGGCACTTCATTACCAATTCCTTATCCTTTCCTTCTAAACTAGATTAAAATGGAATGTAGGTATTATTACAATAATAAAAAAAAAGTTTACTTTTTTCCAATACCATTTGCATCACCTTTTTGCAAAGTGCAAAATTGAGATTGTAAATTCCTCCAAAGATCCAAAACCTATAACAAAATAATATAGAAACAAATCTATCCTCAAAATCACATTACCTCAAACTGAGTCTTGGTTCTCAAATCAATAAAACTGGCAAATATAGATGGCATTGTACCCAAATAGGCAAACACGAGCTGCGTCTCCATGTGCACGCAATACAAACTGAAATCCGTTCTCAAATCTATGCTGGAAATAATGTTTTCTTGTGCCAGCATTTTGGCTTCCAACTGTTCCACTGTTTCGGAGTCAACGCCTCTAATAGCGCCTTGTAGTTTTTTCTTTTTTAGAGCCAGCATTTTGGATAGAGCAACTTGGTGATCGTAGGCAAGACCTTTTTCCAGCCTCTCACAGAGTTCTTTATATGAAACCAATATGTCATAGAGTAGAGCTAGTTTTTCGCATACTATACGTTGTTCCGTATCTGCTCTGGATAATGTGGTTTGAGAGATTACATGAAGTTCACTGGAATAAAACAGAATTTTTTATTTGTAATTTATTTTTTTTTTTTTGATCTAGCTTACTTTGACATGCTAGCAAAATTGCTCCAATGAGTTCCAATATTCATCCCACTAACATTTTTCAACTGACTAGACATATCTTCAATATCTCTAGCAGACAAATGGCATTGTTCCACCAAAGAATCCACATTTTGCTTCAATCTGCCCACTATATTCACCAGAGTCCTGATATTTTCTCTATTAATAGCAATTTGACTATTATCACTTGGCAACAATTCCTTAAAACATTCATTACAAAAAAAAATTACTTTAACAATGAAGAAATTACTTTGGCTGTAGCAGCAACATCAGAAGTCATAAACTCATCGGGGATTTTCTTGAAAACATTCCTGATGCGATGCTGTAGATCGGCGCCTTCATCAGTGAGGAAAAATGCCATAATGCTATCGTGGCAGAGTACTGGATGTCTGCAGACTAATGTGAGCCATCTTTGTAGACCTCTGGTACGTTCTTCCAAGAATTGAGTGTCATTCATTATGATTTTTTTTGGAGGCAAACTAGGAACCAATCTAAAATATGTATTTGGTAATTGGATGATTACTTATATTATGAAACAGAGCCTTTGCTTGCTTGATTTGAGTGCGGAGAATATCAAATCAAATCAAATCAAAATATGCTTTATTGTTTAAAGATACAAATCTTGACAAAACGTTGCCAAATTTTGGTATTGATTACTATTGATGTTCCTTGGTATTTTGTTCTATCCTTGCCTTGGTTCTACCGATATGGATGGTAATGAGGAATTTACGGATGTTTGTTTGAAATGCAGAGAGGATATCGAAGATCAGGAAATTTTTGAATGTGACTCCTGTTTGAGCAAGATTCATAAAACATGTGCTGGTTTAACATCATCAGAGCTCCGAGTGATGCCACTTCAGAAACGATTTTTGATGTTTGTTTGTGACTCGTGCAGACAAATTTTGAGGAGAATGCCAATGATTATTAGCATGATTGAAGATTTGAAGAAGGATTTCTCAACTTTTAAAAATAAATTTAAATCAGAAACAAGCCCTGTGAATTTTATTCAAAATAAAGTTACATATGCTGATAAGGTCTCTGGTGAAGTCAACAAAATCAAGAATATCCCCAGCTTAATTCTAAAGCCTAAAAAAAAACAAAACTCACAAAAAACCAGGGAAGACTTACACAAAAATATAAAGCTGCCGGCGCTTAATGTTGGAGTGAGAAGTACTAAGGAGATTAATGATGGTGGAATGGTCATAAAATGTGTGACTAAGGAAGAAGTGGAAACACTTCAAAGTGAGGCGCAAAGAACGCTGAGCAATGACTATAACGTCCATGTTACCAAGCTGAGATGCCCCAGACTGAAAATAGTTGATGTCACACCGGAAATATCACTAGACAATATTGAGAATGACCTCAGAAGACAAAATTCTTATATTTTGGATAGTGATTACCTTAAGGTAGTCTTTGTAAGGAGTCATAGAAACAAAAACACTAAAACTATATTTTTGGAGTGTTCTCCCAAACTTTTCCATAAATGCGTCCGAAAAGGAAGGGTTTATTTGCAGTGGCAAAACTGCAGAATTTTCGAGGATATTACTGTCCCAAGATGTTATAAATGCCAGGGCTACAACCAAAAACGTACTGATTGTAAAAATTCTTCGGTATGTGGCTATTGTATGGATGGTCATGAAACAGAACAGTGTAGTAAAGATTTTAAGAGGTGTGCAAACTGTACTTCTGCCAATTCTAAATATAAAAAAAATTATGATGCCGCTCATTAAGTCAATGATCCTGCATGTCCTTCCTACAAATACATGCTAGATGTTGTACGGAGCAAAATAGATTATGGAAAGCAATAAATGGCTGCAAATATGGAGGATCTTCTCGAGAGTTTAGAAAATATGGAGGAAGCTGCAGACATTGCACGGGGATGTGTCTCAAGTGACATTCTTAAATCTAAAATCAATATTCTTGGAAAAATTCTGAATCTAGTGCACATAAATATCAGAAGTGTGAAAAAGAATTTTGACTCTTTGTTGGTGTCATTGGAGGCTTATGGTCTCGACTACTGTGATATTATTGTACTGAGTGAAACCTTCCAACTTGTTGGTTCTGAGGTCGAGCAGTTCAATTTGCCTGGTTACTCTGTCCATTATAACAATGCAAGTACAAATAAAAATGATGGTATGCTAATATATACAAAAGATCATTTGAATGTGCACATTACAGATGTCTTGCTTCCTGTATCTCATGTCACCCTCAGCATGATTGAATCCAGAGTGGAAAATGTTGGTGTAACTTGCCTGTACAGACCTCCCTCAACAAGAAAAAAATATTTTGTCAACGACTTGGAAAACTACTTCACCGACAATCTTACAAACCAGATTGAGATTTTTATGGGTGATATTAATATTGATATTTCTGACTGTGATGATGAGAGTGTTAATGGTTATCTGTCAACCCTTGGTAACCTTGGTTTTTTCTCGTTTATCAATTGTCCTACCAGAGTCACATCAACAACAGCTACCTGTATTGACCATATTTTTGTTCGTAAGAAAATTAATAATTCCTTAATTAATTGCCAATCTTTTGTGTTAGACTCTGACTTGACTGATCACTATCCCGTTATGCTTAATGTTAGATTGGGTAACTCTAAATGCGATAGATACAAAGAAGACAACGTGAAATCCGAAATCACTTCTATTGATTACGCTACTCTCTATAACTCTTTTGCAACACAGAATTGGCAACTGGTTTTGAACTGCGCAAATTCTCAAGAAGCAACTAATATATTCTATGAAAGCTTCCAAGAGCTGCTTCGTGGAGCAAAATCGACTAAAGTCATCGTAAATAAATCAAAAAAAATTAAACCTTGGATCACCTTTGGTATAGTAAATTCCATAAAAAAAAGAAATAAATTTAAAAAAAATATTTGCAGTCACAAGATGAAAACTTAAAAACTCAGTATAAAAATTATAGAAATCAATTGAATAAATTAATCACTAAATGTAAATTTGACTATTATAAAAATAAAATACATGAAAGTCAAAATGATGTTAAACAGATCTATAAAATAATATGCAATGCAACAAATGAGAAAGTCAAGAATAACGACAAAATTAACATCTTTGACATAAAAAATAAAGCCTTTCAAACAGACATTGACATGGCCAATTTCTGTAACAATTTTTTTATATCAATAGGAAAAAATATGGCTGAGAAAATACTACCGGCCAAGGAGCCAAAATGTACTATTAATGAACCACTTGCATCTCTCTTTTTAAAACCTGTAAACCATAACGACTTAATAAAACATATCAACTCACTCGGCCCCTGGTATGGACGGTATATCAGCGAGACTAATAAAAACTGTGCATCAACATATTTTGGAGCCATTATCTCATATTGTGAATTTAATATTTGAGACCAGTATGGTGCCTGCGGAATTTAAAATTGCTGTTGTGACACCCATCCACAAGGCTGGCAATAGAAATGATATCAGTAACTATAAGTGTCATCAATAACTTTGGAAAAATATTTGAAAAATGTCTCAAGGAAAGATTGATGAAATTCTTGGTTGAGAATGGAATTTTATCAAAAAAACAGTTTGGCTTTGTGGGTGCAGTTAGCACCTGTGATGCTATGTATGAATTGGTGGAACAAATAACTGCAAAGCTAGATGGTGGAGAGAGGAGCATAGCTGTATTCTTGGACCTGGCTAAGGCCTTTGATACTGTGCCCCATGATATGTTGTTGAACACACTTGAGAAGTGTGGTGTTAGGGGTAGGGCATTGGAAGTCTTTGTATCTTATTTGAAAGGCAGGAGACAAATTTTAAAAATAAGAAATGCTATCACAGTGATCCTCTTGAAACCATGGTTGGTGTCCCACAAGGAACCGTACTTGGCCCCTTGCTGTTTATTACTTATTATAATGCTTGATATTGGGGGTTCCATCATTTCATATGCAGACGACACTGTCTTGGTTTTCTCGGCCGGAGACTGGGACTCTGTTAGGGATATGGTGGTTGAGGGCCTTTCTAGTGTCAGGAATTGGCTGGATTATCATAAACTTTCTTTAAATTTAGATAAAACACATTATATAGCATTCTCTTCAACTAATATTAATCGTCCTAATTTCTCTAGCATCGACATAAATGGAATGGATACATCGATAAAAGAGGTTTCTAATACGAAATATTTGGGAATAATTATTGATTTTCACCTTAAATGGGAACACCATGTTTTTAGATTGAAAAACAATATTAGGAAACTTATTTACAAGTTCTATATTTTGCGTGAAATAATGTCAAAACAGCTTCTAACTATGATCTATAAAGCACTGGTGGAGTCATTAATCAGATATGGAATTGTGATATGGGGAGGGGTTTATAGTTCTGCCCTGTCCCAGCTCAATGTTACTCAAAACTATATTCTTAAGGTTATGAATAAAAAAGAAAAACGATATTCAACTAGTCTTCTGTATAATGAAAATATTTTTAATGTTAGATCCTTGTATGTGTTTTCTGTATGCTCTTATGTCCACAAAGGAGAGAACCTGAAGAAATATGTTGACCATTGCCATGCGACAAGGAGTATAACACTGGGCAAACTGCAGATTCCAAGTAGTCATAAAAATATCAACCAAAGATTTATCAGTTATTTGGGTCCAAAATTCTACAACCTGCTACCTGAGAATGTTAGAAGGCTGAAAAACATGAAAAGATTTAGCATAGCCTGTAAAAACTTTATACACAGTGTGTAAAAAGTCCCGGAACAGACAATTATTTCGAAAATGGTGCACAATATAAAAAAACTTTCTGTATAAAAGTTGAAGGTCTTATTGAAATCTATTGAAATAGGACTTATGTAATTATACAGGGTGGCCCAAAAAGTTGTGCTACACAAAACTTCATTTTTTTTTAATGGAATGATACTTTTTAATTAAATTTTCTAATTCCTCTAGAGATTCTAAACAACAATTATGAAACATGTCATATAGCTCAACCCATTAGTTTCAAAAATAATTTGAGTTGAAGGACATAAATACAATAAGTACAATATTACCTACATTTTGCATTGTTTCGAGTTGGTTCAAAATGGTCACCAGACCTAACGACCCTTGATTATTTTCTTTGGGGACATCTGAAAAATAAAGTGTTTGTGACAAAACCTCCAGATCTGAACGAATTGATGAGAAGAAGAATTATTCAAGAATGTGCATCTATTAACCAAGAAATGTTACAAAACGTCATCAATAAATTTTATTATAAACATTTTGAACCAACTCGAAACAATGCAAAATGTAGGTAATATCGTACTTATCGTATTTAAGGTAAAGTACCCAGTTGTTGACATGTTAAGGGTATCCTTGCTTATGATCACCACCCATTTTCCAAATTTTCAATCCCAAGGCTTTGATATATTTTTTAGCGTGATTTCAAACTCATAATTAAATGTGTAGATATATTATTTACTCTATATTCCTATTATTTGTGTTATTATGCCAAAAATACCTGAAAGGTGATAAAACCCCAATAGTTGACACCCAAAAAAGTTCACTGCGCCAAAAGTTGACACATTTTTGATCCAAAGGTTGACATTATATTTTTTTACAAAACCAAATTTTTACTTTTAAGAAATTTTATCACGGTCTGTGGAACTAAGAGGTATATTTTTCTAAGTGTACAATTTTTTAAATGAAATATATGCACATAATAACCAGTTATTTTAATTTTTTTTAAGTACATGTTGTGGTTCCATTACTTGACACTCTTGAAACCAATAGTTGACATGTTGCCTGTATCAGTAGAAACCCTGGTAGAAACATCAATAATGTAAGAATCAAACTTTTTAATAATAAAAAATAACATTGGGAAACTTTTTGTTGGGAAAAAAATACAAATTTCAATTCCAAATTGCTAATAAAAGAAATTGCTTGGAAAGCATTGGTACATTGTGTTTTTTTGCTGCTGTAGCTGCAGTGAGCCCCCTATCACAATCATCCAATGCAGCAATCACGTCTTCTAGTAGTTCTGGTACATATTTCAGCAATTTCCATTTTTCATGCGTCATCTCTTGATTAAACTTGAAAGGACCAATTGTTGACACTCCAAAGCTCCAAACCTTGACAGGGGTAACAGGGGTGTCATCTTTTGGATCTACGACCGTTACATTCCCCAAACCCATATCTAGGTTTCTTTTTAATCCAGAGCAATAAAAAGAGACAGACTACATTGTTAAAATATTTTTACCGCCAAAAATCCATAAGTTGACACTAGTGTCAACATTTGGATCACCCCTCGATTTGGGCTTCAATAGTTGACACCCCCCCTTAAAAAGTTTATGCCAGTTGTTTAAGAGATAAAACAATAATAAATATGTATTACAATGTATCTTATTATACAGTAAATATATATTATTCATAATTTATCAACCCTACCTTAGCTTTGAGAACTTTTGTTTTTATATCTTCTTAACTATTTTCACTAAAAATCTGGGAAAAAATTCAAACATTTGCACCTGTTCACTACTTCTTGCGACAATTTTGAAAAAACTTGTCATATCAAATCCATACATCAGCTATAGCCTGAAAGATGGCTCTAACAATACTATAAGCTATTTCAGTTAGCTTATAACCTATATAAATTCTTATTTTCGGGAATAATATGCTAATGTGTCAACTTTTGGGACCCTGTCAACAACTGGGTACTTCAACTCAAATTATTTCTGAAACTAATGGGTCTAGTCAGTCAGCTATATGACATGTTTCATAATTGTTGTTTAGAATCTCTAGAGGAATTAGAAAATGTAATTAAAAAAGTATCATTCCATTAAAAAACAATGAAGTTTTGTGTAGCACAACTTTTTGAGCCACCCTGTATAATTACAAAAATCCTATTATAATAGATTTTATTAAGACCTTCAACTTTTATACAGGAAGTTTTTTTATATTGTGCACCATTTTCGAAATAATTGACTGTTCCGGGACTTTTTACACACTGTGTATATAAGAACAACAAACAATTTATAAAACTACTATAAACTTGTAAAGACCTATTGGTTTCACAATAAGATCCTAACTTGTATGCACATAGATATTAATTGTACATAACATTTGGGTTTGGATTCTATCAGCACATACAGCTGTTAAATCAGCTAGGTGCTATTATTTGTGTATTTTGACTATAATTTATGTACAATGTTTTCTAAATAATGATCAAATGTTGTTAAATTACTATTATATTATTATCAAATATATTATTATATTATTATCAAATATTATTATTTGATAACAAAGCTTCCAAATATAATATAATTAAAATTGAAATCATCAACAAAGTAGGTACGTAAAAATAAAGATAATAAATAGGAATCAAATAGGAATAAAAACAACTGGATAAAATAGATCGAAAGACTGCTCAACATTAAAATTAAAAACAAACTTAAAATTAAAACTTAAAATTATTGACCATTAAACAGATGAGATGAGAAGTATTCCTCTACAGAGTAAAAACCCTTAGCCAGAAGTAATTTTTTGCAAGTTTTTATCCCATTTAGTTCAGTAATTTAATGGAGACAACTTTTAATGGAATTTTATGGTCTTCAACAAACCGCGAGTAGATCTCAGGGAATTATGAATTTTCTCTTATTTACTTAGATGCAAAAAAATCATGTGAAATTTCGATTATATCGGTTTTGGAAGCTTCTGAAAAATACTAAAAGCAATCAGAGGGACTTCAAACGTTCAGGATTTATTGAGTAGGGTGTTTTCATCGAGCAAAACAAAATATGAGTGGATCTCAGGCTTAGAAATGGAATTATGAATCTCTTTCTCACTTAGATGCAAAAAGAATCATACAAAATTTCCATTAAATCACCTTTGGAAGTTTCTGAAAAATACTTCAAGTAATCACAGGGACTGCAAACTTTTAGGCTTTATCGAGTAGAGTCTTTTTATCAAACAGAACAAACCGCGAATAAAGAGCTCAGGCTCAGAAATGAAATTATGAATTTTTTCTCACTCAGATACAAAGAAATCATACAAAATTTCTATTAAATCACCTTTGACAGCTTCTGAAAAATACTTCAAGCAATCAAAGAGACTTCAAACTTCCAGGATTCATTGAGTAAGGTCTTTTTATCAAAAAGAACAAACCCCGAAAGGATCTTGAGTTCAGAACTGGAATTATGAATTTTTTCTCACTTAGATGCAACAAAATCATGTAAAATTTCTAATAAATCAACTTTGAAAGTTTCTGAAAAATACCTCAAGCAATCAGAGGGACTTCAAACTTTTAGGATTTATCGACTATATAGGTAAACATACAGGGTGTCCCATAATTCACAGTCCAAACTTGAAGGAGTAATTCTTTGGTTTATTTTATGACTAAAATTTCTAATAAACATAGGTTCGCAAACGCTTCGTTACCGATCTACAGGGTGTTGAAATTTCAATATTTTTTTCTTTATAGCTCCTGCAATTTTTGAGGGATTTAGCTGAAATTTGGAATATTCAAAAGTTTGCCAGAATTTAGAGGGTGATGTTTTTTCAGGAGTCATATACCCTTTTCTGCCCCTGAACTTCTTTGCGATGCACCGCGGGTAGATTCTAAAGAACTAAATTATTTTTCTCCCTAGCTGATTTCCTATGTTTCATAGTTTCCTGTCTCAAATTAAGTAGCAAAGATATACTCTACTAAAATGTAAATAAACAAAAATTTTACCTATAAGGAAATCTACTGAGCAACAATTCTTGTAGAGCAACAAAATCATTATATCTCCTAGTAACTTTTGTATTGAACCTCTTTGAACAAACTAAATATTCAGAATACTTCAAAAATAAGCCTTTCTTTTCAGGTACCAACTGCACTGTAACAGTGTCAATTTCTATAATTTTTTCATAGCTACTAATTGAAGGTACTTCTTCAACAAACAGTTTCAGTTTGAGATTAACCACTGAACTTAAATCATTGATTTTAGGACTTGGGTACTCATCACCTGTAAATGTATCAAACAACTTATCTGATACCGATTTGCCTTGTTGGGCCCAAGCCACTAAGGCCAAAGTTTTGTAAAAATTTGTCCTCGTGACTGTGCCTTGTCCCTTAGGGCCCACCAAATCCCAAATTATCTTTAGTTGAGATGAGTCCAAGTTGCATTGAGACAGTAGGGCTTGGTAGATGTCTTTGTGTACAGGATTGTCGTTGTGTGAGCATTTTTTGTAGGTGTCCCTGTAAAGGACAGGAATTGCAGCTAGAATAAAGACAAACATTTATTATTGAGGGTTTTATTTTAATGTTTAATGATTTATGCACATATAGCTGCATTACCTATTGCTAAACATCTGGCAAACATCTTCTTGATGAAAACTTCCTGCAAACAGTTTGTTAAAAGGCTTGAATGACGTTAGTTGAACATGAATTTTTGTGTAAGGAACACCACAACCACAAGATAAACATTATGAATAATTCATTATTACTTACCTGAGCTTAAATCTGTTGTCATACTTCTAGAAAAGTTGAGAGCATATTGGCAACAATTAAATCACTTGGATTATCAATTTCTATGTCCATATATTGTGGTATTTCTACAATTGCACAGCTGAAATAAATTGTACAGGAACAATTTAGTATTATGTTACAAACCCAATAATTTTATGAATAATTTAAATAATCTACTCTTGCAAAAACTCAGATAAAAATTAAACCAACATTAGTGGGCGTACGAATCTCTGTCAACAAACGTAATAGAATCCTCTCTTCAAGGCAATAACATTCAATGAAGCTGTCGAACAACATGAAATTAAATAATTTATAAACAAAACCAGATGGAAATGGATAATTTAAAAAAATTAGCATAACATAACCACAAAAATTTGAGCTTAAGCATGGATTTTTTTTAAAAAAAATATCTAAAACATGATTTTTTCTACATAGTAGAGATTTCCTAATAGGTACCTATTTGAAGTTCATTCTTATGGTGGGTTGACACGGTCCAATTATACTTGGATCAAGTACCACTTGGATGTTAGCCTACTTGGATTGTATCAACTTTTTATCCAAGTGAGTAGGCTTCAGCTGCATGCCAACTAACTTGGTCAAAGTTCTTGGTCCGTGTCAACCTGATTTAAGTAGGCTGACTACCAGCTATTAACTTGGTTTAAGTTTTCAAGTTCTCAAAAATATTAGATTCAGAAAAGGGTTATTTATGGGAAACAGTAGAGCATCCAAGAGTCAGCTTCTTCTACAAGAGCCTCTAACTCAAGAACTATTGGAGCTAAAAAAAAGCTTAAAGTATCAATACCTATGGAGCTACTTTTCAAAAAAAAACAAGTTTTTGTCTACATAATACCTACATTTTTCATGTTACTTTGAGATCTCTACTTCAACACCGTTCTTGCCATGGTCGGTACTCAGACACTATCCATATAATGTAAAAGTTCTCACCTGTTAGTTTGAAATCGTCCACTGCGAATCAGTCTAGAACTAGCAAAATAAAACATTCCATTTTCCACAAATTGTGTTTCCAGGTCTTGTCGCCTCGGTCGACTTTCTGGATCAAAATTCACTGGACCAATGTTTCCACTATAGCCTTTCCATAAAAGCTTAGGCGAGCTGAAACATCCTTTTAGCAAAAATTGCATCTAAAATATTGTTTTTCTACCGAGACACAGAAAAAACACATTCGAATGCCTTCAAAAGAGTTTTGGCTTCTTCAAGAAAACTCCTTCTCAAAAACGGAGAAGTGCATTGAATGAGAGCCACAATATCGACTTGAGGATGTTTTGCTAGAAATTCTTGAGTAGCGAATAATGAAGAAGCTTGATCTGTGGCTGTTTCCGGTTGCCTCCAGTGAATATTAACTTTAACTTAATTATAAAATTAACTACAATCAAAACAAAATACCAAAACTTACATTTCTCTGCTTCTTCAGCTATTTTTAAACAATCGGTAGACACCCAAACAGAATCAAAATCTACAAGTTTTGTTTGAATTAAAGAACGTCCCAGTAAAGTGTTTTGCCCTACTTTTTGTAGATTTTTGAGTTTAATACCTTTAGAACCACCTCGTGCTAGTATTAAAGCAGCTATATGAGGTTTACCATGGAAAATATTACTAAAATACAATATTTATTTTAACATTGAGGCAATAATATATTACATTACCTTTCAAAGTTTGAACATCCTAGTGCAGTAACAACAAAGCCAATAAAATAAACTAATAAATTTGACATTATATTCTTATGCTGGTTGGGAATGAACTAAACATAAATTTTAAATAATATAAACGGATATAGGCTTAAATTAGGTATGTACTTAATTCAATAGAGATATATGTGCGATATATCTTGTTTATTTTACAATATAAAATATTTATTTTACTGAACAACAAAATATAATATTCATAAAAAGTTTAATTCTCTTCCTCTTCATATTCTTCTTCTTCTTCACTAGCTGAAGATTCTTCAAATTTAGGAACAGTGGTATCATTCCTTTTTGACGGATTTCTAATGTTAAAAATCTCAACCCCGGCTCCAATACTTTGGAGATACCGAAGCCACAATAACTTCTCAACTGGAGTTTTGGCCCTTGCATTTTTCACTTCGATGAATTTCCAGCTTTTATCCATTGGATTCCAAACTAACAAACTTGGCATGTTGGTAATGGAATCGGAAAGGTCTTGGACTAATCTGAAATAAAAAAATATCAACTTTTTTCTATTGTAGATAGGAAGCTGAAATTTTTCAGTGATTCTTATTCCAGTAGAGAACTACAATCCCTAGAAATATCAGCGTATTTGGACTTATAATTCCAGAGATAAAATCGTTCTAAGTAATTTGGGGTGAATTATCGATTTTTAAATTTTTCAAATCTCAGAACAATTTACTGTATGGAGACACAAAATCTCAGCAAAAAAAAAATTGAAATTTCATCTTTTAGTACTGAGGTAGTAGGTTATGATTTAGATTTTGGAAAACTTTGGAAGGTCCTCGGGAAGGTCATGATTTTTCTGTTATAGATAGAAAGCTGAAATTTTTAGCGAATCTTATTCCAGTAGGGGACTACAATCCCTGAAAATTTCAGCTCATTTCGACTAATAGTTCCAGAAATAAAATTGTGTTGAACATTTTTAGGTGATTTATCAATTATTCAATTTTTCTGAGTGCCTTTTCCCATAGATTTCAGCTTTAAATCTCAGAATAATTTAGTGTATGGAGTTTGAGGGATCTCAAAGGACCATTAAGACACAAAATCTCAACAAAAAAAAATTGGAAATTTCATGGTTTTAGTACTGAGGTAGCTACCTTATGATTTAGATTTTGAAAAACTTTGAAAGGTCATAACTTTTTTTCTATTATATCGATAGAAAGCTGAAATTTTCAGTGATTCTTATCCCAGTAGAGGATTATAATTCCTGAAAATTTCAACGCATTTGGACCTATAGTTCCAGAAATAAAATCGTGTTAAGCAATTTGGGGTGATTTATCAATTTTTTAATTTTTCTGAGTGACCTTTTTCATAGAATCCGGTTCCAAATCTCAGAAAAATTTAGTGTATGGAGTTTGGGAGATCCCAAAGGATCCTTAAGACACAAAATCAGTGCAACAAAAAAATTTGAAATTTTAAGGTTTTAGTACTGAGGTAGCGGCTACCTTATGATTTAGATTTGGGAAAATTTTGAAAGGTCATAACTTTTTTTCTATTATAGATAGAAAGCTGAAACTTCCAACGATTCTTATCCCAGTAGAGGACTCCAATCCCTCAAAATTTCAACTCATTTGGCCTTATAGTTCCTGAGATAAAATCGTGTTAAGCAATTTGGGGTGATTTATCAATTTTTCTGAGTACCTTTTTTCATAGATTTCGGCTTCAAATCTGAGAATAATTCAGTGTATGGAGTTTGGGGGATCCCAAGTGATCATTAGAATACAAAATCTCAACAAAAAAAAAATTGAAATTTCATCCATTTAGTAAGAAGCTTTTTGCAACTTTGACAGGCTATAAAACCTAATTGTTTAATTTTAGAGGAAAACCGATTTCACATTCCTGTCTTAGATTTTGATAAACTATCATTTGACACCAACTTTGAACTTAACCGGAGATTAAATTTAACTGAAATTTTCAATAATGGATTTAATTCAAAGTTGGTGTCAAATGATAGTTCATAAAAATCTAAGATAGGAATGTAAAATCGGTTTTCCTCTAAAATTAACCGTTCAGGTTTTACAGCCTGTCAAAGTTGCAAAAAGTCAATATTCAACTGTCAATATTTCCAAAACAGTTGAATTTAGGTATAGGGTATATCACATGAAATCTGCTCAGAATTTTATGTAGAGTCCAAATATGTTATCACATACGGGGTATTCCATTTAAAATAGTGATGTTGCCACTAGTTTAGAGTAGAAGAACATCGCATGGTCAAAAATATTTTTAAAGTGTAGATCATGGTCGTTTATCCCGGTTGCCAAATTTTCAAAATGATCCGCTTTTTAGTTCTCCATAAACGTCTAATAAGCCATCCACCGTGGGACACCCTGTATACCTACCTTATGATTTAGATTTTGGAAAACTTTGGAAGGTTATAACTTTTTCTCTATTGAAGATATAAAGCTGAAATTTCCAGCGATTCTTATTCCAGTAGAGGACTACAATCCCTGAAAATCTCAACTCCCATGGACTTATAGTTACTGAGATAAAATCATGTTAAGCAATTTGGGGTGATTTATCAATTTTTCTCAGTGCTTTTTTTTCATAGATTTTGGCTGCAAATCTAAGAATAATTTAGTCTATGGAGTTTGAGGAATCTCAAAGGACCATTAGAACACAAAATCTCAACAACAAAAAAATTATACCATTAAAACATCATGTTTCAAACTGAAAACTTTCTCATTAGAACAAGATGTCAAGTTTTCAACATTTTTCAAATTTTGGATAAGAAGATGTATTATTTCTTTATAGATTGTTATTTTTAATATAGCAGAATAATCACCTTTGAAATATTTGTCCCAAAACTCTTCCTCCAATAATCTCAGCTAACTCTCGAAAAACATCAACATCTGGAATATCCACAGCCAATCCAGCATAAGGTAATAATAATTGAAAACAAGACTTATATAGGCAATTATTTTCAAAATTGGCCACTCCAAACTCAATAAACTCTTTGCTGGACCATTTTTCTTGAATATCCTTCAATCGCTTATCAATTTCCAGCTTTCTATTACCATAAAAATATTGGTCATGCAAATCAAGCGGAGCTGATTGTAATTCACTGATAAAAACACCAGTAGGATTTTTAGAGGGACTATACAAAATGTCCCAAAAATAAGCAACAAAAAGTGTACTTATTATAATTTGACAATTTCTGCCTTCACTGTAAGCAGCTTTACTATAGTGATTTAAGGCCACTTGTTCTAAATGTGTAAACCCAGTTTCCTTATTCATTTTACGCGTCACATTAGTTTCAGATGAAAATTCCTCTTGCAAAAATGCTGACACATTAATCGGATCAGGTGCCATTTCTGATATTCGTTCAAAGAAAATTTCATTTATTTGCAGCGTTTTGTTTGACTTTAATATTAGACTCAAATAAGTTAAATTGTGTTTATCAGATTCACTCAATTTGTCTGAGTGACTAGAAAACACTTGCACCAACAGCCTTGTGGCTGATTTCAAGTCAATTTCTTCCAAGTGTCTCATGTACAACCAGATTAATTGATAATTCCAATGGCCAAATTTTTTAGAATTTGGAAAATGGTCGATTAAATATTCTAGCCATTTTTTTCCTTCTAAAACATGAGTTGTATAAATTTTTTCATAGCATTTAGTAAGCAAGTCGATATATGTAAATTGGTCTGTGAATATATTCATGTATGGGGCATTTGGGTGAGCATCTTGAAAATCTATTGTTATTAGTTCATTGTAAATTTCTTCTCCTAAATCTTTGATGGCCGATATTTTTTGGGGTCTAATTAAATTTGTATTTAAAATATTTTCAAATTCTTTTTGCATGGTTTTGGCTTTAGTGTATGTTAGGAAATTGTCTCTTGAAGCAAAAATAGGGTAGTCTTCCAGGGGAACTTTAGGTAATGTGATGTTTGTAGTAATTATGTTAATATAATCTTTTACATTTTGTATTTTGTTATTGAAAAGGGTTTCTAAAATGTATATGTTTTTTATGGCTTCATACACAGAGGGTAGTAACTGTATGTCAAATCCAATCTTTTTTTTAATTTTTTTCATAATTGTGTCTTTATATGAATGTCCAGTTAAGGTTCTTTGATTAGTACATGAGAATACTATTGAATCAATCATGCCTTGATTCGAATATTTCTTGCACTTAATAACTTTATTCTCTTTTATTATTTCTTTGAGCTTTTTTTGATTCAGTTTTTGTAAGAAATCATAAGTGTCCATATCATTCATGTTGATATTGCGAATATCAATAAAACATTGATGATGTAGATGCTGAAACTTGTCAACTGTATTTTTATCCTCTTTAATGTTGTTTCTCTTGCAAAATTGATAAACGTTATGCCAATCGCATTTTTCTGAATATAGTTTTAGTAAGATTATTTGGCAATTGGAATTCAGTTTATTGATTTTTTTCAATATTTCTTTTTCTTTTGGACTTAATAGGGATTGTAAATATTTTTTGGATGTTACAGTAGAAAATATTTTTGGTTCTATATTGGTTGTATTATTTGAAGTTGAGGCTCTAGGCTTTACATTAGGGGTAGGGGTTTTACTGTTATTATTTTTAATGTCATCAAAAATATGTCTTTTTCTTATTTGTGTAGCTTGAGTCTGAGTCATTATCTTCGGTTCTTTAAGCTTATCAGGGATTTCCTTTTTAGTTTCTGAAAAGTAAAAATACCTTTAACATTCAGTATATATATATAATGACAAATTTTTACCTGCTGGCAAATTCAAATCTGATGCTATTTTTTCTTTTTCTTCATCTGAATCGCTATCAATTTGTATTGGTTCAACTGTGACGTTGAATGGAGCTGAAAACTTGAATTTACTCAATTTAATTTTCTTGTAGCATTCCGGCAAGTTCATTTGTCGTAGTCTGATGGGCCCCATTCTTGGCACTGGCTCATCGAGATTTTGTTCCATGATTGAAATATTTTTGTCACTATTTTGAATGTACCTTTTAGTGGAGACCCAATGCAGGTATTTTAATGGAAAAGGTACCTAAATATAAAATTGCAGTCGAACGTTGAACTAAACAAAAACTTTAAAAGATAATTTCAAAGTGCATATTCTTATTACACACTCAAAATACAATTATTAAAATAATATATAAATACAAACAACCTCCACCACAATAAAAACAAAACAGCTTTGCTTTGACATTGTTTTTGACGTTTCAATTGTCAGTTGTCTGTATATTTCATATTTTTATATATCAAGGCTATTGCAATTCAAACCACGTGACATTCAAGATGGCGTGGCGGCCACACATGGGCAAGAAAACACAAAAAAATATCTAGTTTCTTCCCGAATTAATGGTTTAGGTACCTAGTCAACAAATATTTTATTAAATAATGAAAATCAAAGTTGTAAGCAAAACTGTATGCAAAATAATTTAAAATACGCATGAAAACATATCCAAAACAAACTTGCTTGGCCGCCACGTCACATTGAATTTTCCGTTTTGACAAATGGATTGAATTGCCTAATTATCCTTAGACCGAACTCGCCAAATTCTAAACTGTCAAATGTCAAATGCTATGTTGAATTAACCACCACGTTGCGATTTGCTGAGACTAGAGATGAGGCGCAAAATCGATTTATCTATGCCACCGCAGAGACTGGGAATGAGACGCAAAAATCGAATTATTTTACGCTTTTTGAAATATCAGAGAATACGGGACATTTACGCGTCCCGACAGCAAATTTGGGGACGTGGGGCATGGACCTCGAAATAAGGGACTGTCCCGTATGGCAGGCTTAACAAAACTGTATGATTATTCAAAAATTGTACATAGGATTGAATTAATACTAACATGGAAAGGCTGAGGGGGTAGTCAGAAACAGGAAATTCAAGAGCCTGGAATAGAAAATACATGAATGTTCTCGAAACATGAATGTCGTCTTATCTACCAATCAGGGGCGGATGGGGAGCATAAAACCGGCCCGGGAAACCATTGGCACCGGCCCGGCCGCGATTTTACTAAATATAAACTATTACAGCACAAGACACGCCCCCAACTTCGTCATTGTGAAATATAATCGACCTCAGCGCGATTTTACTAAATATAAACTATTAGAGAACAAGAGATGCTAGCCCTCTACCTCATTGCAAAATATAATCGCGCTCAGCACATCCCTGCAAAATCTAATCGTTTGTAGCACTACGTGGCGGATCTAGCCTCAAATTTTACTTGGTGTTAGAAGTAGAAGCAGAGCTCACTCTTAGAAGTTAATTATTATTGAGTATTGTGTGTTTTCATTATGGATAATTTATTTCAACTTATTAATCCATTGTGTAACAATGGAAATGTTAATATAATCGAGTATGAAAATCAAAACAATTACATAGCAGTACTTCGCTTAAAGTTAAAAGGGAAATCTGACGAAAAGTGCAATTCCGACGTCTTTAACTTGCGTTGCAATGAATGGATGAATGAATTTTCAATAATAACAAAGACACAATGGATAGTGAAAAAAAAAAAATTGCCAAAACTGCAGATTATTGTTTCGTAAACAATAGGTGTGCCATCACAACAGCTTCAATAAAGTATCGGCAGATAAATAAAGCTATTAATATATAGGGTGTTTTATTAAAAAATATTGGACTTTGGTCGATATCTCGAAATCGGAGCGAAAAAAACTGAGTCCGCCACTGGATTAATTGTGCTCAAAAAAGTATCTCCAAAATGTTTTTACAGAAATAAAAAAAATAGATAAACAAAAAACTTATAGCTATTTGACATAATAGGAGAAAATCGAAAATCGCCCTCCTGTATCAATGGTAGGTACCTACCATTGAAGATATCGTGATACGGTTTTTGACAACCGACTTTCTCGAAAATCGACCCCATGACAGGTTAATTTTCTTCTGTCTGGTCTAGAAGTATGTTTTTCCTAGTTAAAACACTTCAAATTGCAGCACCTTGTAAATTTTTAAAATTCGATAACTGTATTCTTTTTCAATTGATTTATTTATATGAATCAGCCGCACGTTGTGCTATCAACGATTAGATTTTGCAGGATTGTGCTGAGCGCGATTATATTTTGCAATTTTAGCGTCTCTTGTGCTCTAATAGTTTATATTTAGTAAAATCGCGCCGAGGCCGATTATATTTTGCAATGACAAAGTTGGGGGCGTGTCTTGTGCTGTAATAGTTTATATTTAGTAAAATCGCGGCCCGGCCTGCCAAATCAGTATTTTATTTTGGGGGCTGTTGTGAATGAATCGCGCCGCAGGCAATTTTTTTTTTAAGTTCAAGGTCACGCAGCTTAAAAACCTACTGGTCCCAATTTGTTTTGGTATTATTTTATAGGGGTAGCACAAAAAACTCTGGATGGAACTTCCTGACTCAAGCAGTCCAAACTCTTCATGGAAGGACCATCTAAGCGCAGAACAGAAGAACTCCTTAGCTTAGGCAGGAGAAAATTGAGAGATGTGGCTGGATTGTTGACAGGACACTACACAATGAAGCTAGCAGAAGACTCGATGTCAATGTCCTAACCTTAGATGGCAAAGGCAAACACAGCGGTACTTTGGGACACAGTATCCGAAACCAAAGGAAATCGTAAAAGCGAATATCAGGGACATCCTAGCTTTTACTAAAGGAGTAGACCCTGATATGAAAACTTCAGGGTCCTTATTCTTGAAATAGGAGAGCAGCGTTCCCAGGAGAACGAGTGTTCCATCTTTCTCAATGATATGCAAATGATAATACAATAAGTAACAAACAAGGAATACTGGTTCTCCTGGGAACTCCGCTCCCCTCTGCTCACCTGTTTCAAGAATAAGTACCTGGGGGGACACAATGAGCCACGAGCTACAGTGCAGGTGTCCGAACACCTCAGGAGAGAATAGAATAGAATAGGGGTATTGGGAAATAAAAATATAAAATCCTATTTCAAAAACATTCTATGTATTTTTCTAAATCTTAGATCAGGAAATTTCGTGGCTGGATTTAGGATAATAAATTAATAAATAGTGGGGATACGGCCACACGGCCAATTTTTATTTTTTCAAAAGCACACAAAAAATAGAAATTGACGTGTCCGAGAGGAAAGTCAGGAAAGTGTTAATTTGAGAAGAACAGGGCCAGTAAATTGTTTCTTATTTATCCAATGGCAGCTTTGACAGTGAATATCTTGAGAACTAATTATTTGTTCTTCAACAAAAACACGCAGTTGTGCCGAGAATCAAAATACCTCTAAAACAAAGTACCACTCGCCCCATCTTCCCTAAAAAAGTGGGGTGAAAGTCACACCACCCAGGGGGTGACTTTCACCGAAATACCTATGGGGTCAAAAAGTTTCCCCCTTGAATACAAAAATGACGTATCCGAGCGTTTTCTTTTAAATCGACCTCAAAATACCTTAAAACGCTTTTCTTTCAACGTCCGTGAAACACCCTGTATGCTTCCGGGCCGGTTGGATCGGCCCAGACGCAAGCGGCCCTTCGGGAAACTTCCCAAAATCCCTGTTGGCCCATCCGCACCTACTGCTACCAATTTTTTCTCAATTTGTTTTCAATTTTTCTCTATTCCCGTTGAGTTCCATAAGGAAGACTCTTTTGACTTTTGACTGAGCAAAATTCGGTTAATTCTATAAGAAAAAACACAGGCTTATTAAACTACTAGTCATTTTAATAAATAAATAAATTAATTAATAAATAATAATTCCCCTATAGCACCCAATTTCCCAGTCTTATATTTTCTGATCCAGTTGCGTATTGATTTAAGGTCTAGGTTGTGGTGGAGGCTTCAACATAGACCTAGCAACAGCTCCCAACTTTTGCGACACAATTGAGGCAATTTGTGGACTCCTTTGCCACATAAACTCAGTAGTTTTATCATGATTGTCTGCCGTATCAATACGAACCTAAAACAATTATTAATTGCAATTTTATCACAAACACTCAAATAATAAGTCTTACTTGTTTCGGTTGCAATACTCTAATCGAATGCAAAGTAGCAACGCCTCCATTGACCAGCCTCAAATTCAATCTTCCGTACATTTCGGCCGTTGTGGCTGTGGCACTTCGTAGCTCGCGTTTGCCGCTGCGTGCCACTTCTCGCTCTACTCTCAAAGTCAAAGGGCCTAGGACGAAATTGGTTTTGACTGTTGTGTGATCGGAGAGCATGTTCACAACGACATCGCCGTCACGTTTTAGGGTGCTCAATCCGTATAGAGTCGCTTTGGCTTTTTGTTTGTTGTTGGTATTTGAGGATTGTTTGGTTTTGTTGGTTCCTGGTTTCTGGAAAAAAATCATTGTACGCGCTTGAGGCTTCCACGAAGTCATATTAGAGCTGAGATATGTGGAAGGTGGATAGCCTAAGATCTCAAAATGGTCAATAGATACTTATATTATACCACGATTCAAAAGTATAGTGGTTCCAAAGTTAACCCAATCCATGCCAAGGCAAAGATGAAGTTCTAGCAGATCCTACGTTTATAACACCTAGATCGATAGATGGGATTTTTGGAGGAAAAGAATACGCCACAATAATTTCGAATAATCTCCAGAAAACTCAAGAGGGTCTCTTATTGAAACAAAATACCGTGCTAGGATGGATTATATCTGGACCAGTATTTTCAACGTCCCAGAGAGCATTGAAGTCGTCAGCATGATCGCTCAGTATGAAGAAGACAAACAGTTAATGAAATTCTGGGAGATCGAGGAAGTTACTCCAACTCATCAATTTACGGAAAAAGAACAAGTTTGTGAAGAATTTTACGATGAAACGACAACCCAAGACAGGAATGACAGATTCACAGTTTGTATTCTATTCAAAACATCTCCAGAAATAGTGGGACACTCAAAGCCAAGAGCCGCAGCACAACTTGTAAACATCGAAAAGAAATTCAAAGTAGACGCCAACTTACACGAACAGTATGGCAAACTTTATAAAGGAATACCTCAACCTTGCACACATGAGAAAAATAACAAGACATGAAATAAATCAAGGAAAATATTACATTCCTTATCAGGAATCAAACACAATCACTCGTTTGAGAGTAGTATTTGATGCATCCTACAAAAGCTTCACCGACCCTAGCCTCAACGATATAATGCATGTTGGCCTGAGTTTGCTGGTATTGAGATTATTGAGAAAATATGCATCCACACGATCAACAACTCCAAAGGGGAAGAAAAGATCCCACAACGCCAATGTTCGAATATGAGCTTATTATAAGGTTACATACGGTACATCCTCAGCTCTATACCTAGCGATCAAGTCCCTACAAAAGCTCGCAACTGGAGAAGCAGAAAACTTTCCAGCCGCGAGCCATGCAGCACTGCGAGATTTTTACCTGGACGATATTTTATCTAAATCAAATGATATACAAGTAGCCCTTAAATTCCAGAAACAGTTGTTGTCTTAGGTACAGATCTCTGAATAGAACAAGCATACGAAAAAGGAAGTCTTCTCAGAAATATCGAAATTATTTAATCCGTTGGGATGGCTAGCTCCAGTAATAATTTGAGCAAAACTCATCATCCAACATCTATGGCTGGAAAATATAGGTTGGAATCTAACCTATTCGCAAGATGACATAAGTTCCAAAGAAATATTAAGGATTTGAAAAAATCAAAATTCCCAGATGGATGCAATATACAAATTCAAGAGTAGAGCTCCATGGATTCTGTGATGCATATGAAAAAGCATACGGTGTAGTCATTTACAGCCGAACAACTACTCAGGAAACCCAAATTGTCACGCTCCTGCAAGCTAAGTTCAAAGTTGCCCCAGCAAGAGCAAGTACAACTTTACCTCGACTAGATCTATGCGTTGCCATTCTCCTCTCTAAGCTCATAGAAAAAACAAGTCTGCCTTGCAGTTTGGAAATACTCAGACTTTTGTCTGGACCGACTCCATGATTACTTTAGGATAGATCAAGGGAGATCCAACAAAATGGCCGACTATCGTTGCAAATAGAGTGTGAGATACACAGAAAAGCACCTCGGGTATTATGGAATCAGAGCTGTCAGTACTTCAAGTAAATTACTTGGAAAATGTATTTCAATTAGTTTTTAGTATTTGAAGTACTATAATTCAAATACTTTTGTTTTTGAATATTTGTACTTGATTCTGCAAATACTTTCAATAAAGTATTTGTATTTGGTACTTGGATTTACAAAAAAAGGAATTCAAATACTGGACATTTGTACTCAAAATACTTAAAATATTTCAAATACCCCAGAAAATAAAAAGTATTTGAAATACCCCAGAAAGTAATTCAAATACTTCTCCAAATGTGAAATTAACATGTCCTACAGCAAAAAGGACTGACGATTTTTTTGAACTGGATGGTTCCCACTCCCTGAAAAGCCTTTAAAGTAACAATAAAAGAAAATTCGAACTAGAAATTCTTCAATATGCACAGGCAGAGGATACTAGTATAGATATAAATATAAAATCCTTGGGTAGGTTTCCTGTCATAAAAAAAGTTTTTCATAGGTACAATCACTGATACAATACGTGTCTTCCGTCATAAGCCCCTGTAGAAAGACTTTAGTTTTGCAGAAATAGTGAACACATCTCGAAGGCATAACAATCCCTCTGCACTTTATTTCTCAATCATCCTTTTCTAGATAAATCTGCAACTGGAATCTGGGAATCTGGAATCTCTGTAGTACTTTTTTAGAGGTAGGTATTACAATATACAGGATGTTCCTAAATATCATGTACAAACGGTAGGGGTTGATTCTTTGGCTTATTTTATGACTAAAATTTGTAATAAACATAGGTCCGCAAACGCTTCGTTACCGATCTACAGGGTGTTGAAATTTCAATATTTTTTTAAAGTCTGTTTTTTTTTTAAAGATAATTCCCCAAGTCAAAAATTTAGTAACTATGTTGGCAATACAAGCCTTTTCTACATAAAAAATTGAAAGCATTGACAATTTTACATTGTATTGCCAACATAATGTCACTTTGACTTTTATCTTTAAAAAAAAAACACATTTTAGTTTTTTCTTTATACTTAGCTCCTGCAATTTTTGAGGAATTTAGCTCAAATTTGGAATATAGGTTACGCAATAGGAGCTAAATGATTTCACATGCAAACGATTGCCAGGATTTACAGGGTGATATTTTTTCAGGGATCAAGCCCCCTTTTCTGCCCCTGGACTTTTTTGCAATGCGCCGCTGGTAGATTCTAAAAAACAAAATGGTTTTTCTACATTTTTAGAAACTTTTTGTTCACTTGTAATTTTTTCGTATCACCGACCCTTATCGAGAAAAAAATTAAAAGACAAAATCTCTGTAATTTGCTAGATGAAACTACAGTGACACAATAAACCTTTTCTATCTACAGTGACGACAATAGAGGTCCCGCCGCCATATTTTTGCTCATTTTCAATAGGAATCTAGAATTAAGCCACGCCTTCGCCGCCATATTCTTGCACATTTTCAATATGAATACATTAAAATTTTAACACCCTGTAGAGCGGTAACGAAGCGTTTGCGGACCTATGTTGATTAGAAATGTTAGTCATAAAATAAACCAAAGAATCATTCCCTTCCGTTTGTACATGATGTTTAGGAACACCCTGTATATTTTCAGCTTTCAATACAATTTGAAAAAAAAAATCAATGAATAATTTGAATTCCTTTTAAATGGGTACTTGAAGTACTTCTTAATATTTCAAATACACATAGGTATTTGAAATATTTAATTGAGTACTTGTACTTTGAAATACTTACAGAGTATTTGAATTACTTATTTTAATTGAAAAAATCAAGTACTAAATTAAATTACTTGAAACTTGAAGTACTTTTTAAATTGAAAATATTTAGTATTTGTACTTGCAACATGAATTTCCCGTAATTGATACTTGGTATTTCAAATACTATTTACCAGTATTTGTGACAGCTCTGCACAGGGCCGTAGCCACTGTAGCCAGGGGGGGCATTGGGGGGCAATGCCCTATCTTTCAAATGATGATGCCCTACCTTTAAAACACAACATGCCTTAAGGTTTCTCTAGGAACTTTGAAAGAGTAGACAATCAAATGAATTGAAATAGACGGCGCGAGAATCAGCGTTATTATGTTCACTTGCCAGAGATGTTATTTATTGACAAGGTTCCCAAAGTTAATAATAGGTTGCCTGGTAATGGGTAATTTAATGACGCATCCAGGGTGCCTTGGAGATTTTCATTATATTGAGGCACCCCAGGTGACGTCATAAAGTTATTAGGCAGTCTACCTCTCTCAAATAACATTGCTTATGTTCCGATATCAATTGTCAGTACTGAATTCACTGAACGCCGTTCCGTTATTTTCAGTACAGTGGATTCAGTCGATTCAGTAATGAATGACCACAAGAGTACCCTGTTGAAATTGGAGCGGCAAATGACAGTAAAATCAGCACAGTAAATCCAGTACTGGCAGTTTATATCGGAACATATCCATTGATTTATTGAAAAATTTGCCTTCGGGGCCATTACTTCTCTTTTGTTAACCTATAAAAAAATTAAGGGGGGGGGGGGGGTGTATGCCCTATGTCAAATTTTTTATGCCCTATCACAAATTTGACTCTAGCTACGGCCCTGGCTCTGCATGGAATCACGTCAAATTACAGGAAAATCCAGCAGATATCGTATCACGAGGATTGGACTCCGAAAAAACTACAAGCAGCTGAACTATGGTGGAAAGGTCTGTAATGGTTAAACCGATCTAGCAGTCTACCAGTTACAGGATAAAATTCAGAAGTTACAGAATAAATCAAAACTACATGCTACAAAATCGAGGTCGTCATAGCAAATGATATATGGGAACGATTTTCAGACCTAACAAGGATACTACGAGTACTACTACTGCCACCGCTTCGCAAACAGAAAAGAAAATCCAATCTTATCTGTAGAAGAGATACACGCAAGCAACCTTCACAAAAATCATAAAATTAGTGCAGATGCAAGAGTTTTCTCTGGAATACAAGGCATTATTAAAACGAAATGGAAATAGAGAAAACTAATAAGCTCTAAATCCGTTTCTTGACCATAAACGCATAATTCGTATTGGAGGAAAGTTGGAAAATGCATCGCTAACTTATGATCGAAAACATCCGATGATCATAGTCATGTCACCAAATTGATAATTGCAGACAGCCATAATAAGACTCTTCATGAAGGCAATCAAGCTACATTGTCATACGTAAGAAGCAAATTCTGGGTCATTAATAGAAAACGAGCAGTGAAAGCGATGTTAAACTGCATCATGTGCATCCGACACTAAGCAAAAACAGCAGAATAACTGATGGAACAATTACCGCAAGCTAGAGTACACCTCCACTTATTCGGGCGTAGACTATGCAGGGCCCATTCAAGTTAGAGTAACCAAAGGAAGAAGACATAAATTCTACAAAGGCTCTATAGCAGTTTTATGTACTATCCACCTAACCAATTCACCTCAAGTTATCAGTGACATAACGTCAGTAGCATTCCTAGCGGCATTCCGAAGATTTGTCGCTAGAAGAGGCCAATGCGCAAATGTTTACAGCGATAATGGAACGACATTTGTAGGAGCATCAAAACAATTTGAAAACGAAGTGAACGTAATAGTCGACACAAAAATTACAAAACGCAATAATCACTATGGGTACCTACTCAGTGGCACTTTACACACCTAGCCGCACCACGTTTTGGAAGAATATGGGAAGCAGGGGTCAAATCAACGAAATACCATATGAAGCGAGTCATTGGAAAGTGCACCCTAACATATGAGGAATTCACAACTTTGACATGTCAAATCGAAGTTTGTTTGAACTCGAGGCCACTTTGTCCGTTGACAGAAGATACAGACGACACCAGTGTGTTAACGGCCTGGCCACTTCCTAATAGGAAGAGAGTTGTAAGCAGGTAAGCACTACCAGAGCTGGACCATGCAAAGATCAGAAGCTTATATCAAATATGACGACTCATCCAAAAAATTATGAAATACCTCTGGCATGCTTGGTATACAGAATACCTTGCAAGACTACAGCAGAGATATAAATGGAAAAGCCAAAGTGAAAACTTACGACTGAGCACTACAGGATGTCACAAAAGGTTTGTTACAAACTTCTAGGGATGGTAGATCTCGTAAAAATAAAGCCTTTTTCTTAATAAACATGTGTCCGAAAATGCTTCGTTTTCCAGATATACAGGGTGTAAAACTTTGTAAAAAAAATCAATTTTTACATTGATCCTCAGAAGTGCGTGCGTTTTAGAAAAAAAATTGTTTGTTTTTTTTTAAAGCAACTAATAGCCTGGTAAAATTCAGGTAATTCTGTGGCAATTTATTTTTTATTTATGGAGGTCAGTGACGTTCTTGGTTCGCCTGAAATGGTTTTTAAATTTTATCTCGAAAACAAAGCAGAATACGGAAAAAAATTAAGAGACAAAAAAGTTGTATCTTTAAGTGTTCTATTCAAAAAACATATCCTTATTAAAAATAAATTTGCTGGACGATGTTTTCCGTGCAAAAAATCATCCGACAGAACCTGTGGCACGTCCCTGGAATTACTGGGTCAAATCTGAGAAGTCCAAAAGATACCTCATAAAGGTGTCAACAAACTATGAAAATTTCATTTAATTCGTCCAATGCATTTCTAACAATTAATAAAAAAATTGGCTTTTTTTTACAAAGTTTAACACCCTGTATCTGGAAAGCGAAGCATTTCCGGACATATGTTTATCAATAAAAAAACTTAATTTTTACGAGATCTACCATCCCTAGAAGTTTGTAACAAACCTTTCGTGACACCCTATATATGGTTCTATTAAAAGAAGATAACTTGAAACACGAATCAATGGCCGCTGGCATGAATCGCTGGGATTCACCCAGGTGCAGTTCGAGTAGTTACAATAAAGAAAGTAGGAGGCACCGTGACGAAAAGGCCGATTATTAAAGTAATTCCACTTCCGACAGAGATAGACGAGAACCTCCCAGTTTCAAAAATTACAAACTACTCAGCAACAAGTGACCTAACGCCAATAACTAGAAACACTAGAACCCGGACATTGTCCAAATCGCAGTTATTACATTTCCTACTAGCCTGCCCTATGTTTATTTCCACTATCACAGCAGAAAGCAGATTTAGAATTAACTACCTACCCTCAACATGGAATATACGTAGAGCATATCGGATCATCGAGAATCGATCGAGGTATCTTCCGCATGAAAATAGTACTCAAAAAATAGAAGCTAACCAGACCATAATGGCAATATCGAATGTTATTCGTCAGTTTGAAACACTGTGTAACAGGAACAGGTCAATCGAAATTATAAATGAAGTAAAATATACTTTTAGAACAATTGGAAAATCACACCAAGTGGTTATTATGGCACTCTTAATAGCGTCCATCACCAAAGAAGGAAAAGAGGATTTTTGGGAAATTTTTAACCGCAGTCTTTGACGTCAATGATGAAGTGTATCAAGACATAGATGCACTAAATGAAAATCAACAACAGTTAATCGAAGCATCCAGTCATCAAACCAAGTTCATGAATTCAGCCCTTGCAAAGTTCAATGAGACCCAAAGACAAAATCAACACTAAACCAACGCATCCAAATTTTCCATTGTAAGTCGATTCCTTGATCGCTTTTTTATGTATTTAAGTGCTGAAAACTGAAAAGCATTTTTCGCACCCTCTACTTGTATACACGTTAAAGTGAGAGTAGGCCCCAAAGATGACTCTTAAGGACGGATATGAAATCGGTATTTACTTATAGAAAACCAAACATTGTTGCAGCGTAAATGTGAAGAACATTTAGAAAGTTCTAATTAATTCCCTATATCATCTTCATCTCCATCGTTAAATTCAGAGAGGTCATACAGCTCGGTCCTTTTCAAGTCACCTAGTTACCTTATTTTATTCAAAGCAGCGTCTGGCATTAATTCGGAAAAATTATTTGGATCCAAAAATGAAAAATCAGCACAAATAACTCTATATGCCTCAAAGGGAATGTCTCATCTATTTTTGTTGTGATGTGATCCATGGCCACATCATGTACTATTCCACCTCAAATTTAAAAATAGCAGTAACTGGAGGAGTATCATCTCTGCTTTCTCTCTTGGCATCTTCGACGGACGAATTGCGGGTAATAAGTCTTGAATTGTCACATCATTTTCATTTGCTTCCAGTCCTGTATCAGCCCAATTAACGCACATTTTAGCATTTTTGATACTTCTTCCATGTCGCGTTGTTCCTTTTTCAGTGCATCATAAGTTGAATTGACTATTCTTTGTGCTTTCGGTCTGTTCTCAAAGAAATCAGACTCGGAGCCAATTTCATTTGTTAAAAATAGTCAGAAAACTGTTTGTTGGCGATTTGCACCAATCAAAAACGCTCTGACTGGTCTATGATTTCTGTGAGAACAAACCTTATTGAGGCCATCTGTATGAAGGTATCTTGAAAAAGTTTCTGTTGCTTTAAAGATCGGCCCACCGGGAATTTCCCGGTATCCCGGTGGGTTCATCCAACCCTGAAGTTGACTGCCAATAAGACATACATTCAGATATTCGGATATTTCCCCGTTGCAGATGTAACTGAATTCGAGTTGATACGAGCCACACCAGTACCTTTAGCGTCTGGAAATGGTACCTGCTATTGGACTCTGAACGTTCCAGATGGATATTGCGATTGATTACAACACTCAAGTATACTTCGAACTCCAAGAACGCGATTTGCAGCAAAGCATTCAGCCATATGATCACCACTTTATCTGCTCTCCAGTTTCAGTCCAGAAACATCGAGTCGAGACAAATCTGTCATGCATCATTGATGTAATTTATGAACGACAATATACAAATCATCATATGGGAGGAGCTCTGCGCACCCAACACATGGATGTTCATTACGGATTCTTCAAAAACCATATTTGTCATTTGTGATGACGTGAGATGTTGCAATAATACAACAGGCATTATTCAAATATCTCAGAAATGCATCATCAAAACAAAACAGAATATTTTAACTCCTAAACGAAGCACTACCATTTTAGTACTGGGCAGCTACTCCAAGATAGTCCCTATAGTAATAAATAATACAGTCAGTGTGAAGCACGCTCAGAATCAACCCTTTGAGTCAGTTTTCAGACTAACTGACAACCTACAAGAGTTAGAAGAATTTGAAAGATATGATTCTATAAGTCCAAATGAGTTTTCGTAAATTTTGACTGAATTTCTCGAAGGAAAAATTGATAAAACGACCTACAAAGTTATTGAATAGGTACTAATGACGTTTATAATTTTTGAAACTATATAATTGTTATGAACTTACTGTTGTTGATTTCTTCTTGTTATTAGTAACCTTTTTCTTGTTATTTTGTCTTGCAGGCGTAGCTCGGCGCACTTGAGTTTTTCCTGTAGTTTTATCGGAACTGCCAGTTTTAGAAATTAGCACAAATTCAGGTTCGGATTGGGCTGATGCACCAGTGACTGTTTCATATTTGCCATTACTATCCAATCTAAAAATTGCATTGTTGAATAAAAAAATTAAGGGAAGTTGTATGATAAATACCTTGCCAATTCAAGTTCTCCCATTTTGTTGGTTTTCTCTTGGATTTTGGCTGAGGCATTATTTTTTGTCTTTTTGTTTTTAATATTCTTCAGTTGAGCTTGGCTTAAAAGTTTCACTCTAACAGGATCGTATTGTTTGCCAACCAATCTGTTTATCCTGTTCAAAACAGCATCGACGAACCTGTTGTATTTTGATATGTAGATTTGGGGCATTTTTGGTTGATTTTTTAGGGTGCCTAAACATGAAAGTCAGTTTTATTTAAATGTAAATATTCGCGTAAATCTTATAAGATGACCTTTTGTGCGATCGTTGACTCCGGATCGGAGCCAATGGAATGCGTTATTGGAACCGTTATAATCGTTTTAAATAAATCATGCAAACATGTATTTTGATTGAATTGATTTCAAATTAGATTTTCAAAAATTACATTAAAGAGAAAGTGTTCCATAAGAGAAATCCAAAAATCATCTTTGATGGTCAAAAAGAAAGTAAATGAACCTTGAAAAAGACTGCAAGATTTAAACAAGGTCACCTGCTGACCTACAACCTAACCGGTACTATAATTTCAAATTGAGACAGAAAGACAGACGTTTTTGGATCCGACCCAGATTTAAATGAATTTCTTTAACTTTCCCAATGGTTGGCGACAAAATTCTTCTTTTAATTCATTCACAGTCCATTACCGAACTAAGCACCTACCAGCGGAACTAATTACTTTTGCTGGGAAACAGTGCGTTTGATTACAACACTTGTTTCAATTTGCTTTGATGCACAAAGTTTATTAATATTTAAAAAAAAAATATACTCATCATTCCTTAATCCCTGATCCAAAAAAAGACCATGCATCTTCTCAAAATCCCATCAAATCTTCTTTAGTAGAGGCATTCTTCAATTGCGTTAGTCTAAGTCAAATTGTCATGCAGTTATGTCTGTCAGTTATTTATTCAAAAAATTACTTACCTATTTCCATGGCCATTCATCTACTACTGTTAAAAGCTTCTACACTAATTTTTACTACTTTTGATCAAATTTTGTATAGGGTGGATTGATGCAGCAAGAGGTGTAATGGTCTTTAAGTCGATACGTTTTTGAGGACTCTTTATATCTTTTCTTAAAAAAAATCAAGCAAAAGCTGCTTAGCTTAAGGCATCAAAAACTTCTCTTCCATTACACCTTTCACCCTTTCAATTCCTAGAGATTTGTTAGTTACAAATGGAAAATAATGAATAATAAAGTTAGATTAGTGCAAAAGACAATAAGAAAACAATGTGCATTAGCTAAGTAGATGTCACACTTAAGAGAAAATTTAAAAAAAAAAGACATCCTGGAAAAAATTACAATTTCAATGATTATTAGTATTTTGTAGCCCTATTTTGGATTAGTCGAAAAATAAAACGCCAATATTTTACTTTTTGATCAGATTGTGTATTTTTTTTTGAACTTTTGGGTCACTAGGTACTTGTGACATTTACCTAGGATAATGCATTTAATAAATAAAATAAATAAATAAATAAATAAACTACTATAAAGAAAACTAAACTACTAAGCCAAAAATATTAAATATTTGATCATCAATATTTAATAAATTTGTCCGCAAAGAAATTAAAATGATTTACAGTTACCTCATTCATAAATATTCAAATTCAATTCGAAAGTCGAAAATCATTAAAGTCAATATGACCCAAGACATCATTTCAATTTCTCTGAAATAGCAAAAACAACCAAAAACATTAATTTGCTAAATAACTTTGTACAATTTGAAGCTTGAATTGAACAATAAACGTATTTACAAGACCAAATAATAAAATTATAGCCCCTTATTCCCTGGAATTCCTATCTAACTTTTTTCGTTTTTTGTTCTTCTTGATGATGTTTATGATGCTTTTTCATCCCCCTAGACTCACGTGCTTTCCTTGCGTCCAACACATCTGATAGATCACCTTCGTCATCGTCTTCGTCATCGTCATCGTCAGTTTCGTCATCGTCGTCATCATCGTCATCGTCACCAATTATACTGCCAATACCATCATCATCATCATCATCATCTTCCTCTTCTTCATCGTCATCGTCAGCTACTTCATCATTAGCGGGCACCGGTTCAACAATGATGGGACGTTGAACGGAATTTTGAGCAATCGGTTCCGGGTCTTTTTCGATCAGGGATTCAGAAATTGAGTCGTCTTCTTGAACGATTTCCGTACCTGAGTTGGATTAAAACAAATGTTCAAAAGAATCTCATTAAAGCGAATATTTTACCTGTTTCATTTTCACCATCGGCTTCTTCGGCTGCGTTCAATTGCTCGTTGGGAGTTTCTTCTTGGATAATGGCGTTTTCGGATTGGGCGGCTGATTGGGCGGCGGCTGCTTGGGCAGCGGCAACTTGGGCGGCAGTATTTTGAGCGGTATTAGTAGTGACTCCTGAAGATTGTACTGGCTCGTCTTCGTCATCATCGTCGTCATCGTCATCATCATCATCGTCATCATCTGACCAATCATTAACACAAAGAATTTAATTATTAGCTCATTTATTTTATTGGTTTCGTCCATAAATCAATATTTTTCTATAGACCCAGGAATAGATGCAGCATCTAAATGGTGCTTTTTAACCAGCAAACAATTTGAAGAGTGTATATAGGATAGTAAAGAGAAGAATAAATCACCAAATAAAAATAAATAAATTTATTTACAAAAAAAATACATTATAACAAAATTTTCAATGATGATGGAAGGACCTACCTCCTCCTAAAATATCATCGAAAAGGCCTTCAAAGTAATCTCCACCGTCATCATCGTCATCGTCGTCATCAGATTCATCGGCTGCTGTGTCATCGTCGTCATCTTCACCGTCATCTCCTAGAACGTCATCGTCGTCGTCGTCATCATCATCCGAAGATTGACGACCTGTTGCTTTGTGGTGTTTTTTATGGGAATGGCCTGAATATAAAGAAAGATTATCTTATAAGAGGGAAGTTTGTGAAAACGAGAAAGTATGGAGAAGTTTGAAGAAGCTTTGATGAGACAGTTTGAGGAATTTATTGAGAAAATCAAAAGAAGAGATGCAAATCTTTGGAGGTGGTTTCTTCATCTTCAATTTTTCCCATATCGAGAATGCTATTTGCTTAGCCAAAGTCAAATTTATCAAGTCATATATCGTCGGAAACACATTCGCATCTCAAGAATTTTAATTCTAATGAAAAACAACATTTCCAAAATTTTCAGTCTCATACAATTTCTGATGAAGAAACAACAAATTGCTGCTTTATCGGATTTTTCTTGGATTAGCTTAATCGTCTTCGGATTTCCGCAAACTTCTTCTTAGAACTGCCTCTACTTTAAAACTGCCCCTACTTTTTCTATACGATTAATACAACCCTGTCCTTGGTTGAGTTGATATATAGGGTGATACATTTAACTTGAGACAGATATCTCGAAAACAACGCGTTTTTGACAAAAAAAAAAGTGATCTTAACTCGGAATCTGAGGCAAATATTAAGTAGCAGTTTGTGCTCATTTATAAAAAAAACTTTAGTTTATAAATGCTGCAAATTTGAAGTAATTCTGAAGCTTGGAACATTTTTAGAAAAGTTCTCAAAGTTCAAATTCCCAAAAAAATGCATGTTTTGATTAAAAATCATCGTAACTCAGAAACTGAAGCAAATATTGAGTAGCAGTTTGTGCTGATTTATAAAAGAAACTTCAGCTTATAAATTCTGCAAATTTGAAGTCATTCTGACGCCTGGAATTTTTTTTTAAAAATTCATAAAATTCAAATTCCCAAAAAATGCAAGTTTTGGTTAAAAATCATCGTAGTTCAGAATCTGAGGCAAATATTGATTAGCAGTCTGTGCCCATTTATAAAGGAAACTTCAGTTTATAAATGCTGCAAATTTGAAGTCATTTTCATAAGCCTGGAACATTTCTTATAAAATACTCAGAGTTCAAATTCCCAAAAAAAATTAATGTTTTGTTTAAAAATCATCGTAACTCGGAATCTGACGCAAATATTGACTAGCAATTTGTGCTCATTCATAAAGGAAACTTCAGTTTATAAATGCTGCAAATTTGAAGTCATTTTGAAGCCTGGAACATTTTTAGAAAAATTCTCAAAGTTCAAATTCCCAAAAAAAATTCATGTTTTGGTTAAAAATCATCGTAGCTCAGAATCTGAGTCAAATATTGAATAGCAGTTTGCGCTCATTTATAGAAGAAGCTTCAGTTTATAAATGCTGTAAATTTTGAAGTCATTCTGAAGCCTGGAACATTTTTAGAAAAAATCTCAAAGTTCAAATTCTCAAAAAAATGCATGTTTTGGTTAAAAATCATCGTAGCTCAGAATCTGAGGCAAATATTGAGTAGCAGTTTGTGCTCATTTATAAAACACACTTCAGTTTATAAATTCTACAAATTTGAAGTAATTCGGAAGCCTGGAACATTCTTAGAAAAATTCTCAAAGTTCAAATTCCCAAAAAAAATGCATGTTTTGGTTAAAAATAATTGTAAATCAAAATCTGAGACAAATATTGAATAGCAGTTTGTACCTATTTATAAAAGAAACTTCAGTTTATAAATGCTGCAAATTTGATGTCATTTTGAAGCCTGGAACAGTTTTAGAAAAATTCTCAATGTTCAAATTCCCAAAAAAAAACATGTTTAGGTTAAAAATCATCGTAACTCAGAATCTGAGACAAATATTGAATAGCAGTTTGTGCTCATCATTTATAAAAGAAACTTTAGTTTAAAATTGCTGCAAATTTGAAGTCATTCTGAAGCCTGGAACATTTTTAGAAAAATTCTCAATGTTCAAATTCCCAAAAAAAAACATGTTTAGGTTAAAAATCATCGTAACTCAGAATCTGAGACAAATATTGAATAGCAGTTTGTGCTCATCATTTATAAAAGAAACTTTAGTTTAAAATTGCTGCAAATTTGAAGTCATTCTGAAGCCTGGAACATTTTTAGAAAAATTCTCAAAGTTCAAATTCCCAAAAAAATTCATGTTTTGGTTAAAAATCATCGTAACTCAGAATCTGAGACAAATATTGAGTAGCAGTTTGTGCTCATTTATGAAACAAACTTCAGTTTATAGATTCTGCATATTTGAAGTCATTCTGAATCCTGGAACATTTTTAGAAAAATTCTCAATGTTCAAATTCCCAAAAAAAAACATGTTTAGGTTAAAAATCATCGTAACTCAGAATCTGAGACAAATATTGAATAGCAGTTTGTGCTCATCATTTATAAAAGAAACTTTAGTTTAAAATTGCTGCAAATTTGAAGTCATTCTGAAGCCTGGAACATTTTTAGAAAAATTCTCAAAGTTCAAATTCCCAAAAAAATTCATGTTTTGGTTAAAAATCACCGTAGCTCAGAATCTGAGGCAAATATTGAATAGCAGTTTATGCCCATCTATAAAAGAAACTTCAGTTTATAAATTCTGCAAATTTGAAGTCATTCTGAAGCCTGGAACATTTTTAGAAAAATTCTCAAAGTTCAAATTTCCAAAAGAAATGCATGTTTTGGTTAAAAATCATCGTAACTCAAAATCTGAAACAAATATTGAATAGCAGTTTGTGCTCATCTATAAAAGAAACTTCAGTTTATAAATTCGGCAAATTTGAAGTCATTTTGAAGCCTGAAACATTTTTAGAAAAATTCTCAAAGTTCAAATTCTCAAAAAATGCATATTTTGGTTAAAAATCATCGTAGCTCAGAATCTGAGGCAAATATTGAGTAGCAGTTTGTGCTCATTTATAAAACATACTTAAGTTTATACATTCTACAAATTTGAAGTCATTCTGAAGCCTGGAACATTTTTAGAAAAATTCTCAAAGTTCAAATTCCCAAAAAAATGCATGTTTTAGTTAAAAATAATCATAAATCAAAATCTGAGACAAATATTGAATAGCAGTTTGTACCTATTTATAAAAGAAACTTCAGTTTATAAATGCTGCAAATTTGAAGTCATTTTGAAGCCTGGAACAGTTTTAGAAAAATTCTCAATGTTTAAATTCCCAAAAAAAAACATTTTTAGGTTAAAAATCATCGTAACTCAGAATCTGAGACAAATATTGAATAGCAGTTTGTGCTCATCATTTATAAAAGAAACTTTAGTTTAAAATTGCTGCAAATTTGAAGTCATTCTGAAGTCAGGGACATTTTTTAAAAAATTCTCAAAGTTCAAATTCCCAAAAAAATGCATGTTTTGGTTAAAAATCACCGTAGCTCAGAATCTGAGGCAAATATTGAATAGCAGTTTATGCCCATTTATAAAAGAAACTTCAGTTTATAAATTCTGCAGATTTGAAGTCATTCTGAAGCCTGGAACATTTTTAGAAAAATTCTCAAATTTCAAGTTCCCATCTTGACATCATATCAAAAATGCGCCTTTATCGAGATATATAATATTAGACGTCTCAAGCAAAATGCACCACTCTGTATATCCACTGAAAAACGGACAGGGTTGTAATAATAAGCGTACATGAAAAGTAGGGGCAGTTTTATGAAAAAGTTAAAGAAAATCCAAGAAAAATCCAATGAAGTTCAAGGAATAACTAAATCACTGAAGTAGTACCTTCTTTAGCCTTTCCAACAGCCAAAGTTGTAGCTTCAGCTACTTCAGTTGCAGCACTGGTAGTGGCTTCTTCTTCAACTGAATCAGCTTCAGTTGGTTTAGCATCAGCTTCAATTCCATCCTCACTCTTGAACACTCCTTGGGTAGCTTCCTGAATTTCCCCTTTCAGCTTCACATCTAAACTCTGTTCTTCTGTTGGTACACTGATGATGACAGGGTTAGCCAGACATGATACAGCCAGGCACAGTAGGGTTGCGCCGATCAGGTACAGCCTCATTTTTCGAGTCTATAAAATGGAAATTATACAAACTAGTCAATTAAATTAAGAAGACCCATTTTCTATAAGACAGGTGTTGTGGCTATAAGAGTACAGTTATTTAGCACATTGTAAACGGTAATTTAAGTAGCCGGTTTGCGGTAATAATTAGAATTTTACTACTTTATGAATAACAGTAATTTTGTTTCAGCAGAAATTTTTTAAATAGTCTGAAATTATTACCTATTGCAAAAACTTATTGGTATACACTTGAGTAGGTACTAAATAATTTAAGCTAGTGTGCCTATTTATAGGATCAAAGAAATTAAAAATTCAATTAATTATTGATTAGGTACAGTTAGGAATTGCCGGAAATAATATTAAATAAGGATCAAAAAAAAATGTACAGGAAATGTGTTTAATATAGGCACCCCTTAAACCAGAAGTACTTTTTGATAATTTGTATGGTAATAGTACCTACTTACCAGAAATCAAAAAAAAAAAAAAACTACTTAATCCTATATAAACTCAAACAAGAAAAAAAGTTCACAAAGAAGCTTAAAATAAATCACTTCTAGCTCAGAGGTCTTGCGACTGTCCACTAAAACTACACCACTCTAAAAAAAAAACACGAAATTCCGCTTCTGGTGTGGGGAAGTAGGCCGGAAGTCGCACTTACCGCTTCTTCTGTGTGGGTCACCGCGTCCCCCCTTTACGAAATCAAAGAACAACCTGAATTTATCGATTTTCAAAGTAGCTGAAGAGGATGCACCGAACGCGCACGAACAAATACGGCGAATACGACTTAGGATGACTTAAGTAGTTGGGTACTTGTGGGACGTCACATGTGGTACCACTTCCTAATGAAGTACTTTACTTTTTTAGTTGGAGATGATTGAAATTTGTATGATAGAGAAGTACTTAGTAAAAACTTAAACATTTAGTATTGATTGTTATCACAGTTTCAAATAAATCGGCTTCGTAATAAATAAAGTACGCACTTTTTGAACTCTCGTTGAACTTATACTAAACTAAAAAACTGTAAAAATCCAATTCCAGGCTCTCTTGGATTGAAATTTTTATGATAGAGAAATACCTAGTAGAATCTTGATTCTGATTGTTATAGAAAATTCTGATTTAAAAAACTTTATCTCGAGATATTTAACGAACTTTAAATTGCTTCTTGTGATTAGTTTGAACTAAAGGATTCATAATAAAGTAGGTACGCTCTTCTTGAACTCTTGTTGAACTAAAACTGAACTAGAGCGTTTAAATTCAATTCCAAGTTCTCCTTTAGAGCTAAAGTTTGACTTATAGATGCATGAAAATCCTATTCTCGGTTCTACTAGAGCTGAAACTGAACTAGTTAAAGACTCTTATTATTCGAGGAACCTAGTAACTCAATATTTGACAGACTAAATCTTAAGACTTCAAGTATTCATATGATCAAAGACTAAACACTTCAATTAACATTATAAAGTTTAGTTGCAATGCGGACTTTGAAGCATCTAAAGACTTTGAGATATCTTTGAAACTAAGATTATTCTAGACACAAAAATGAAGTCCCGAAACTTTAAAGTTTCAGGATTCTTGATGAGTCAGACTTAGACACATATATGAAGAAGAATTTCGCAGCATATCAATAGTATCCAATGGCATTGAAAACTCCTACAGAAAAATACCTATAATTGGTTTACTGATTAGGCTGTTTTAAGAAAGATTGAGTCTCATTTCGACTCAATGATCAACGACGCAATAATTTTGGACTTGTGTGCAAAATAAATTCAAAAACTTAACTTGTCAGGTTAATAATTTCATTGTTCATTCTTGATTCTTTGAATACCATTTTGCTTTCATTTCATCTTAATGAAGTAGGTATAGGTACCCATAGCACATGACTTAAACTTTCTTCGACCCAATAAAGTAATTATGCAAATATTAATTTTTCTTGCTACTTTATTCAATTCTAACATAGAAAGTGAAGATTTAAAGACAATTGTTCTACAGTCATTAAGACAATGAGACTTTAAATTCCACTCATGAATCATTGTTCGGTCAGGAATATCAATTAAAAACTAAACGATTTCTCTTGGGCTAAATTCCACTGAAAATTTATTCAGCAGAGCTGTAACAATCATATTTCGAAAAATTAAACGAATTTGCCATAATGTACCATGATGGAGTGTGACCGCGGATGGCCTACAGAAAGAAGCGCGTTGACCCACAAAACATCCAAGTCAATGAATTTGTTTTTTTATTAATGCACGGATGGGCTTAACCTGCTAACCACACGATTAACTTCTACCAAGGACGATTGGCTTTTTCTTTTTGGGAAGAAAAAGAAAGTGGATTTCATTGATTTGTGATGATATTTTAGATCGAAAACATTGCACCATCCCAAGAATTGCGACTGATTGCCAATGATTTTCATATGTATTTTTGTATGATTTACCAGGTGATTTCAGTTTTTTCTGGGGATTCCTATATCATTCCCAATTGATTACCAATCATCCGATTTCCAGCTGATTTTATAACGAAAACGATGAATTGTTAAGCTTCGCATTGATATGACTAAAATAAACAGTATTTTCTCTTATAAAAACACGTTTCCACTGAAAAATTTGTAACTCTTCTATTTGCAACTCTTCCAAAAGTTAGCAACTTTTATTTTCATAGTTGTCCACTACCGATTTTGCTATATAGGTAGGTATAAATAGTTTTTGAGTCCTCATACCATTGCGTATCTATATACACTGCAAAATTTATATGCAGATCTAAAATAATGGATATTTCCTCTGGGATGTTCATCTGAATCAGAGATCTGTTAGTTCAGTTAGGGTTCCATTTTCCACTCGACAAACTTATTTCTGATTCTGATGTGCTGTCGTTTACTTCTCGCCCTGCCTAATGTTTATTCTACTTTCCCTTTTCATGTTCTGATTACCTTGGATTCCTGACTTTTTCTTTTGTGTCTTTCTCAGGGATGTTTCCATCGCTCTTAATAATCGATCGACAAACGTCCCTACTTCTCTGGAAAGAACCCAAATTAAAGTTGAGCCCTCTGAATAATCTCTTAATAGTAGGTAGCGAATCGCAATTGCTAAACCATAATGTGTGAATAAATTCTGTGTCTTCTTTTGGCAAGTTGGATTCAAGAAAGGTGTCATGATTCATGTTTTCATTTTTACATCAAGATTGTCATACTTTGGGTCTGTTCTCACAGAAATCACAAGTCAGTCAGAGCGAATTTCATTGGTTGAAAATAGTCAAAAAACTGGTTGTTGGCGACTTGCACCAATCAAAAACGCTCTGACTGGTTAGTGATTTTTGTGAGAACAGACCTATTCTTCTTCAAGTTCTAAACTCTTTGAAGTCTCAGTTATTGGGAAACTCCCTTGGGATATCAAATTCATTTCAAATTGTCTAGCACTCAGTGTTTCCTAAAACTTAGTCTTAACGGCAAATACATAATTGACCGGTACGCTGTATCGCTTAAAATTGTATGATATATGCGATTTCTGGGTTAGAATGAGATATTCCCAGCGATTACCACATGACATTCAGCGATTGCCAATTGATAGGAGATTCCTAGTGATTCCCAGGGGTCCCAAGTTATTTCCATTTATTCCTGATTGATGATTACCTACTACGCGATTCCCAAAAAAATGTACAATGATTTCCACTAGTACGTGGTTTACCTCTCGGCACTAGCAGTAGCCAATAAAATGGTTTGAAATAAAACAAAAACACAATTTTTCTTTATATATTTATCACTTCATCATTATTACATTCTCTCTATTTGTTTCTGTTGCATTAATTTTCTTCAATTTCACTAAATACCTTCCACTAAAGTACATAACTATGCAAAAAAATATCATCCAATGATAAACCAAATTGTAATAATGCATTATTTTGTGGACATCCAGCAAACTAAAGGCCAAAGCTGAATAAGAAAAAAATTGCATCTTGAGGAAAAGCATTATCAAGTAACCGACTTGTTTTGGCTGAAACAAAAAATTAACATTAAATCAAACATAAAAAATAACAGTTCCTTACCACAAGAGAATCATCTTTCAATAAAAGACTGGCCCAAATGTCTTCAACAATTAACCCAAAAGGTATCATCCCAACAGAAATATAATATCCAGAGTAGACTCCGTGCCAAACTCCTGATACAAACATTGTAGCAAATGTCCTAAACTTCTTACTAGGGAATTTTTTATAAATGCAAGTCGCTAACCAATACTGAACAGTCATGTTCCAATTTTTCATGCCCTCTCTTAGTGTTGGATAAAATTCTGTACCATACGAGTTTATATTATGCACAGTCTCATAATCATATTCTAATGATTCTGTAATGGCTGTTGTTGGTCCATTACCAGGCCTACTTTTGGCCGAAACAGGATAAACTCCTAAACCACCCAAAACGCAAACGCATTCAGATAAAGTGAGCCCTATATAAATTCTCATTCGGAATGTTAAAAAGGTTGGCCATATGTACCAATATCTATAAAGGAAGGATCTTTGTTCAAAGTCTTTGGTTTGAGTATACTACTCTGAAAAAAATAGTATGAGGTTTTTTTTTTTTTGGAAATAAAAACTCCTTACGTCTATGGGCCACATGTAATCAGTAAACAAATAAATAATAGAATAAATAGGAACCAAAGGGAAGAATTTGTTTAAGGCAGCAATCTTGTAATTGTCGTATTTGTGGTAAGGTTTGTGCAAATGATCAAAATAGGTTTTGTATTTGAAATAAGGCCCTGTCAGGATTCCTATATAATTTAGTCCATAGTAAAATATTTCAGTGAAGTTGATTGTTGAATAACATATTTCATCATTGGTGGAAGAGTTTCTTTCAAAAGCCAAACCTGGAATCAATATGTATAGTTATAAGTTTGGTAAATATGTTTTTACAGATGGTATTTTGATACTGTGACTATTGATTATTCAATTTGAAAGGCATAACGATTTTAGTCCCGGCTCTTGGAAAGCCAAATTTGAACTGAAAATTTTGATTTTTGAACAAAATTTAATAATAAAAATTTGTAAATCCCAATTGAACAAGAAGACAATTTTAGAGTTAAAGTTGAGTTGAACTAGAGCAGTTCAAATAGTTGAAGTACAGCTGAAATTCCTCCAGAAATGTGTGAAAATTATATTTTTTATCTTGAGTAAAAATTTGAACTTCTGACCAAATCTATAGTTGAAACTGAAATTATTTCAACTAAGACATGAGAATTTTATTCCCGGCTCTTGTGAATCCAAATTTAAAATAAGAATAATAATAATGCTTTATTGTCAAAAAAATTATAACATAATTTGTAGACAAAGCCTTAAAGTTAAAAATACATATTATATACATCTACATGTATACAAAGTCAAAATAAAATGATATAAACATAAACAAATATAACATGAACAAATACAAAAATGAACAAATTACCTATAAACTATGATCCAGTGTGTGGAACGCTCAAAATTAAGTCAGAAAAAAGTCATTTACTTTATATAAGGCTCTCTCTGATAAATAGGATTTTAGAGCTATGCGAAATTTAGGAAGAGATGCTATGGACTTTTTTAATTTTAGGGAATATCTAATAGCTCTCTTTTGTAATTTAAAAATACGGTCAAATTGAGTCGCACAGCACGAACCCCAGAATGGAAGGGCGTATCGAAGATGTGATTCGAAAAGGGCAAAGTAGACTGTTCTAGAAGTTGACAAGTTGAGTTCCTTGGAAACTTATCTTATCGCAAAGCAAGCGGAACTTAATTTTTTTGATAAAGAATCGATGTGCGAATTCCATTTTAGGGATTTGTCTATAATAAGGCCCAAAAACTTTACGGAATCAACGACGTCAATAGTAGTAGTGTTATTAAGTACAATAGGTTGCATCGTACTTCTATATGATAGAACTTTTGTTTTCGCAGCCTTGAAGCAGAGAAAGTTAGAGTCGCACCATGTTTTAATGGCCAACAAGTCGATGGACATGGTTCTATGAAGAGCTACAATATCCGGGTTGCTTCAAGTGAAACTAGTATCATCAGCAAAAAGACAGATTTTACCGCTGATGTCTAGACTAGCAATATCGTTGATAAACAGCAAAAATAATATTGGACCCAACACGGAACCCTGTGGAACTCCACATTCTATTGGCTTGCATGAAGACGTCGTCGTATCAACCCTCACAAGCTGTTTTTTGTTGTTAAGATACGACTTGAACCATTCCAGAGGAGAGCCTCGAATTCCATAATGCTGCAATTTGTTAATTAGGATATTATGACTTACACAGTCGAATGCTTTAGAAAAATCACAGAAAATTGATGCTGTGGAGTGCAAATTGTTCAAGCTAGAGAAGACATTATTGAAGACAGAGAACATAGCATCAATAGTGCATTTGTTGGTTAAAAATCCAAATTGGTGGATAGTTAGTATATTATATTTATGCAGAAATGATAGAAGCCTTTTCTTAACCAATCTTTCAATGATTTTGGATAAAGTAGGAAGAAGTGCAATTGGACGATAGTTCGACTCTTGGTCCTTATCACCTCCCTTGTGCAGAGGAATAATTATAGCCGTCTTGAGGCAATCTGGGAACACTCCTTGTTGAAAAGATTTATTAATTAAAGCAGTGAGGAGATTTAATGTACACTCCGGTAAATTGAAGAACATTTTTAAAGTTAGTCCATCAGTCCCAGATGACACTTTGTTTTTTATGTCTTTAATAGTGCTGAAAAGCTCTAGTGTTTCTACGGGTGTTAGGAAGAAACTGTGTAAATTCATATTGGTACTGGAAAGATAGGAAAGCGGATCGCGAGAAGGAGCTATAGTGGTCATTAAATTTTTTGCCACATTTACAAAGTAGTTATTCAAGTTCTCAGGGGAAGTAGAGGTTATACTGGAAGAGATAGCCTTATTTCTCAAGTCGTTGACAATAGACCACGTTTCTTTGGCAATATTTTCAGTTCTAGCGAACCGGTTGTTATAATAGGTGTCTTTGGCGGCTTTTATAGTTTTATGATAAATTTTTCTATAGAGTTTAACGTAATTTTGAAAGAAGAGACTGTCTGAAAATTTTTTTAGGTGTGACAATGAGCGCATGTTCTTTGCCGATGTCCGCAAGCCTTTAGTAGTCCAGGGTTTATGTTGCTTATTTTTGATAGGCCTGAGGGGAAATGCTTTGAAAGCCAAACCAGATAATTTATTTGAAAATGTTGAAAATGCATTATTGATGTCATCAGAGAGGCAACCCCAGTCAATTGTTTGACATGAGCGCTTGAAATTGAGGAAATTTTTTTCCGAATAAATTCGGCGAAACTTACGTGGGGCAATCCTGCTATTGCTCTTTAGAGAAAAGTTTGTGAGTACTGCTTCATGATCTGAAAACCCTGAACTTAAGACAGTACAGTCAACAAAGCTTGGATCAAAAGATGACACGACGTAGTCGATAGTGCTAGATCTGGTTTTAGTTATTCGGGTTGGAGATTGAACATGCATGACCATACCAAAAGAGTCAAGTATAGACTGGAGAGAATCTTGAGCAGCACACACACTGGAAAAATCTATGTTAAAGTCGCCACATAAAATTAATTTACTCTTAAGAGGGAAAGACTCAAGCAAGCTTAGTAAGTTTTGAAAAAATGTAACCAAGTCAGCGTCAGGTGTTCTGTAAATACAAACAATGTAGAGGTCGTAGATATTGTTGTAGACTATAGAAAATTCGAATAATTTTTCAGATAATAAATTGTCGAACTTGGTTATCGCCGAAAAGTTGTTATTAGTGGACATTATTACAGTACCTCCATGAGATAGTATACTTCTAATATACCTAGATACTGTAGTGTAGTTTTTGACAAACACAGGCTCATCAATATTGAGCCAATGTTCTGTTATGGCAATAATTTCTGGAAAATGTAGGTGTTCTAATAATAAATATAATTCATCGGTTTTGTGTCTAATGGACTGAATATTGATGAGAAATACACTAAGCTTGCTATCGTTAATTGTTTCAGAGGGTGCTTGTTCCTCTATTCGCGTCAAGGTATCTAAAAATTTTTGTTATTTGGAGAACCACCAGAAAAGTACTTAGAATGACTCTCCCTAATTTTTTGAAGCTGTTGGATTTTTTCCGAAGAGAAAAACGATCTGAAGGCAGAAAGATCCGCTTCAACTTCAGCCAAATCGATGCCATAGGCGCTGTGGAAACGATAATACAGCTTGCGTAAGGAATCCACGTCACTCGGTAGGCCCTCTGATGCTAACGCTAATTTAATGCTGGTGTTGGTGTAACCTTCAAAACACACATTGGGGGGCTGGTCGTGGAGATAGGCTAGGTAAAGCCTAAGAGTTTTTAAGATGGAAGGGTCTCTCAATCTAGCCAGTAGATAGCGTCCATTTACTATATCGGAGTTTCGCGATATTCGCACTATAGGTGGGGTCATCGGGTCAAAGTTGAGCATTGTGTCGTTATTCACATTTGACTCTACAATAATATCAGCGTTACTTTGGTGAATATGAGACTTACATGCAGCAATGGCCTCTCTATCGGATCCAATCTTGATTGATTTATTCTCTGTAGGCTTTTTCTTGGAATTGCAGTCTGGAGGAAGGCTTCGGGTCGCTGCAGTGGTTAGGTCGATTTGTTGAAGACTTGTTGTAGAAATAGTATGTACAGGTGATGTTAAATTTGAGGGTGCTAAAGATGACAAGGCAGTGTTTATTGAACTACCGGGCGGCCACATACTTATGTCCTTCAACTGTTCAAAATGTTTCTTGCTTTTCACGCCAATTTTGAATTCGGAAAGTGAACTGTCATCATTTTTCAGCATGGAAAAACAACGGATAAAGTCTGTTGTTCCAAGTTTTTCCTTAACATAGTGAGCAATTTGGTTTGAAGTGTAAGAGACGGGAATTTTAGACAGAATCAAGTAATGCCAATCTTCTTTTTTAATGGTCTTATAAGTTATGGGTGTTTTAACTTCAACTGGAGTAGCCACTTTCTTATGATGCGTGTCAGTTTGTGTCGAATTTGACTTATTTGTCCCTAGCTGAGAGGTCTTGATGTTGGGGTTATCTTTAGCAGCTAATTTTTCCATCATAAGTGACATCTGATCAATATTTTTACGCAAATCACCTATTTCCTTTATTAATTCATTTTTTGATGTATCATGTAGCTGGATCTTAATAGATTCATCATGATTGTCCATGAAAACAGATGACAAATTAAAAATATCTTGTTTCATTTCTCTTATAGATTTGAATAGAGATTCTTGTCCATTGTCCGAGATTTTGGTTTGGTGGCTGTGAATGTCGTCTATTTTTTGGTTCAGTTGCTTCCATACGGAGTCGTGACTACTCAAAATGTCGTAAATTTCTGTAATGACAGGAAGAAGGTCATTGTTTTTTTTAAACAGGCTCCAAGAGCTTCGACATTTTCCATAGAAATCTGGGAATTATGTAGATGTGTCACTCTATCATGCAGGTATTTCAATGTAGGGGAATCACAAATACTGCAGAAGAATCTAATGTTGTATGGTACTTCTGTTGGTAGAGGACTTTTGTAGTTGTTTTGTCCAAGCCAGTGCAGTTCATGCAGAAATACCGGCGACACTCACCACTACAGCGAAGTTTGTATTTGTCTTTCTCAGAAACGGCTTTTTAGCAGGAATTGCATTTGAAATCGGCCATTATAATAAGTTTAAATAACTTTAAAGAACTGGATCAATAACAAGGTAACTAGGTCAAGTTTATAAAATACACGCACAACGAAAACGAACACAACGATGTGTGCAAACAAAACAAATCAAGTCAAAACAAATCAAATTTGCAATACTCGCGGGAGCTGCCGAACGAAAGCACAACCGTTCAGTATGAATGCTCGAAGTACTATGAAGAAAGTATAGACTCTAATTTTTGACCATTCTAGATCTAAAATTTAATAACAAATTATAGAGGGATAAACCACCCTCCCGAAGTTCCCTGAAAATTCCTGTTACAAATTCTATAGAAATACCCAAAATTCTTCTTGCTAAGAAATGTATGTCTCTATTTTTATTACGCTTCAAACTAATAAGTTTGCCCAATTTCTCATACATTCCTCTAATTTCCCATAAATTCCTACAAGTTTCCCAAATATTTCTGCAAATTCCCCACAGTTTTGGCAATGTATTCTTAGAGGGAAGTACCTATACAGTTGTGATTTTTAATCATTCTTTGGCTGAAATTCAACAATAAAAAGCATGAAAATTCTATTTTTGTCATACGCTCCCAAAAACAGCTATTTTACGGACTCATTCAAGTCCGTAAAATGCTTCTTTTTAGGATTTTTTTTTTCTTTCTGGATGCACCTTTATGATTTCAAAAATTAAGGAAATTTTGCAAATTTTAGCGTTCTGAAGAATTCTAAACAGCATATGACAAAAAATAGTGTTTGTCACATAATACCTAGAGAAGTTTTTCAGGACTCATCTGCCAACACCAATGATTCGTCCTGAAAAGCTTCATTTTAGGTACCTACTTATGACAAAAATAACTATTTCAAGTCTCTTATAAAGCAGAAATTGAACTGAAAAAGTCTTATTTCTAACCATTTTAGGGTTAATTTAACATTTGGAGCGGTTCAATAAGCACAGCTGAAATTCTAGTCAAAGAGTCTGAAAATTCTATTGCTTGAGGAGATTTGAAAAGTATAATGATAAAGTAGTGAATCTCTAAACTTACCAACTAATTTCAATGTTAAAATCATTTGTACCAAATTTGTGTGACTAGGTGGGTACGGTATACCAAAATAAATAGTTGTACGGAAAAATATCAGATAAATAAAAGAGAAAAGGAAACTTATCAGGTGACAATACCTGAAACATTACAATAAAAATACAAATACAAAACTGCTTAGAAATAGATTACCTTTTGTTGGCATACAAAATAATCATTGCGTTTACGAAAATTGTAATTAAAATGTGAATAACATGCAGCCTGGAGACTGCTAAAGCTATTACAAACCCTACAAGGGCCCCAATTTTCTTTTTCGAATCGACATTTTCGATTTTGCGATAATAAGTACCGAAACCTATGGAAGAAAATAGGAAAAATAGATAAATAAAATCGTCAGTATTCATTTTCGTATATCACTTTTGTATGTGTTAATTATTTTATTTTAAAATATTGAAAAAGGGGCCAGAAATTTGATTTTGAATTTTGAAAAATTTGTAAACAAATATCAGCTGTTATGTAGTAATTACCACTCATAGGTTGACTCAGAGTAGCCTCATCTCTTTTTCGCACAAAGAAAAAAAAAAGGATAAAAAATATTTTTATCCATGTAAAATTCAAATTTTGACATTCATGCGACATAACCTAAAAAAATTTCTTTTAGATTTGAGCCTTGGTTGCTGCCACTTATTTTTTAAAGATTTTCGTAAGTTTTCTTGTTTTTATCACTAATTTTACACTCAATTATTACCTATACTTAACTTTAATTATCGTGAGTAAAAACCCGAAATTTTATCAGTAACAAATTTTTATTAACCTCAAAAAATACAAAAATGCAGTCTTGGAAAAAATACAAATTCTCCTATATAAAAATACTATCTATTATCTAAATAATAACCCCTAGAATACACATTATTGTGTCCCATAAATTTCCCATTGTCATTAGAGTTAAACTTTTCATTAAAATAATTATTGTTTGTTGGTTCCATTGCTCTGTAATTTGGCCTATTATCCAGCTTTGGGTCTGTATTAGGTATTGATCTATAGTTTTCAATTGGTCTATCCAGCTCTGGATTCGTTGTGGATCTATAGTGGTTTTCAAATGGTCTATCCAGCTCTGGATTTGTTGTAGTTCTATAGTGATTATCATAGCTCTTATGCTCATATTGAGGATAGTATCCTTTGTCCCCTTCATAACTTATATAACCATAAGGTTCATCTTGTTGTAAAAAATAAATAAGAAATAAAATTGCACCTGCCACAAGCCCCAAAACACCTGCTGGTAATAAAAAGCCTTTGAAAAAATGGTTTTTCTTCAAATATTTGAATATTTGTCCAATGCTTTCTAAAATTTTCACTAATATGAGAGGAAAATAACCCAAAGGGCCTAAATTTTGTAGCAAATTTTGCAAAGGACTGTAGTAGTCTCCATAAGAATCACCTACACCAACAACTAATTTACCAAAAAGTTTACTAAAAATTGACGGTAATAATTTAAGACCTATATCCAATATTTTAACAATTGTTTCAGACAAAAAATCAACTTTTTTATTTTCAAAAGTTTGCAAAGGGAAACTTTTTTTAAAGTTATCTTCCAGGCCGTAAGCTGGAGCCACATTACTATAAACATCAGACAAGTATGGGTTGTGCGAGCCTGAAAAAGACAATTGTGGGAGTTAAAAAAGTTTTCAGACAATTTGAGCATACCTAACTGTATCTTTAATGAGTCCAGTTTCTTTTGCAAACCGTCCAGAGCACTGCTACGTTCTTGGGGTAATTCGTTGGAACTTCTTTGTTGTTGTTGCGCATTTAGTCCTAAATTTTCATCAAAGAATTTTTTAAATTGTTCAGCCAATTTCGTCAAAGGATCTTCACCAACTATAAAATATACACTTATAATAGTTTGGATTATTTAGGTTGTATACTTACATCCAAATTGTTTATTTTGTCCAGGCCCAATTTGCCTCTTCCTTCTTTTATCTTCATTAAACATAATGTTGCGTAACAAATTCATATTCCTGTCTTCCATTGTAGAGTGTTTTGGTTGTTGGTAAGGTGGAGCAGTACTGGCAGCAGCAGTACTACTGGATGTTTGCGCTGCAGGAGGAGGTGGTCGATAGGAGTGCTGAGGTGTACTTGGTAAAGGTTGTGGTGCATAATTGGGTTTTTGTGAGGCTTGAGAACTGGTTGATGGCTGTGGAGGTGCGTTTTGTGGTGGCTGGTTTTGACGATATTGAGATTGTTCGTATGGGCCTTGTTGAGGATAACCTGGTTTATTGAGACCATTTATGACGCCTTGAAACATGCGTTTGTCAAACTATTGTAAATATTTTCAAAAATTTTTACCTTTAAGTTCCTGAATTCGTCGGTCTAATCTAATTATGGAGGCTTTATCATCGTAGCTATTGCCGTTGTAGTAGCTTCCTCCTTGGTTTAAGCCTTTAATAACCCCTTCTAAATTTTGCACTTGTTGAGTTAGGTCATTGATCATGTTGTACTTGTATTGGTCAGAAGTTTGGCTATTACCATATGATTGGTCATGGTTTGGTCCAGCATAACTTTTTGGGCCATAGTTATTGTCTGGAGAACAATTACTCGTGGAATTATGGTTTGTTTTGGTGAGATTATTTACCTGTATAACCTGCTCCAGCTGCAGGGTTGGACAGAAAAAACGTTGAACCATAATCAGCTGAACCATAGGCTGGAGCACTTCCAGTTCCTACTCCATATCCTGCACCGGTTCCTGTTCCATATCCGCCATTGAAAATTCCTGCTCCTCCTGAATATCCAGAAGGTGAATCATAAATTGGACCAGTGTTGCCTGATTGATAACCTCCCCTGTAATTTCCTAAACCATTACCATAGGGAGCTAAATTGAAGCCTGTGCCATAATTAGATGCATATGGGTTACCTCCTTGTAACCCATTAAAGCCATTACCAGGATAATACCCATTATTAACAGGATTATACCCTCCAGCATTAAAATTTGGTCCACCATTATAAAGATTTGGTGCTGTAGAAGTAGAGCTGGCAGAGGTGCTTTCAAAAGGTGATGGTCTATAATTAAAGCCGTTATTCTGGCTTTGAGCTGATGAAGAAGTTGCAAGATATTGATTGAGGAGCTGTGGAGTCATTGCTGCAAAATTCACCGAGGGATTTCCATTGTTCTGAGCCACCAATTGAGTTAGCATGGCCTGAAAATGGTTCTAATGTATGCAATTTGCAGAGTCGGCACAAGTACACTACGAAAGTACTTGAAGTACATTATATTTTGATCATCAAGTAAACTAAATTCTCTATAAAACTGTGTAAAATTGAGTTTGATAGCTCAACCTCAATTTGTTCAAAAACTCTTAACCTGAGAATATTGTGAATTACAGGTCTTTTAGAGCTTAATAAGAGCTACCAATGCTAAAAATTTCAATGCAATTTGCTCAACGGTTACCGAGCAATTCAAGTTTGCATATTTTGAAATCAGAATTCAAAGGGGGTTCCGCTATGAAAAACTCGATTTTTTTATATTTCAGTTTTGTTAAATTTTGACTTCACCAATTGATAGAGCGGGTCCAAATTAGTGGAAAACCACCCCGACATCATTTTCATATGGCCATTTTGGGTAGAAACAAAAATAAGAAGAAAATCCTATTTTTGGCTTTGATTTTTTTTTTAAATCTTGACATAGTCATTAACAATTGTCCAAATCTTTATTAGATTTTGAGCAAATTAAAATAAATTATACATCATTAGAAAGAGCAATAAATTCCCTATAGATCCGTGCAAAATTGAGTTTAATAGCTCAAATAGTTTCCGAGGAATTGAACATCAAAGTTGATTTTTAGTTCAAATTTCGTCAAAAACTTCAAAGTCAATTTGTTCAAAAACTATAAACTTAGGAATATTGTAAATTACAGTCCATTTAGACCTTAATAAGAACTAAAAATGCTGAAAATTTCAATGCAATTTGCCCAACGGTTACTGAGCAATTGAGATTTGAAGATTTTGGAATTAAAATTTGAAGGGGTACCCCTTATGAAAAACTCGATTTTTTTTATATTTCAGTTTTGTTCAATTTTTACTTTATCAATCGATAGAGCGGGTCCAAATTAGTGGAAAACGACCCTGACATCATTTCCATATGGCCATTTTAGGCAGAAACAAAAATAAGAAGAAAATCCTATTTTTGGCTCTGAAAAATTTTCAAAATCTTGACATGGTCATGAACAATTGCCCATATCTTTGTTAAATTTTGAGTAAATTAAAATAAATTATGTATCATTAAAAAGAGCAATAAATTCCCTATAAATCCGTGCAAAATTGAGTTCAATAGCTCAAATAGTTTTTGAGCAATTGAGCTTCAAAGTGGATTTTTAATTCAAATTTCGTCAAAAACTTTAAACTCAATTTATTCAAAAACTATAAACTTAGGAATATTGTAAATTGCAGGCCATTTAGAGCTTGATAAGAGCTACAAATGCTGAAAATTTCAATGCAAGTTGCCCAACGGTTACCGAGCAATTGAGATTTGAAGATTTTGGAATTAAAATTCGAAGGGGTACCCCTTATGAAAAACTCGATTTTTTTATTTTTCAGTTTTGCTTAATTTTGACTCTACCGATCGATAGAGCGGGTCCAAATTAGTGGAAAACGACCCTGACATCATTTCCATATGGCCATTTCAAGCAGAAACAAAAATAAGAAGAAAATCCTATTTTTGGCTCTGAAAAGTTTTCAAAATCTTGACATGGCCATGAACAATTGTCCATATCTTTGTTAAAGTTCAAGCGAATTGGAATAAATTATATACCATTGGAAAGAGTATTAAATTCTCTATAAACCTCTGTAAAATTGAATTTGATCGCTCAAAGAGTTTTTGCCGAAGGGCCGGAGTTATATGCGAGTCCGGCCCGAAGGGCCGGAGTTATATGCGAGTCCGGCCCGAAGGGCCGGAGTTATATGCGAGTCCGGCCCGAAGGGCCGGAGTTATATGCGAGTCCGGCCCGAAGGGCCGGAGTTATATGCGAGTCCGGCCCGAAGGGCCGGAGTTATATGCGAGTCCGGCCCGAAGGGCCGGAGTTATATGCGAGTCCGGCCCGAAGGGCCGGAGTTATATGCGAGTCCGGCCCGAAGGGCCGGAGTTATATGCGAGCCCGAAGGACCGGAGTTATAGGGAAAGCCCGAAGGACCGGAGTTATAGGGAAAGCCCGAAGGACCGGAGTTATAGGGAAAGCCCGAAGGACCGGAGTTATAGGGAAAGCCCGAAGGACCGGAGTTATATGAAAGCCTCAACAACTGTAAGCGAAAGATTTATCAAACCAAGTAGGCCTTGAAAATGTATATGTATTGCGATATCGGTATTACAGAGTATCAAATTTTCCAAAGCTTACTTCGTCAGTTATCGAACAGTGCTGTCAACTTCAACTTACAACAATCATTGTTTCAATTACTGATGAGGCTTAAAGATTTAGAAAAAAACAAAGCCCAAGTAGGCCTTGTAAATTTTAAATTTTCCATAGCGACTATTTTTTAAATATCGACAAAATGTTAAACATCAAATTATTGACAAGCAACAAAATAAATAACGTAGTAGGCCTTGAAAACTACACTGATTTTAACCGATGTCGGTAATACAGATAACTGTAAAATCAAGCCAAGTAGGCCTTGAAAACAAACCAACCATTTTGAATTAATTGTCAAAAGATTACAAGGCCTACTTTGAAATGTCAAATTACGTATAGGGTTGCTACATTATGAAGTTCCTGTTATTGTTGTAAATTGCAGACTATTTAGAGCTTGATGAGAGTTACAAATGCTGAAAATTTCAATGCAATTTGCTCAACAGTTACTAAACAGTCGAGGTTTGAATATTTTGGAATCTAATTCAAAGGGGTTTCCTATGAAAAACTCGATTTTTTTATTTTTCAGTTTTACTCAATTTTGACTTTACCAATCGATAGGGTGGGTCAAAATTTGTGGAAAATAACCCTGACATCATTTCCAAATGGCCATATTAGGCAGAAACAAAAATAAAAAGAAAATCCTTTTTTTGGCTCTGGATTTTCAAAATCTTGACATGGTCATGTACCCCATATCTTTGTTAAATGTCAAGCAAATTGGAATAAATTATATACCATTTGAAAGAGCATTAAATTCTCTATAAACCTGTGAAAAATTGAGTTTGATCGCTCAAAGAGTTTTTGAGCAATTGAGCCTCAAATTTGATTCTTGATCTAAATTTTGTGAAAAACTGCAAACTCAATTTGCTCAAAAACTATAAACCAAGGAATATTGTAAATTACAGGCCATTTAGAGCTTAATAAGAGCCTACAAATGCAGAAAATTGCAATGCAATTTGCCCATCGTTACCGAGCAATTGAGGTTTGAAGATTTTGAAATTAAAATTCAATTATAAAAATCTCGTTTTTTTTTATTTTTCACTTCGGCTCAAATTTGACTTTACCTTGAAGCAAATACTTGACATAATCAAGTCACATAATCAAATATTGACAGTACAAGTATAAGTACATAACAAAAAAAGTAATTCAAGCAAAATACTTATAAAGTACTTATATGAAATTGAACTAGTAATTTACTTCAAATATTATTTCTTACCTGGAAATTTTGTGAGTCATCCTTCGCTGGTCGATTATTGCCCAAATCGAAGTTGTCTTGTTTGGGTTTCAGGCTGTTTATTGCTTTTTGAAGTTGTCTTAATTCCTCATCTACTTCAAAATCGTCAGATTTGCCTTGAGGCCTCAATGCTTCAATCAATTTTGTCAAGCTGCTCTGTGAACTTGTTTTCTTTGGTAACAACGTCATCAAAGCTAAAAGAGCATCTTCATCACTGTCGGTTGTTTTTTTTTCTGGTTTCAACAACTTCAATAGACCTTCTTGTAGTTGTTTTTCCTTTTTTTCCTCGTCAGATTTTCCTTCTTTATTAAGGATTTCGATTACTTTCAGCTTGAAATCTATATCGTCAGATTTACTGCTGGCCCTACCAAATTCTGATCCGTTAGTTTTTATTTGCTCGTTAGTTTCTGGAATTTGATGAACGTCTGATGGATTGTCTTGTTTACTTAACATCGTTAACAGTCTGTGCATGTTGTTATTCTGGTTTTCATCTGTTTGCTCGCTATCTCTTGTTATTTGAGACTAAAAACAAATTAATTTAATAAATATATAAGAATACCATATTTCACTTTTGCCATCACAATTTCTAATATAGCAATAGTGAATTATTTGAAAGGTAGTTCACGTTCACATACTTGTAAAGAAACGAAATTGCAGCTTTTTTTTTTATTCACGTATTAATCAATTGCCAACGTTTCGACACGGATGCGTGTCATCCTCAGGGCTAAAATGTATAACAAACCAGTTAACATAACTACATTTGTAACAAATTCATTACATTTACATAGAATTTATCATTTCGCAAATGTGCAACATAAACAGAAAAAACAGTACTAAAAACATGTAAATTATAATCAATTAATTGTGTTATAAAAGAATCAAAATAACAGATACACAGATAAAAAATAAATTATTGTTTTGTTATAGTATTTCTTTATCAGATCCAAATTGAGATGGTTTAGAATCAAAAATCAATACTGACAGACATTAACTCACCTAGATTAGTCTGTCAGTATTGATTTTTGATTCTAAACCATCTCAATTTGGGTATAATAAAGAAATACTATAACAAAACAATAATTTATTTTTTATCTGTGTATCTGTTATTTTAATTCTTTTATAACACAATTAATTGATAATAATTTATATGTTTTTAGTACTGTTTTTTCTGTTTATGTTGCACATTTGCGAAATGATAAATCCTATGTAAATGTAATGAATTTGTTACAAATGTAGTTATGTTAACTGGTTTGTTATACATTTTAGCCCTGAGGATGACACGCATCCGTGTCGAAACGTTGGCAATTGATTAATACGTGAATAAAAAAAGTCCAAAAAAGCTGCAATTTCGTTTCTTTAATAGTGAATTATGGTATTGTGTGTCTAAGATATACTTTTTTCAATCTTTCAGGTGCACTTCTTCTTTGGTTATTCATAAATCCTTCCTGAAATCTTCCACCATTTCTGGTATTCTGAAAATACAGCTGCCTTCGTATGTTATCTTGTTCTTCAGCTAAATGTCTTAGAAATTTTTCAGTATTTTGCTGGTTATCTCTCAAAGTAACTTCGAGTTGGTCTTGGAGTGATTCTAATGGGTTACGATTCATATGCATTGCACCAAGAATCGTGTTAGTAGTATTATCTTCATAATCATCAGCTTTAATGATTTTAGGTTCTAAACGTTTTTGCTTATTTGAATAAGTTTTATCATACAAATTCTCCATCATTACTTTAAGAAATTTTAAATCTGTATTGTGTCTTTTTATTTCGTTTTCAAGTACTTCTTCTCTGTCTCTGTCAGATAAAAGAATCTCTTGAGTTTTGTTTAGGGTGTCTTCAGTTTTTTGTAAATTTAATTTTATTCGATTTAATTCTTGATTTATTTGACTGTCTGAGCTTTGTTTGTTTTTTCTTTCGTCTTCGAGCATTTTTATGGTTTTATATAAAAAAGAACTCTCTAATGCGTTAACTTCTACGTTATTTTCTGGTCCTATTTTTTTCATCATGGTTTGTTGGTCTTTTAAAAGGGATATTAATTCGTTTAATTTTTGTACTTCGGCTTTGAGTTGGTCTAGTTTTTGCTTTTCTGCTACGATTTCTTCATTGGTTTTTGTGCAGACTGGTTGTTTGTTTTCAATTTCTTTTTGCTGACTTTCCAAAAACTCATTTTGATTATTTAAATTCATTTGCCTATTATCATACATTGGTGAAATTGCCCTTTTTCTACGCTCTTTTATTTGTTTTTGATGTTTTATAAAAGGATTTTTGCTGTTTAATAAGTGTTCTGTTGTTGTTGGTATTGGTTTTGGCTACAAAAATTCAATTAATAATTTATTAATATAATATAATATAACTTACGGGGGTTTTAACAATAGTATTTGCTTTGTCGTCTTGCCAATTGTAGTCTTCTTCAACATAAGCTAAAAAATGTCTTGAGACATAAAAATAAATATGAATTTATTTTTGCTTACCATTTTGCATTAATTTTCCAGCGTCCGCAATCTGCCTTAAAACATCAGTAGCAAAATCTTCCACGTTTCCCATAAGCTCATTGAAATCTTGTCTTAATACCTTAAGGTTTTTACCCAGCATATCTTGTTCCTTTTCAAATAAATCTTTCCCATTTGTTTCAGTAATTAAAAATAAGTAAAACAATACAATAACGCGAATCATATTTTATTAAAAAAATCTTATTTATTGCTTGAAATATGGCAAGTAACTTAGTGAACTAATAATTGTGCCAGGAAATTGCAACATCATTAATTTTGTCATACGACATTTAATTTTTCAAAATCAGCGTTTTATACAAAAGCATACAGAAGCAGAAAAAATTATTTTTCTAAGTTCATTGCTTGCATTTCTCTGACTCTACTTTGAATTTGTTGTTGAATAATCAATCTGTAATTATCAGCTGCATTAAGGTGTTCCATTTCTTCTAGCCATTCTTCTCTTTCCCTGATTTCTTCACAAACTAAAATTTAATTAAAATTGTTTTATGCAAACTAAATTGTATGTTTTGAGTAAACATACGTTGATCAAACCTGTTGCACTCATCTTCAAGTTTCTTCTTGACTACTTTTAGTTTTGTAATAGACATGTTTTCATTATAAGCCATTTTAAATGCAAGTTTGTCTTTTTCTTTTTCTCTGTCTATAAGTGGTTCTGTGGACTAAAAATAATTAATGTATAAGTTAAAACATAATTAGATTTTTTACTCGAAATTGTTCTCTTTCATACGCTCCAGAAGATATTATTTCATGCTTGGAACGCCTTTTCGGTGATCCTGGTCGAATAGTAACCTCTGGTATTTTCAACGGGCCTTTTCTTCTTCTGGATAAACTTGGTAAAGGTTCTCCATTTCTTAGAGCGTAATTTATTTTGTTTCTTTGCATCATTGTTAGTTTACTTTCTTCCATTAGAACTAAATATTTATGTGATATTAATTAATAACAGTTTTTTTTAGGTTGATTTGAAAATCGCAACCATGGTTCGTATGAATGTGCTAAGTGACGCTCTAAAATCCATCAACAATGCAGAAAAACGAGGAAAAAGGCAAGTCCTTATCCGGCCTGCCTCCAAAGTGACTGTTAAAATGCTGACTGTAATGATGAAGCATGGTTACATTGGGGAATTCGAAGTGATTGACAATCACAGGAGTGGAAAAATCGTCGTTAATTTGACTGGAAGGTTAAATAAGTGCGGAGTAATTTCTCCCAGATTCGATGTACCAATTACTGATATTGAAAAATGGACCAACAGCTTGTTGCCGTCCAGACAATTTGGATATGTGGTACTCACAACTAGCGGTGGTATTATGGACCATGAAGAGGCCAGAAGAAAACATTTGGGTGGGAAAATTTTAGGATTTTTCTTTTAATTTGTTATGAAATAAATTAAATTTGCAAAAATTGAGTTTACCTTTTAAGAATTGATGAGTCTCTGGTCTGTATTGAGCCTTGGCAGGGTGTAACATGCCTCCTTGAGGCACATTTTGACTTGGCCAATTCATATTTATAAATGCGTAAAATTTGCGTTTGATATTGACAATACTTCTATTCAATTTCCATAGCAACTTGATTCGAGGGGTGGTTAACCAAGCGGCAAATTGAACTTTCAGAACTTTGTGTTGTGATTAAAAAGTTTCAAGGTAATTGTTTTGTTGGACTTAAGTCGAAATTAACCCAGTTTATCGACCAGTCATCCTAATAGATTAGGAACAACTTTGTACTTAATCTTAGACTGAAGGGTAAACCACCTGTCTAAATTTGTGCAAGCAATTCCTCAAACTACCCGCAAATTCCTGCAAACTGGTCGCAAATTCCCTGCAAATGCCTATTACAGATTCCATAAAAATACCCAAAATTGTTCATAATAAGAAATGTAATTTTCTATTTCTATTACTTTTGGTGTAAAAAGCAATAAATTCCCTCAATTTCTCATTCATTTCTCCAATTTCCCATAAATTCCTTCATGTTCGTCCAAATTCTTTTAAAATTACTTTATATTCCCTACAGTTTTAGCACAAGTATTTTCAGGTGGTTTGCTCCTTAAAGGTAAACGATCAGAAGGAACTTTTTATTTTTTCCTAAATTTTAATCTTTTCTTTATCCACTTGCAAAATTTTAAGCCAATCGTAACGTTTTCCTCAGAAAAAATAAAATAAAACTTACGTCCTTCAATGTCGTATTTTGAAGCTTGTTTTTTTCCAAAATGACATTGTACCACATTTTGCCTCACATCTTGGTTAATTTCAATCCGATCGTAACGTAATTAGGCTTGAAATAAAGCCAATTAAATCCTTTACAAATCTCTATTGAGTATTTTCAATGCAGCTTCAATAGTTTCATAGCTGCAGAGCTTTAAAGTTTTTCAACTTTGATTTTTATCAAGGTGAGCGCGTTAAAGCAAATTTTTATTTTCCTAAATTTCAATCCTTAATTTATCTACTTGCGAAATTTCAAGCCAATCCTTCAAACGCTTTCCTCAAAAAAAAAGTCCTTCACTGTCGTTTTTTGAAGCTTGATTTTCTCCAAAATGACATTCAACCACATTTTGCCTCACATCTTTGTCAACTTCAATTCAATCTTAATGTAATTAGGCTCTCTTTTGAGCATTTTCAATGCAGTTTCAATATTTTCGTCGTTGCAAAGCTTGAAAGCCTTTCAACTATGATTTTTGTCTTAGATCCATTGTTATCAAAGGATAAATAATAATTCAAAATAATTTTATGTATTTATTACAATATTATGGCAAAATATAAACAAATAATTTATTCAGTTCGTTTATTGTATTGCTGCTACGTAAAGAAAAAACTAAACTGGCACAATACAAAAATAAATAATAAAAATTACCCAATACCACGAAAACCCATATTAAGCAACCTTAAAAATCGTAATTTCTAAAGTCGCTTGTCATTTTAAAAAAACCCTTATTGGTCCTTAAAAAATGATTATTTTTTACCACTTCGACATCCTTGATTTGGATGATCTAAAAGCAGTAAAGTACTTTTTCAAAAAGTTACTCATTGATCATGCCCTAATAGACATTTACATTGAATTATTCTAATAAAAATTATAATGGCAAGTGAGCTAAGTCTTTTCTTCTTCTATAAGAAACATCTACAGATTCTACTGGGATTTCCCATTTACTTCTTGGTAGAGTGTATCCATCGCAATGGAGAAGTTTCGAAGTCCTCTCACATTGTCTGCTGATTTGCCAATAAGCAAATCCATCAGGACACCTATACAAAAATCCTTCCATTTTTCTATAACTCCTTTTACATTTTACAAATTGCTGAGAGCACTCTGTATGTTCCATTTCATGGGAACCTTCATGAGGACACAAAGCTTTTTGAGTTGAAACTTGAACCTAAAAGAAAATAATTGTAATTTTCAATTGCAATTATTTACAATTTCTTACTGGAGCAATTGCATTTATGTCCATTTTCCTATACAAACTTGGTTGAGCTATTTGTCCGGTACAAGTTTGGCTGGTTTCATTTTGAGGCAAACACTGGATTTTTCTGTCATCATAAATTGTACCTACAATGGATGCATAAGAAGTTGAAAACTACATAGTATAAAATAATAATTACCTTGGGGACAATTCAAAACTAAAACCTTATATTCGTGATTCTTGTTTGAAGTGCACTGATAAAACAAATTGCAATATTTCGGATGTCTCCTGAATCCTGTCGGACATACCAAAGCTATTTGGTCACCTTCCAGTTGGCCTACTGGACATGGTTCCATGTGGGTTCCACTTCCTATGAAACAAAATGTAATATAATAATCAAATATAAATTGTAGAAATTATTAATGTGCAAAAGGTGCAAAAGTTAATCCCCACACAAAATTTGAGTGCATCATTCGACATTCACAGTGAATTAAATAAATAGTGCAAGTTTTCAGGTGCATTTTTCTTCCAGCCAGCCCTATTTTACCTCCTGCAACTGTTGTAGTTCCATCATATCCAAACGTTGTGGTAGTTTCAGTATTCGACTCGGTAAAATATGTAATGGTAAATTGATTTTCAGTAGTTGTAATGTTATTTGAATCTGTTGTAACTTCATTACCAGATGTAGGTTCTATTGGAATTTCAGTTGTTGTTGTAGTTGATTCTATTGTGCTCTGAATATTTTCTATTAATGGTTTACTTTCAATTATAGTTGTACTTTCAACACTCTCAGTAGTTGTGGGTTGTGTTAAAATTAGCCCAGTTGTCGCTATTTCTGTTGCACTTGTTATGCCTTGAACAATCTCAGTTAATGTACTCAGTTCAGTTGATTGAATAGATGAAGCCCTAGTAGTACTTTCAGTTGATTCGATATCAGTAGAGGCTGCTATAGTTGTACTTTGAAAACTTCCAGTTGATTCAGTATCAATAAGTGCTGTTGTACTTTGAAAACTTCCAGTTAATTCAGTATCAATAGGTGCTACTGTAGTACTTTGAATATTTTCAGTTGATTCAGTATCAATAAGTGCTGTTGTACTTTGAATACTCAATGTAGTACTTTCAGTTGTCTGTGGCAAAATTGAAATAGATGAAGTTTCTTCAGTAATTTCAGTTTCAGTAGTTCCTTGAATAATTTCCGTCATACTATGGTCTGTGTTTAATTGTGTAGCTAATTCAGTGCTCATTGTGTTGGTAGTTAAATCTGATAATGTAAAAATATTATTTTATAAAACCATATGAGGTTGGCCAAATATTTTCCTCTAACTATTAAGGAGGCGATAAGGATCTGAAGGATGTTTGGAGGAAGTCGAGTGAAAGTATAGAGAGGTACTGCAGTAGGATTGAGAGGTGGCTTTTCCCTTGTATTGTGAGTAGCAAATTTATTTCAATAAAAAACTCTTACCTTCAGTTGTACTCTCAATATTGGGTGCCTGAGTAGATCCACTGGTTGATGGTGGAGTAGTTCCACTGGTTGTTGGTGGAGTAGTTCCACTAGTTGTTGGTGGAGTAGTTCCACTAGTTGTTGTTGGAGTAGTTCCACTGATTGTTGGTGGTGGAGTACTTCCTGTAGGATTTCCAGGGGTAGAACTTGTAGTCGCTGGACTTTGATTGCTACAATTGCCTTGAACGGCCCACGGGTAATTGCAGGTCAGGCTTTGTTGATCCCATACCGTGTCTTTGCCACACGAGAATTCGTATTTGATGAAGCCTCCTTGAGCGTTGGCTACACAACGGTAGAATTTGGAGCAGTTTTTGGAGTCTCCAATGAAACCGTCTTGCGAACAACTTCCCGATTGAGGAGCTTGGGTGGGCTGACCATCTACTGGACTAGATGTTGACGATGATTGACCATCACCTGAGATAAGATTGTTTCGAATAAAAGTCACTTTATTGAAGAGGATATTGTTTTACCTGCACCAGTTTGAGGTTGATTCTGACGGCATTTTCCATTGACCGCACTCGGATAGTTGCAAGCGAAAATACTCTGGTCCCATACTGTGCCAGTTCCACAGGTGTACTCGAACTTCATCAAACCTCCTTTACCGTCTTCTACACAACGATAAAATTTAGCGCAATTTTTTTCGTCACCTACAAATCCAGCTTTAGTGCATCTGTTGTTGACTATTTCACCAGGAATCGTTTCATTGTTTTTCGTTTGATTGTTGCAAAGAATCGGTTTAGTCGGTGGACTTGTTCCAGAACTACCCTGGTTCGAACCTCCTTGGTTAGAACCACTTTGGTTAGATCCGCCTTGGTTTGAGCCACCCTGATTGGAAGGTTCTTGGTTTGATCCACCTGCATTGGAACCGCCTTGATTGGATCCTCCTTGATTCGAACCACCCTGATTTGATCCTCCTTGATTCGAACCGCCTTGATTTGATCCTCCTTGATTAGAGCCCCCCTGATTGGATCCTCCTTGATTAGATCCGCCATAATTAGACCCCCCTTGACTGGAACCACCTTGATTTGAACCTCCTTGATTTGAACCTCCTTGATTACCACCTTGATTCGAGCCACCTTGATTGGATCCTCCTTGATTGGAACCACCTTGATTTGAACCTCCTTGATTACCACCTTGATTGGATTCTCCTTGGTTTGACCCTTCTTGATTTGAACCTCCTTGATTAGAGCCACCTTGATTGGATCCTCCTTGATTGGAACTGCCTTGGTTTGAACCTCCTTGATTTGATCCACCTTGATTATTACCTGGTTGTTGAGCACCTATAAACAATATTAATTGTAAGTTTTAAAAGACATGTTATAGTTTTGCACTATTTTTGAGCATAGTTTCAGTATAAACTTACCAGTGCCACATTTTCCTACAACTGCTGACGGATAATTACAAGACAGTATGCTATGATCCCAAACAGTTCCATCGCCGCAAGTGTACTCGTACTTTATGTAACCTCCCTGACCGTTGTCCACACACCTGTGGAACTTTTTGCAATTTTGATCGTCTCCAACGAAGCCTGCCTTCGAACAACGGTCATTGGTCAATTGTCCTTGATTGCTTTCGATACTGGTGTTATTTGAACCACCTTGATTGGATCCACTTTGGTTTGAACCTCCTTGACTGGAACCACCTTGGTTTGAACCTCCTTGATTAGAGCCACCTTGATTGGATCCACCTTGATTTGACCCTCCTTGATTAGAACCACCTTGGTTTGCACCTCCTTGATTGCCGCCTTGATTAGAGCCACCTTGATTGGATCCGCCTTGATTGGATCCACCATAATTAGAGCCACTTTGGTCTGAACCTCCTTGATTGGAACCACCTTGATTTGAGCCTCCTGGATTAGAGCCACCTTGATTGGATCCACCTTGGTTTGACCCTTCTTGATTGGAACCACCTTGGTTTGAACCTCCTTGATTTCCACCTTGATTAGAGCCACCCTGATTGGATCCGCCTTGATTAGATCCACCATAATTAGAGCCGCTTTGGTTCGAACCTCCTTGATTGGAACCACCTTGATTTGAGCCTCCTTGATTAGAGCTACCTGGATTGGATTCACCTTGGTTTGACCCTCCCTGATTGGAACCACCTTGATTTGAACCTCCTTGATTTAAACCTCCTTGATTAGAGCCACCCTGATTGGATCCTTCTTGACTAGATCCACCATAATTCGAGCCGCTCTGATTTGAACCTTCTTGATTGGAACCACCTTGATTTGAACCTCCTTGATTTGAGCCTCCCTGATTGGAACCCTCTTGATTCGATCCACCTGTTGATGAAATATATGAACATAAAAAATTCCAAATGAGAAGTTCACTCACCATTGCCACATTTTCCTGTTACGGCGTACGGGTAATTACAAGACAAGATACTTTGGTCCCAAATCGTTCCATTTGCGCAAGCGTATTCATACTTGATGTATCCGCCTTGTCCATTTTCGACGCAGCGATAGAATTTTCTACAATTTTGTTCGTCTCCTATAAAACCAGATTGCGTACATTTCGTGTTGCTTGTCTGGCCTTGATTTTCATTATTGTTGGATCCGGTTCCAGTTGAACCTCCTTGATTCGAGCCTTCTTGGTTTGAACCAGATCCACCTTGGCTTGAGCCTCCTTGATTAGATCCGCCTTCGTTTGATCCACCCTGGTTTGATCCACCTTGATTAGATTCACCTTGATTCGAGCCTTCTTGGTTTGAACCAGACCCACCTTGGCTTGAGCCTCCTTGATTTGATCCACCTTGATTGGAGCCTCCTTGATTTCCACCAGATCCACCTTGGTTTGAGCTTCCTTGATTTGACCCTTCTTGATTAGAACCGCTTTGATTCGAGCCTGATCCACCTTGGTAAGAGCCTTCTTGATTAGATCCGCCTTGGTTTGATCCACCTTGATTTGATCCACTTTGCTGTGAGCCTTCTTGATTGGATCCGCCTTGGTTTGATTCGCCTTGACTTGATCCACCTTGGTTTGAACTTTCTTGATTAGAACCTTCTTGATTAGATCCTGGAACGTAACTTCCTATAAAAAAAAAAATTAAAAATTTATTCCAAAATAGCACAATATGTTTTCACTTACCCGGTTTGCCGCACCTTCCGGAAACAGCAGACGGATAATTACAAGACAAAATGCTCTGATCCCACACGGTACCATTGGCGCACTTGAATTCGTATTTAATGTAACCTCCCTGACCATTGTTGACGCATCTATAGAACTTCTGACAGTTTTGTTCATCTCCTATGTAACCGTCCTGAGAACATTTGTTATTACTTGACGATGAGCCTTGATTTGATCCGGATCCTTGTTGGTTTCCTTCCGAACCACTTTGATTCGATCCTGAACTACCTTGATTGGATCCTGAACTACCTTGATTTGATCCCGAACCACTTTGATTAGATCCTGAACCACCTTGATTCGATCCCGAACCACTTTGATTCGATCCTGATTCACCTTGATTGGATCCGGAACCGGTTTCACTAGCTCCTGAGCTACTTTGATTGGAACCCGATTCGCTTTGATTGGATCCCGAGCCACTTTGATTTGATTCTGATCCACTCTGGTTGGATTCAGACCCACTTTGACCGGAGTTTGCTCCGTTTCCACCATTAGTGGGTACTCCAGGCTGTGCCACCTGACAACGTCCGCTGACCGCATAAGGATAATTGCAAGCTTGAATGGTTTGATCCCACACAGTGCCTTCGCCACAAGTGAACTCGTATTTGATTCCTTGAACACACCTGTAGAACTTTTTGCAGTTTCTATCGTCAGCGACGTAACCATCTCTGACGCAGCGATTGTTGGATATTTGACCGGGTTTTTCGGTTGCCGGAGTGGTTTGATTGGAGCTTGAGGTTTGATTCTGATTGGAACCACCTCCGGATTGGTTTGACTGATTCTGATTGGAGCCTGAAGATTGATTAGAACCACTTTGATTTGATCCACCAGATTGAGAACCACTCTGATTTGATCCACCAGATTGAGAACCACTTTGATTTGATCCACCAGATTGAGAACCACTCTGATTTGATCCACCAGATTGATTTTGATTTGATCCAGTGGATTGATTTGAACCGCTTTGGTTTGATCCACCAGATTGCGAACCACTCTGATTTGATCCCCCAGATTGATTCTGATTGGAACCGCTTTGTTCATTGTTGTTGCCAGAAGTACCTAAGAAAAATGACTCATTATTTTCCTGAAATATTTTGCGAAAAACAAAGTGCAAATAACAAAAATCTACTGAAGCAAGAAGTGCAAAAATGGTTGAAGAAAATGTGCAAATATCAAAATACAACACATGCAATCTTCTGAACTTGTGTATTCAATTTCTGTCAATACAATCCTGAAAAAAATAAATGTATCATACTTTTGTAAATTATGAACAAACAACATTAATAAAAAGACTATCGAATCTCTTACCATTTTGTGAAGGTTGTGGTATACCAGGTTGAGCCACATAACATTTCCCACTCACAGCATAGGGATAATTGCAAGCCAGAGCAGTTTGATCCCAGACAGTATTTCCAGGACAAGTAAAGGAATATTTATTCAAACCACCTTTTGCGTCACTCACACACCTAATTTTAAACAAATAAAAGTTATATTTTCTATAATAATCCAGTAGTTTACCTATAAAACTTCCTACAATCTTGCTTATCCTCAACAAATCCTTCTTTGGTGCATCTGCCATTTGAAATTTCTCCGGGTTTTGCTTCGTTAGAAGTCTGATTACTAGAACCGCCAGAAGTATTTGATCCAGATTGATTAGAAGATCCTGATGTGTGTTGATTATTTGAACTAGACGAAGTTGATCCTGATCCACTTTGACTGGTACTAGATGAATTCTCACCTTGGTTAGAAGAAGATCCCTGATTATTCGAACCACTTTGACTAGAACTAGTTGAATTATTATTGCTTTGAGATGTTGAACCAGTTTGACTAGAACTTGTAGACTGATTCGATCCAGACGTAGACGTTGAACCTCCTCCCGATGACGTCCCAGTTTGACTGGTATTAGTCGAGTTAGTACTTTGACTACTTCCTGAGCCAGAAGCGTTTGATCCAGAGTTACTAGAAGTCCCATTGGTATTTGTGGTAGATCCTGAGCTGGAAGTTGTACCGGTTTGACTAGAACTGCCTTGGTTAGTCGACTGACTACTTCCCGAGCCACTGGTAGACGAGCCAGATTGACTAGAAGTGCTACCAGTAGACGATCCTGAACCGGAAGACGCTCCAGTTTGGCTGGAGCTTGAAGTATTGTTTCCTTGGCCGCTGCCTGAGGTAGAAGACGAAGAACCTGATTGGCTAGAGGAGCCAGTTGACGATGACGACGAGCCACTTTGACTACTAGAACTACTACCCTGTTGACCTGAAGATTGATTACTACCAGAACTGGTTGAGGATGATCCTGATTGATTGGAACCACTTGAACTTGAACTCGATCCGGTGTTGGACGATGAGCCGCTTTGGCTTGATTGATTATTACCGGAGCTAGATGAATTCGATCCGGATTGACTAGTAGATCCTGATTGTTGGCTATTGGAGCCTTGATTGTTAGAAGAAGATGAACCGGTTTGTGTAGAAGAACCGGTTTGTTGGTTATTAGATGTTCCAGTTTGCGTTTGCTGATTGTTGTTTGATGAGCTCGATTGTTGATTTGAGCCACCACTACTGGACTGATTCGATCCTGATTGTTGATTGTTGTTATTTGAACTGCTCGATTGTTGATTTGATCCACCGTATGAGCCTTGGTTGCTACTAGAGCTTCCAGATTGTTGTTGGTTGTTGCTGGATTGTTGATTAGAGCCAGTTTGTTGGCCGTAAGATCCTTGATTGCTGCTAGAACTTCCAGATTGTTGTTGGTTGTTGCCAGATTGTTGACTGGATCCAGTTTGTTGGCCGTAAGATCCTTGATTGTTGCTAGAACTTCCAGATTGTTGTTGGTTGTTATTAGATTGCTGATTAGATCCAGTTTGTTGACCATATGATCCTTGATTGCTACTAGAGCTTCCTGATTGTTGTTGGTTGTTACTGGATTGTTGATTAGATCCAGTTTGTTGGTTGTAAGATCCTTGATTGTTGCTGGAGCTTCCAGATTGTTGTTGGTTACTGCTAGATCCAGTTTGCTGGCCGTACGATCCTTGATTGTTGCTAGAGCTTCCGGATTGTTGGCCATATGATCCTTGATTGCTACTAGAGCTTCCAGATTGTTGTTGGTTGTTATTAGATCCAGTTTGTTGACCATATGATCCTTGATTGCTGCTAGAACTCCCAGATTGTTGTTGGTTGTTCCCAGGCTGTTGACTGGATCCAGTTTGCTGTTGATTATTGTAAGAACCTTGATTATTGTTAGATTGTTGATTAGAGCCAGATGATTGTTGGCCATAATAATTCGAGTTGTTGTTGTTTGAGCTGTTTGATCCTTGATTGTTGTTAGAGCTTCCAGATTGTTGATTATTCGAACTGCTAGATCCTTGTTGACCAGACTGATTACTACTAGTTCCTATTGAAGAGAATATGTACAGTGGTGCATAAGTTACGAGTGCAATAAATGTGAACATGCTGAGGGTGCTGTATAGCGTGCTTACCTGAAGTGCTGGAATTTTGAAAACTAGAACTACTTGAAGTGCTAGAAAAATTATTACTAGAACTAGAAGAGCTAGAAGAGCTACTTGATTGCGAACTAGAACTATTTTGTGCTGAGGAGTTTGTGAAAGTGTGTTGCCATGACTCGTCATCGTCATAAGCTACATTTGACTGACCCCCATTAGATTCTTCGGTGCAATCGGTTCTTTGTACGGCCCATGGATAGTTGCAGGTTGTTCCAGATGGATCATAGATTGTACCTAAATGGATTTTTGTTTTGAGGAAAAATTAATTTAAAAAAATAGCAATTTTACCTGGTGCACATTTGAATTCATATTGAGTAAAGCCATTTTGCCCATTATCCACGCACCTGAAAAATCGTCTGCAGTTAACAGGATCTTCTCTAAATCCTGCTACAGTGCAACGATTAGGAGCTGGTGCAGTTGTACTACTACTTGGTTCAGGGGTTTCAGTACTTTTAGGTGGTTCTACATTATTGGCTCCACATTCCTCTCGGCTACTAGCATAAGGATAATTGCACACCGATATCGCAGGGTCGAATACTGTGCCCTCACCGCATTCGAATGTGTAAGGAATATACCCGTTTTGTCCATTCGAAACACACCGATAAAATATTCTACAATTTTTATCATCGGCAAACGTTCCTTCGCTTTGGCATTTGAAATTACTATTGGTGATTTGTCTTACGTTACGCACTTGGCCGGATTCTAAGTAGTCGTAATCCAGAAAGTCTAAAACAAAGCATCTGGTTGCATTATACAGTCATCTGGTAAATAGTAAATTTCGTCCGATCTTGCCGTACAGATAAAACCAGTGTACAAACACATAAACTGTCTGCACGTCATCTCGGTGTTCTAAGAACAACTTTGTAACTTATATGTACGGTCTTGGTAGACTAGACATTATACAGAGAAGAAAAAGGTAGAATGAATGCATAACTTTTTAGTCGATATTTTTAGTCCAATTAAATATAATAAGATTCATGTCAAAGCTGTCCATCTTTTAAGACGTTAAAGGATCTAATTTGATCTGTAACAACGCCGCCTTATGAAGTCATTAAATCAAATTAGTATAATTAGATGGTGACTGGTTTATTGACTTGGATAAATAATCCTGGGGTGAAAAATTAATCGTTAATTCATTGAATTCAAGTATTTGCTTATATATGCACAATCTTTGCATCTCCTGCTAGGCAATAATCATAAATATGACAAAGCTGGTCGTAAATCTGTCGGAAACTATATATGGGTGGTTTTCAGAGAGCACGCTGGGCATTATGTACAAAACAGTGCCTTTTCCTCGCATAATGGAACATTTTCTTTATGTTAATTCCGTTTTTAATTACCCAGGAGAGGGCTCACGTTATTGTCGCGATGGCCTTCTCAAGGTAAGAGCAGAACGAATTTGCAAATGGTATAGAGAGAAAAACAACTTTGCGGTTTTGAATGTTTTTCAATGGCAGCTGGAATTTTTAATAAACTTCAATGTATCTGATTATCTCTATTGAATTTCAGTTGGATGGATTTTGAAATTTGTTCTGTATAAAATACTGACTTGTACCAATTGTAAAAATGTTATCTAATGATCTTTGACATTTGATTCGAATAAAACAGGTATAGTTTTCGAACAGTGTATGATGTGAGGTTTCTTTCTCAAGAATATATGATCTATACAGCTCAAAATACCATTTTGCATTTTGTTGTTTAGTGCATATATTTATAGTGGATATGAAACCATTCATATCTTCTAAAATAAAGTGCAAGTCACTATTTTTACTGGAATTCCTAAATATATCTCGAAAAACATTGAACAAACTGTTTTTCGCATGTGGAAGGTGAACTATAAATTCCTGTATTATCTATGAATAATCCAAAAAACTCCGCAGTCATCTATTTATTAATACGTTGTTCAAATACGATACTAACCTAACTCACTCAAATGATAGTTATTCTCATTAGTTTAAAAATTACACGTTTCAGGTGAATGTCTTACTTAAACAGTTCAACAGTATATTGGTGATTAGATGGCTGCGGAACTCGCTGCGCTCGTCCCGCAGAGGTCCACCCATAAGTTCCGGAACAATCCACTTAATTGTACTTATTATATATAAAGTCAGAATTTGTAAGATTATCCACTTTTTATCAATTTGCTTTTCAACAGGAATTAGTAATGTTACTTTACCAAACTAGTTATATATTGTGATGTTATTCAAGTACAAACGAGTGGATTGTTGCGGAACTTATGGGTGGACCTCTGCGGGACGAGCGCAGCGAGTTCCGCAGCCATCTATTCATCAATATATTGTTTAATTACAATACTAAACTGACTCACTCAAATGTGCGTTAT